AGCGTGGAGTTGTATTAAATTTATAGTCATAGTTATTCATTCTTTATAAACGGACAATTTTGCCACACTTACCTTTTCATGTTGGTTTTCGACAATCGTGTCAAAGCCCTCAATTTGCTGCAGACATTCCAGTAACTCTTCCGACGTCTGTTGTTCACAGCCGACCAGCTTTCCAAGACCAAACGCCGCTCTGCGTGCCGCACTGGCTGGCAAGGTAGCCCAAGGAGCAGCAGCATCACCACTCTACGAGATGGGACACACACAAGGAAATGATGACTTGTGTCTTTGTATTAGTCATCATTTCCGTTAACATAAAGCGTAAATGATACCTTTGGTCAACGAATCGAGGAAAAGAAGCAAGGCAGAGGGTTTGGAATGTGACTACGAAATATGTTTGATACGAGACTTTAGATCACCTGAAATCTAGAGGTACCCTCTTCTGCTTTGGCAAACGGAAACTTTTGCTGACATGAAAGGCAAAAGTAAGAGTATACCCACCCCCTCTTACGAAGCGTCTGCCCGGAAGGGGGGGGGGTCGCTCCTTTTTACATTCGTGCCTATCCGTGATTCTGTATACATTTTAAGGTATACCTCCAAGATGGCGCCACGGAAGAGCCCTGCACTGCCAGGTGACACCATTTGGAAACCCACGCTGCTCCCTCCTGCACTCTCACCAAAGATGGCAACTCGCTCAGGATCACCGCCGAAAGCTAACCATAAACAAGGGAAAACATTCCAATCTAAACATACATGCTATAACTCGTCTCGCTTCAACAACTTTCTTTAGATAAATCCTTTCAAATTTGAAGTCATCTTGTGCTGCATTTTTAACTAAGAATATATGACATCTCAACATGGTTGCAAATGTCTCCGTGATTCTCTTCGTGTGTTGGTTGAACTGCAGTGGTAACTTTTCCGAAATAGTCTTCAAACTACCTCGCAATGGAAACGATGGAAGCCCGACTTAGTGACTGTTACCATAGGGTAACCGCGAACGTATTTTTCAACCATTATCAGTGACTTAGGGAAAGTGAAGATTTTGCCTAGTTGGTATACAACCAATTTCATCACATCAACGTAACTCTAGGCCTAAATTATGCACACTGAATTGTAGCCACAAGTTTCATCTTGATAACAGCCGGTACCTTTGATGTTGTCTCTGACCCATTCCAGGGCAAGACGTTGATCCAACAGTCCCATGTTACCTGGGATGACGTCATCACCTGCGATGAAAATTGGCATGAAATAAATCTCGTCAGTATCAGCGTATGCACATGCATTGGTTGTGTACAAGACTTGGCACCTAACATGCTTTAGTGGTGCATTGCAGAAATGAGGGCACTTCCTGCTCGTTGCGCGAGGCGTAAACCTAGCTACCAGAGCTTACTGTGGGGCTTAACAGCTTTGCTGGGCGTGATCCCTTGTTATGACATCTATGAGGGTTGATGGCTTCTGACACAATCACGAACAAGCTGGGGAGCCGCCAACACAAAGCTGGATATCTCAGTTGGAAGAACACTGGAACGGTCTTCCTGAGGTCAAAGGTTCAAACCCCGCTCCAGTCAAACCCTTTATTTAATTCAGTTTATTTTACTTTTTGTAGTTAAGAGACTTCACAGACTTCCTTTATGTGCCTGTATATAATCCAAAAGGGGACAAACAAATCGTTTATAATCTTAAATTTAGATTATCTTTTCTCCGAACATAGTTGGACTTACTTGTCGAAAGAAAGCCGAAAGGCCCCAGTCGATAATTCATTGTGACGACAATGACGTCACCCACAGAAGCAATTGCGGTAGGATAAAAATCCAACATAATTCCAGCTCCGATCATGTAACCTCCTCCATGGATGAAGACAAGAACGGCTGCATCTGAAGGCTACCCAAAAAAAATGATAGAAATAGTGATAGAAATCTATCCAAAACTGAAATAGGATATTGTGGTCACGTGATTGCAAGTTTCAGCAAACGGTATTCTTCTGTCATGCTTCTAATTATCTTGCATATGAATAGTTTAAAAGAGTCTCTCCTCCCCTGCCACCGCTGTGACCCGGGTTCGTATGTAGATTTTCAGTCCCTCCTAAGTTTTCCCAAGAATATTCTTCTGGGGGTTTTCCTCTCATCTCTAAAACTGCCATTACTTCTCATTGTCTTCTCTCTACGGGCTTGCGAGCTACAGTGCCTGGAAATCCATGGTTTAATTACCAGAAATAATCAATTATAATTAGTGTGATAAAGTCCTTGAAAACTTAACAGCTGCAAGTCAGACAAGGCGTAATGTGCGATGTAAATACATGTTACATGTACTGACCAGAGGTTGGGGGACTAACACATCTACGCATAGACAATCCTCATCGAAGGGCCCAGTCACCGTGAAGTTACCCATCGGAAAGACAGGCTGTGGGCAGCGATTGCCGAGCTTGGTAGCTTGTAACTCCCCGCTCCATGACTTGGCTACGGGAGGTTTGAAGCGTAGCGGACCGACGGGAGCTTCAGCGTACGGTATACCGAGGTAGGCGTCCACGCTACGGCCAAGCTCGGGGTCCGTGGGGCTGAACTCGAACCTCGTACCGATGATGCGACCCTGGCTCGTCGTAACTACAGGAGGGTCATCGCTGGCTGCCAACGCGGTCGCCAAAACCAGACACAAAACGCAGACAGATTTTAGATCCATTATTTTCATTTGGTTCCCAGTGTTCTAGTGCAACTTGCCTTAAGCCAACTACGTATACTGTTTGCAGGCTTGGACTGATTGTAATTACAAAAGTCGAATGCCTTGTGCGTGCACACCACAATGGCTGTGCCAAGAGCAAATCTGACCAGCAAATATAGGATTTGAATGTTGCGCTTATCATGATTGTGCAAACAAGCCGATTCATGTTTTGCACTGTGAGCTTTGGTCTTGTTGATAGTAAATGCATTAGATAACAACCCGTCTATTTCTATTCTTTTTTTTTTGGGGGGGGGGGGTTGGGTGGAGGAGGTTAGATGCTATTACATTCAAGAATGGAACGCTGAAGCTACGGCGAAGCTCGGGGTCCGTGGGGCTGAACTCGAGCCTCGTTCCGATGATGCGACCCTGGCTCGTCGTAACTACAGGAGGGTCATCGCTGGCTGCCAACGCGGTCGCCAAAACAGACACAAAACGAAGACAGATTTGAGATACATCATTTTACTATGGTTCACAGTGATCTACTGCAACGTCAGCCAAGTATTATTGTATTGAATGGATTGTGTGTGCACAGCACACAATGTCTCTATAAGTAGCAAATCAAATCAGACCAGCCGATAAGATTTCGTCATAGTCATGTGTAAACAAGCCGATTCAGGCTAAATTTTCAGAGCTCCATAGTAGTCAGCGAACCCTAGACGGATAACAAATAAAGCCCTATAAAGTGATTACAAAATGACTCAGCGCAAAAGTAATCGCAATTTCACAAAAGTCACATCTGTAACACGGTAGCCTACCCTGCGGAGAATGATGCACAATAAGGAACAAACGGTACACGTCTCCACAGAACAATTTCTAAACGTGAATACGTATAGGCCTATACGTCTCCACAAGGTTATCACGCAATAGATATTTTTATTTTACTCAAAAACCACGAATTTCCAAGGTGTGTTGATCCGTCTGAAATTGAAGTATTTGATGTTAGAGATATTAAGTGCGAATTTCAGCCCAGTAAATTAATTCTGGTTAAAATAGGAGCATTTTGAAACTACAGTTTCAAACTCTAAAATGTTAGTACACGAGAACAAAGACTGAGATATGACCACACAAGGATATAACTTCCAGTGTGGTTGTGTTTGCTGTGTGCATTAAAGGGGCCACCGTGACGGTTGTCCCGCAATCGCTTAAATTTGTGTGTGTAATCCGATGTTAAAGGTCTGGTAAACAGTTGTTTACTTGAAACGCGGTGGACGTACATTTTGTGGCACACGCATACTTATTTCCAGTCGTAAACATAAGTTTCTTATATTGCCCCAGCTTCATTCCGACTTTTCATCACGCCGTGTGTGCACACCTAAATTTACACACGTTCTTGTTGTGTATAGTTGTTGGGTCTACACACGAGTTGTACCATGGCACTTTGGGGCCCGAAGACGCTGCGGGGACAGCAGAAAGGCCCCATAACTCGGTCCTAATTCGTTTTACAATAAAACAACTTCCTCATAACGCGGTGACGGTCCACCCACTCCTAGCACGTTTGTTTATGGTGTAAATCGAGGATTTTCTTTTGTTCCTCTTCCCTTTTTTGCAACAGCTCTCATTGGTTGTGTACACGTTTTCCAACCGAGGAGTCCTCGATTCGGTTTCTGTCCTCGATTCATCGATGATGTTGCACGCATGTGTCCTCGATTTACACCATAAACACGCGCTTCAGACACGTACGTTATTTCACATATGTTCACAGCATGCAATGCACTGTACATGTACTTGTACAGAGTTCCTACGGACAATATACCCGATAAGGAAGTCTTTAGAAATCAGTTTATACCGATAAGGGAAACACTGTGGACTTTGAGATTTCAATAGCAACAAAGGAAAACAAAGAAGGGAAACAAAGGTCTTCTTCATGGTTTTGTTTAAAACACGCTCTGTTGCCCAAATAGGCGCGTTCCAGGACGTACCGGTAGTGTCCCTTTAAGCATTCAGTCTGTGCTGGAGTTTGAGTTAATCACAGTTACAGCAGTGCGAATAGAGTGCAATGATAAGATAGATATGAGTCACCATCATGAAGTAGAATAAGAATGTGAATTTTTTATTGTTTTATTTAATTATTCCTCCTCAATCCTCCAAAATTAACCAGGCAGTTTTGGTAGATTTTGGTGGATTGAGGCTCAATGCCAATTTAGTGCCATTTGATTTTGGAGGATGCATGGTTAAGTTTTACGGTCCTAAACTGTTTCCTGCGTTGTGTATAGCCAAGCATACATTTTGCCTATCGGTCGCATTGCTTCTTGATTTCATTGGCAATTCCTCATTGTATTACAGTGGTTGCTAGAGGATTTTGAAGGATTGGGGAAGTGGTCAGCCCCCCACTGAAGATATTCAGGAAATAACGGATGATTCTTAAAGATTGAGACTGTATCCATCTTTACACGGTGGCAATTGGAGGATCTTGAAGGATTGGGAAGGATCCTAGCCAGAAGGGTCATGAAGGTTAGGGTTGTGTCTTATTTTCAAATATACATTTCTTTATTGACATCGTCTGACGTGAGGTGTTCTTCATTGCGAACAGTCATTGCCGTACGCATGCGTACAGTACGGAGCACACTTGACACTTGCTGGCGCTATTCATATCTGCAAAGTGTTACATCACCCCCCCCCCCCGACAAACTTCCAGTGACTGTGCAAGTATTTGAAGGAAATTAAACTTACTTTCATAATTTCATTGCGACTGCATGGTAATGATAATGCAATCAAAAGCATTGATGGAGCACTGAGTAGATGATTAGCGCCAGGTAGGCGAGACGCCTAGTGGAAGTAATTCCATGGTCCAGACAATTAACAGTGAAGGTCTCGACAAAATTGATGCAAACAGAATGTTATATTGGGAAGATGTAATCATAGAGGGAAGGGTCGCTCTCTCCAATTCGCGTTAGGGATGATGCAGGGTTTTTGTTCTTTCAAAAATCAGTTTTGTTATTCACGAAATTGAGAAAAAAATAGAACATTTGTGGATCTTTTCAACTGCTGTGTGTATTTGTTTTGCCGAACGTATTTCGTTCTCAAATTGTGCCCTCCGTCCGTTGAAAGAGATAAAAATGCGCTTTCATATCCGGGGGAACAAGCAGGATCGCTGCAATTTTTGTCTTGCAGTCAACTGACTTTTATCTGCTTGGTCATGCGTTTATTTGAATTCGCTTCTAAACGTAGTCAGGTGGCATATGGTCGGAATCGTGAACGACTGGTCCAAAGCACCAAACTTGGCAGATAGATTGGGGAGAAAATGAGGTGTCCGTAAATTGGGCTACTAGGCGAAGGGAAACTTGGGGACTTGAACAAGTTCAACGAAATCCTCCCAAATAAGAGATTATTGTTGTTTACAATAATTTTGTCTCCGCCAAAACGTTTTCTCACCAATAATTTTGGGAATTTCCTTGAACTTGTTCCAGTCTCCCATGTTAGGCAAGGCAACCCTTCACCTACTTGTTAGCCCAATTTACGGACACCTTGTTTTTTCCCGTTTTTGTTTTCTGGGCTAAATATCACAATGTTATCATTGTTCACATGATTTTGCATAAGGTTTTGATAGGGTAGCTGTACCAGTAAGCAACTTGGTGAATTTGAAGTTCATCAATGCTGATGTTTTGCTAGACTAATTGATGATATCTGGAGACAAGGTAAATGCACGCAACTTTAGGGCATAATAGTAGCCATTTTGGACCGTTACTATGTCCTCATAATTATTCAGTCACTTATATGCTTTGGAAAATGTTATTGAAGTAAGGAGAAAATCCCCAAAATACACTTTTCAATTTAAAAAAACCCAAATATACCCCCACATGGGAATAAATATATTACACGCACCTATTAACAAATTTTGCAACTTGGGCACCCTTCCAAAAAGAATTTCAGGTGTCACGCCTTCTAAATATCTTAGGGCTTTAAGAATCTAGCTGCCACGTTTGGTGCTTTGGACCAGTCGGTCACGATCTGGTAAAAAAATAGATCTAATTAAGCCACCTGACTACAAGGAGACAATTACAGACTCTTCTCAACCACACTACCAATATTACAACACCACAACTCTGGTCATATACAAGGGACTTGTGCCTCCTTTGCGCTCAACATCGGTCACTGACGCGTAAGCCGATCATTGAAGTCTCATTTACACTCCACCAGCACTAATTAAGAACCAGCGTTGAGCTCTGATGATGAATGAGTTAATTACTGTGGCCTTAGTATAAAGAGCAATTTAAAATAAAGAGCAATAATTTAAAATAAAGTAAAATGTATTGATGTGAACATAATGGTTCTGCCAAAATAATTCACACCGGGTAGTATATTTGAATTGTATACATGGCTACGCCCATGGCTACAAGGATCCGAGCAATTCGCTCAATTTAAATATGCAATGGCTCTTTGAATACGCTGCGCATTAAACACAACGTTTAAACACGATACTGACGTCAAGGCACTCGTGGTTTACTGGCAGAAAAAGGCACGACACACGGATTCGGTACCATTCGAGAGAAAGCTAGTACAGGAGACAGTCCTTAGTAGATGACACCATGCAACCTTTTTGCGTCCTAAATAATGTTTCGTATGCAACTGTAATTTTCGTTTTGAGTGTCGTTGGTACGAACGCAATCCAGACCGTGACATTCCCGGGAAACAGGCGAGCAGATGCCGTCTTGGGCGCCCCAGAAAACACGCTTCTGAGCGGGCACGCCTACCGCCGGATCGTCGGTAAATCTCGGCTACAATGCGGGGCGACGTGCGCTGGAAATGCCACTGGATGCCTGTCGTTTAACTACTGCAAAGACTCCAGAGTTTGCGAGTTGAACAGCGCCGAGGCAGCTCTATACCCGCAGGATCTGACCCATGCCGGGGGCTGCAACTACTATGACATCTCTACCCGGTCTGGTAAGTACAATATCTCCCTTTCTTCATTTTACTTTAAAGGCACTTACGATCATTAGCATGTATCCTAAAGTAACCCACGGAACTATTATCAAAAAGCTTATTTGGATTAAAGATTGGCACTAAACATCCCGTGGAATTATTCTGCCTGGCTTGCTGTCATTAAGAAGATATCACGAAATGTGGGCGATCGCGAGTTCCAATGATCGGTCAATAATTGACTGATTTTTGGAATAAAGATTGCTATTGACGAATCGTGTTTCGTTATCAAAATGTTATGCATGTTTTTTTCTTTTCAATTCATGTCTTTTATCCATTTATCATAAATCAACAACAACAACAACAACAACAACCAAAAGACATGGAGGAAACCTGGAAGATCATGAACATGAGAGACGAATCGAAAGAAACAGTCTAAATGTCTAGGAACTAGAAATTAATGTTGAAGCCAAAAAAAAAAAAGTTTCCTCGTAAAACTTTTCCTCGTAAAATGTGATATCCTCTGAACTGGAACTTCAACAGGTAAGGTTTTTAGAAGTCTTCTTTGGATTTTGAGTGTGTTTAATGTTATGCATGAATGGCAAATGATCTTATGTGTCTTATTATAATAGATTCTGCATACTATCGCGATCGTAAGGTGATCGTAAGATGATGACATGAATTGTACTTGTCTTTTGAATTGTGCTTTTGTACATGAGTCCTCCTTTAGGCTGGATAAGGCACATGAATTGCTGTAGACTCCACAATCATACCGTCATAGGTGCATAAAGATGATGCGTTGTTCCATAAACCAGCATTCTCGGGAAAAACTTGAATTGTTTGCCAAATTTTGAGGGACTTTTACTCCCCAATTCTCTGTGCCTCGAATTTCACCCATAAATCTAAAAAGTGTCATTTTCAGATTCCAAAAATCTTGACAAAAGCAGGGAACACGCATTGAAAAATAATGGTCCAGTATGATGTCCCAGAACAATCTGATGAAAGTGGTTTTTCTTACTAAAAAACATCTTTTAACATTTCAAAATAGGCGTACATTGTTCCTTTTGAAACCTTCTCCTGTAAATTGATTTTAAGAATGTCATCACTGTTTTAAAATTCATTTTTGGTTACCATCAATGTTTTGTTATTAAAGCAGTTTTGCTGTCATTTTGTGCATCACCTCAAACGAACATGTACCGTTTAATCTCCACAAACTGATCTCAAGATTTAACGAACGCCCCAAAACCTTGAAAATATAGTTTTTGCTAGATCCAGAGGGGCAACGTATGCCATCTGACTGACTGAGTAACTGACGTAGTGACTGACCGAGTCACTGAGTAGACAATAAATGTCATTATTGGACACTTTCGGGTCAAGCTCTGTTATAGACAAGCGTAGTCTTGTTTTTTTTCGCGTCGACATCAGTCTTCGCCATCAATCTATAACCTTTCTGCTTCATTCTGTTTATCGACAGAATGCGGGATGGTGACTGACACCACCGTATACTACCGCTTTCTGCCAGCTGTAGCAGACGTGAGGAGAATAGAGTTCCGGGTCCAAGCCAACAACGACGCTGGTGTTAGTCTGATCCCCACTCTACCGGCCAACCCCAAGACGAGCTACGAGATTGTCTTCGGCACCTCTTCTAACACTTGCGCCGCCATTCGCCGATGCGCACTGTGCCAGAATGAAGTCCTCGTGTGTCTGAAGGGTCTGCTCAGCGGAAGTCAGTTCCGGGGCTTCTGGGTAACATTTGACCTGCAAACCGGAAGGCTGGCTGCTGGAAGAGAAGGTCAAGAGGCTCCGATCATGCAGTGGGTGGACCCCGACCCCCTGGATGTGAAGTACGTGGGTTTCTCAACGGGCTTCGGGAGCACCGGCATATTTCGCTATCCGTGTTCGATGTGAATGTGGAACTTCTTACATTTTGGCACACGAGAAACTGGAATAGGGCTTACATTAAAAATAACTTCATTTAGATCAGTTTTAAATTTTAATTGCCAATAAATAATTAGTCGCATCCTTGCAACAAAGTCGTATCTCCTAAAATGGGCCGTACGTGAAACGCGAGTTTCAGAATGTCAAAAGGTCGTATGTCACTGGAAATCACCCGAATGTACACACAAAGTCAATGGACGTCGAGATACAACCTTGTTGCACGGAGCATATTGCGCGAGATACGTCTTTGTTAGAGAATGGAGTTACGATCTTGCTGCGCTGACGCGACGAATTATGAACTTTAAAAAAAAATTGAACAAATAGTAGTACATGCATAGTTCAACTGCAATATTGAGTTGAATGGAATTGAACAATGATGAAAAGGCAACATTCGATCATTTACCGTGATCCAGTGGTTACGGTGTTCGACTCATGTACGAACCCCGGCGGGGAACATGGTGCATGTGTTCTTGGGCAAGACACATTACTACATAGAGTGCGTTCGATTACTTCCCCCAGCTTACTCGCGCCTGGCTCCTCGCGTGATGACAGACATGCGCAGTGGAGCCGTAAACGAACGGTTTCGGATCAAGTTTCGTGCAAGAGCTGGAAACATGGGCGTCGCCAGGATTTTTTCTAGGGGGGGAAACATTTTTTTCCCAAAAAATCCTGTTTTTTCCTCAACAAATTGTCGATTTATCAATTTCAAAGGGGGACAGGGACATTTTCCCCCCACCCATTAAATTCACACCAATATGACTTCTCGCCTCTATTCATTTCTTTTTTTCCTCTATTTTTTCCCCCCAGTTTTTGCTTTTCCAGGGGGTCGACCCCCCGCGGCCTCCCCCCCCCCCCCCTCGCGACGCCCATGGCTGGAAAGTTGAATTTTGACATGACACAGGCGCAACCTGACGCCACGTTTTTCTTCATATATCATCTCAATGAAGGTCATTTATTGCAAAAATTGATTGATAAGACATGAGTATGGGACTGAGAAATATTTCCAGTTTTGTTACGAAATACTGAAAAAAAATGTTCTTGACTCTCCAGAGACTTTGTACACAATCGCGGAAGTGGCGGCAGGTTGCAACATTTTACCCAGTCCGCATCCGAATCAATTAACTGTCTAAAGCACCTCCACGCCCAGTGAAAATACGCGGGGACGCGCTGACAATAATTCGTAGCCGTAGCTCCGTGCATAGAGCTACGTAGGGTGTGTAGCTCTGTGCTCCGTGGAAGCCAGTTTCGGAAACGGCCTGAGGCGCCCGCCGGACGTTGCATGGCCTTATGGGATACTAACCCAAGTAACCGGCTCGGCAAGTTGGTTACTTGGGCCAGGTTCGAGTAAGCGCGAGAAGTCACGTGAGAGGTAAATCGAACGCTGTCGCGCTTGCACGAGTAACCGCGGGGAAAGTAATCGAACGCACTGCTTAAAACAATTGCTTTTCTCCATTCAGGAGTATCAATGGGTGCCTACCAGTGAGGGCAGAAACCATATTGTGCTGATCTCGAGATGCTGATGAACAGGGATAATAATTTGGCAGCGACACCACGAAGTAACACTCACGTGGCCTTGAGTGCGCGCAACGCGCGCGTATTAGACAGAACCGAATGATTTTCGTTTTCACGAAGTAACACTCATGCACATTGTGCGTTGACTCGGTAAATTGCGTTTTTACGAAGTAAGGCCGTGTCAGAAACGGGCTTCTAGAGCTACGGCTACGTCTATTGTCAGCGCGTCCCCGCGATCTAGCTCTAGACAATTGATTGGGATGCAGCCTTACACTCATCTTTATTTCTTCAATTTGAAGGCTTTTTATGAAATTTTTCTGTTATCCTACAAGAATACGGATTAATTACTTTCCTGACAAACGTTTTAAAACGTTTTATCCAAATAGTATTTCCTTCACAGTGTTGTAACTTTGTAAAAATGAAAATCGTTCGCGCCAGTGTCCGATGTGCGCGCGCACACTTGAGTGTTACTTCGTGAAACCAAAATTTGTCATTAAGCGGTTTTCAAGAAGTAACACTGAAGTGGACTTGGTTATTACTTCGTGGTGTCGGTTGTGAATTGTAAAACGCTTTGAAATCTTACATATGAAGCGCTATAAAATCACCACATTATTATGATATGTTATTATAATTTTATCAGCGGCGGCGGAACGGGTTTGAAACTGGGGGGCATCACCAAAAAGGGGCACTTGATCAGCATTTTTTTTGGGCACATCCGTGCTGAAAGGTCGACACGTGTTTGTCACCGGACACTTGGCCTCCGTAAAGTCAAATAGTGCGGGGGGGGGGGGGGAGGGGGGCTGGTACCATCTTCCCACATAGGGGGCGCTCTTCAAAACTGATGATTATACGCCAACTATGCATTATGTGCGTATTGTAATGGTTTTGGGGGCTTTGTTTTCATATTCCTCGTTTCTATCAAAACTATCTATACCATTATTGTGAAATGGTTACTTCTAAGAAATAGAAAGATACTTTAAGGGCATTTTTTTTTATCGCGAAGGGGCACTTTTATGCTCGAGGCGAGGGGGCACATTTATGGCCGCAAAAGGGGCACTTTGGAAAACCCCCCCAGACCCCCCCCCCCCCGGTTCCGCCGCCACTGAATATTATGATACCAGTGAGATGTAAGAAAAAACATATCCTGGAGAGCTGTTGTAGCTACAAACTAGTAAAAGAGCCTCATTAGTGCATTTCTGTAACACAACCGATGAAAGGGCCACTCAACTCGGTTGATTTTTGTCTACGTTTTTGAGCAAGGAATCCGAGACCAAGGTTAGGCCACAAAAAAGTCTCCGGTTTCTGGTATGAAGCTTGCCCAAAAAGTGGTGCGGCGACGCGGCTTTTTTTTTTTACCTGATTTTTTTTGCTTCAAATGTCGGCCGATGACTGCAAATGGTGCCCGACTAAACTTAGTGCAAATATATGGGAGTCCAGAGAGGCCACATAAAGCTTATTCTCGACCATAACCCAATCTAAAAACACGTTAAAATTGTGCAGCAGCAGGATTCCAGTCAAACCAGTGAGTTTGGCGGTTTTGAGACATCATCTTTCATTGAAAAAAAAACGTTTTCATTTTGCCGACGCGCATGGCTACGGCGACGCGCGCGCATACCAGAAACCGGAGACTTTTTTTTGGCCTTAGGTCATACTATGTTACATTCATGAATGTCCAACATTCAAAAATCACGCTGAGGAAATTCAAGTTATCTTTTCGAAAAGAAAACACATCAACTGGAACAAACCAAACGAATAGAATTTGGTGTCTCACTGCCTCTTGGTTGAAATCGTTTCACAACAAAATATTTCCTTGCATAAATTAAAGGACTCATTTACCAACGTGGACTTCAATTCATTGTTAAGCGAGCATTTGAAGTGATTAGTTTTAAAAAGTTCAAAATTAAAAATAGGTACAGAATAATGAAACATGTTTAGCTCTGAAAGAATTCTTAAACCCAAAAATCGTTTAGGATATCACAATCGAGATTTATTCCAACAAACTAGAATGCAAAAAGTTAGCTATTAAGGATACCACATGAACCAAGCGTAAATCAAAGTCCTGTACCATTTCATGAAATCCAGACTCTTTAAAAAACAATACATATTTGTTGTCCTTTTCTGGAACAGGTAGGCGCATTGTGACCAAATCGTCAATATTAGTGATTTTACGGCAATTTTTGTTTTTTTACCCATTCTGGTTAAAACAATAAGAAAGGCATATATATGTACACATTGCATACAAATGCTCACATCAAATGTAATTGCAGTTAACATTATTTTGATTTTGTGTCACGGTTTAAATTTATTTTACCGATTTTTGAATTCAATTTAATAAAAGTTGAAAAATTGAAACTCAAGCAGAAAGGATAGCCTAAAAGTGTTTTTTTTTTCATGTAAGTGGTTCTTCTCCGATTTGATGCATGCAGTGCTTTGATAAGTGAGGCCCAGACCTCACGCAAAATAATGTCATTAAACGTCCACTAAATATGCAAATGACTGACAAGCCTCAAAGCAATTGCCCTGCACACGAGACACAAACTGGGAAGATACTAGTATTCGTTGCTGCCACGCCCGCCGGCCAACGGAGTGGTACGCCTGCAACACAAGGCGTGGCCGACGTTGATCGAGCCACTTGCGTAGATTCTCACAGCGCGCACGCCTTCTATATCGAAGGCGCACTCGTGCCCGTCGTCGTAATCGTAACAAGGACCGACCTTAGCCACACCAAGGTTTCCGGAAGCCCGTTCGCCAGGTCGAGGGTTGTACCAGCCGGGCTCCCCGGGAAAACTCCCATCTTTGGACTTGAAGTAGTAGGCTTCCTTCAACTGCTCCAGGGTGCAGACCTGCCGGTAGCAACTCTCGCATGCGACGGCAGCCATGCCCAGTTGCATGTCTTCCTTAGTGATGCGGCCAATAGACTTCATCAAATAATCTATAGGCAAAACAAAAATAATTCCAACAAACCATGGTTCGTATTTTCGTCAGCAGGTAGCGCATAGACCTTTCGGAGTAGCTGTCACGGTGGGCTCTTTATAATGGCGAAACATTGTGCCAGGTATTGTGCTTGTAAAGTAACCGCCCCTTGACATTATTATCTGAACAATAGCTGGCAGCCTAGTGCAATGCTTTCGCCATTAAAGAGGCCACTGCGCAGGCGCGGATCGAGGGTGGGGGGTGTTTGGGGTCAACCCCCCCCCCCCCCAGCTCTGTCGATTTTTTTCATAACCTATGCGACGAACCTTCCTCCCCCCCCCCCGCTCTGACACCCCTACAAAATTGAACTGGTAATAATCTCCGCCTGTGCCAAAATACGACAGAGCTAGATTGGTTAAGGGGGGGGGGGTGTACACTATATTGATTTGCTGATGGAAAAAAACACCTCCCCTGTAAACATTCCTGGATCATCTGCCCCTGTGATAGCATGCTACAGGTGAGGTCCACATGTTATGTACAGTGTCTTTTGGATAAAACCAGTAGGCCTACTTCATCAGAGACGGGCCATAAAGAGCAAGCAAGAAAAGTAGCCCTTTTTCGTTTTCAGGCAGATCGTTTGTCGGAACTGCAGCCTTGAGAAGGACATGCATGTCCATTTTTTTCTAGAAATAACATGAAAAAAAAAAAGAAATTTGTTTCGGAGAAGGGAATCAGCAGAATTTCACATGGAATTATTACATTTTTTGGGTAAATATTGTAATACACTTTTCCTTATAGAATAACGGTTTATGACGGACTATCCCAAGCGAAATATTTATGATGTTTAATAATATCGGTATGATTCAGCGAAATTCTTGCAGAAATTTTAGAATACTGAATTATTCCTAAAAAATATCTGCCGAGGTAAATCTACGGTGTGTTATGTTTTACACTGTTTAAAACATGACTTTAATCAAAACGTTCGAGAAAAAAATAATGACAACAGATATATCAAAATTTGACCACGACAAAAGGCTAAAAAAATGTCCATCGTCTTTATTTGCCCATAACCTATCCTTTCTCGTTTCTTAGCATTCGCCAATGATCAGCATAAACTTCAGGATACTTACGATCTCGCAAAGACAGACAGTTATTGTCCCACGACACCGACGGAGTAACAGCAAGAACCGTCAGCAGGAAAACAGTCATCTAATCAGGAAAGCAGGTGAGTAGTCAATCATGAGCCCTTAAAGGGAATGTACAACATTTGCTTTTGCTGCAATTTTCAGAAATAAATGGATTTGGAGGATAAGTATGTTATAGAAAATATTGCTAATCTGACTTATTTCACGTTTTGGGCTTGTAGATGCTGGAAAAACCAAGAACACCAACCATGTTCTTGTAGTCTGGTTCCCTGACCCCACTTAAGATGAAACGGAGCAATTAATACACATTGGGGAATTAGGTCATAGAATCAGTCTAGCACTGGCTTGTACCCCTTCACAGTTCTGTAATCAATTGCAAAGAAAAGTCAGAATAACTAAATATAAAAAAACTAGGAATAGTTTTTGAAAAAAAGCTAGTTTTCTCCAATGCTGGTCGGCCGACCAGCGTTGGAAAAATACAGTTTTTCTTGAAAATGTCAGCACATCAGGAGCCACGATTTTAAAGGATGCTTTAGACTGTCAGTCCCTAGCAATCCAGTTAGGTATTTCGTGATAATTTGATCATTTCGTTTTTTGATGTTTGCAAATGTTGAATCTTCCCTTTAATGCTGATAGTAAACTCTATTTTGATTGTTTGATTTCTGTCAAGGGTCGTTGCAAAGGTTACAAAAACCAGTAATCCACTTTACCTTCGCGTTAAAATATTACACATAAAAACTGCATGGGTACAACTAGTAAAAATATGGAAAAAAAAATAACTAACGTAGGAATTCAAAAGAGATAAGTAATAAAAAATAATAAAACACTGCTTCAGGGACTGACATGTGAGTATAATATACACACATTACCAAAAAAAGTGGGAAACGAGCAGTTTGAAACTACAAGACAAGATTTGAAAGTAAACAGGAAATAAAGGCGTTAAATGACCAAAATTTGGTTTGGAAGTCGTTGAAGAGCAACAATCTATCATTGATTTACATCACCCCGACGCAATTTCTATCTTATGAAAAGCAAAATGAGGTTGTGGGGTATAAAAAATAAAAAGTATTTAACCCAATTCGATAGAATTAGGAGGTATCAAACCCAAAGTCCAAAAAAAAAAGAGTTAAAGACAAATTATTACACACATTATGAAACATATGCATAAATTGGTTCAAATGTAAAACAAGTGCATGAGGAAGAGCAGAACCTTACCATCACTTTGTACATGGTGATGCGTCGAGTCGATCACGAGAGCACACAGAAATAAGTAGACGACGTTTTACTCTCTTTTTGGGCGTGTTGGTCGCTTCGATGCTGGTCTGGCAATGCCACACGGGGAGCTGCTCACGGCAATATAAAGATTGTGCCTCTTTTCTGTCCCCTTATAAACTAGGTGCACAGTGCCAAAGGTAGAGCTATAGCTTCTGCAGACAACTATTGTGTCATCTCCTTAGTGGTTGCAGTCATTGTACTTAGGGTTAATGTGTCGCGGGAAACCAGATTTAAGCTGAACTGTTTAAAAGGCCACTGATTAAGTCGGGCACAAACATCTGAAAACAGACAATAAATGACCTCACCCGGTTGGCCTATGCGCTTTTCATGCGGATAGCTTTCTTTATTTCTATGGTTTCTTATATATTTTTTTCCCCTCTGACGGTGGGGTCGGTCGGTCAAAAAAACATATCTGAAAAAATTACAGTTGCAACCGTATAGTAGAAGATGGAGCCGGTGCGACTCCACTTATCAAATCAGAGCTAAAAATTCATCCCCAGCCCAGTGCAAGTCCACTTTACCAAACCACTGCAGATAACAAATATCACAGCCCAGTACTAGTACTAGTCCACTTACCAAACCATTACTAAAAAAAAATACCCCAGCGTCCACTTATCAAATCAGAGTTTAAAAATATACCCCAGCCAAGGTCAGGTCAGCTTTGTTTATGTCGAACGAACGCCGCTGTGTCGTGGGGTTTCCCCGCATTCCGTCGAACAACTGCTCAGTACTATTTGAAGTTTGGGGTATCGGACATATTCAAAGTCTCATCCTCACTGTCTGCTAACTGTCTGCCAAAATCTGTACACACGGGCGACTCGTAAAAGTCTAATTTTCATATGGCCAAGCTTGACTTATTGCAAGTACAGCGTGTGAGTCTAGTTGACACAACGTGTTTTTCTATGACTAATTTTACTTTCGCTGTACACAGTACCATTTACAAAGGCTTTACACAAGTCAGCAATACCACCTGCTTGCACTGCAGTCACGCATATTTGGCTCTGAATGGTTGTTATTCCGAAGGCCAAAAAAGTAGGGCACAAAAATATAAATCATACAAAAATGACCTCACCCAGTGTGCCTGACCGTCTTATGCACTTTTCGTAACGGTGTTCTTCTTTATTTCAATGGTTTCTTGTATTTTTTTGCCTCTGAAGTAGTCGGTCAGTCAAAAAACTAATATTCCAAAAATTATAGTTGCAGCCGTATAGATGACTTAATTAGATGATGCCAAGTGCGTATCGTCTCTAATTTTATTCTTGCAATGAGTTTATCATGAGTTGATCACTGAATAACATAGGTGTAGCTAGCAGGAGGTTTATATAAAGTTGGTTATGTAAAGACTGCCCCTTTCCAGTCAAATGCCCTTTTTTCAGCAGCGCTTACCCCTCCCCCCTCCAATATTTGTAAAGAGTGCTCTTCTGTTGTTAATAAATGCCTTTTTTTCATAACAAGTACCCTTAAAAAAAATATCGTGCCCTTTCTTTGTGCCATCGGCCGTCACTGGTGCCTTTTTAAAAAAAATGAATTTCGCGCATGTTTTGCACTGAAAAGCACCATATATTGTCCGTTAGTGTGCATAATCCTCAGTTTTGACTTTTACGGAGGAAGAACACATGTCTACATTTCAGCGCGGATGTGCAAGTGCCCTTTTCAGGATATTTTTATTCCCACCCCCAACCAAAATGAACTTGCTACGCCCCTGAATAATTATTGGGCAAGGTGAAGTCGACTGAAATGTTATCTGCACCAATCAGCTCACTATAGTGTAATGTTTTGGCAGTAGTGGCAGCCATGACATACCAGTAAAGGTGTACAAATGACACCTTTGATGAGAGGCAACATCCTCATCTTCTGGGATTCTATTGGTAGCTGTACGCTGTACAGCGTACTCAGCATGCGCCCGGAATCTAGTACATGTATCGTATCTTGCCTATACGCGATTTGTATGTTTTTCATACCACAGGAGGCTGTGTGTCATAAAGTGTAATGCACTTGTTTTATACTCCCGTCGGCCGGAGGTGGCATACGTTATACATTGTATTGGCATTGAGCACCTGTCTTCGGGGACAGTTCGCACACTTGACTCCTATAAAGTTTGTAAGCTAGGCCTCGTATTTGCTGTGATGGTTACGCTTGGAATCGCTTAGCTGTCTAATCTTTGTGATATAATTTTGGGCCAACTTTAAGATGCCTCAGGGTAAGAAAGTTAAAGAGGTTGTGGAATGCTCGAAGACATTTCCGTCATTTTTCGGGTATATGTAGCCTAAGGTGTGATGACATAAAAACGACTATTGTTTCTGTCATGAAATGAATACAAAAGGTACTTTTGAGAGCTGTTTTTCAGGTCCTGTTTCGACCCGAACGTGCAATTTGTGCAAAAGTCGTCGTTGGGGGCAGCAAACAAAACATAGTAAATCGTGACGTAATAAACAGGACTCCCTATGCAGCGTAGTATAAACGAGTCCTGTTTATTACGTCACGATTTTTCTGATTTTACGAAGAACCCGACGACTGTTGATTTCAGTTATGCGCTCGCCGACCAACAAATTACTCGATGAATATCAGTTTTATTAACATATAAACGCACATTACAAAGGAATGGGAGTTTGTCATTATGATATATATGGGTCTACTCTACAATAAAAAAAAATATAAAAAACAAAACGACTTTCAGCATTCCACAACTTCTTTAATTCATATAAGTTTGTACTGTATAGATTCTGAACTTGAACATGTGTTATTGCATACTGTACACCCATTATTCTTTTTATGTTTTCTGGATTTTTTTTCGGGGGGGGGGCTTTTTAGTCATAAGCATTTCCATAATGAATCAACTAATTAAGAGCTAATCAAGGAGAAGTCTGTGAGGTCCGATGATTGCAGTTTCACTAACGAATGAGCCTGTCATTTTCCTTAATTGGTGGGCGGATTTCCGCCTCTGATTAATACAGCAGGGCCGACCGGTACAGAAAAGAAAATGGCGTCGTAGACAGGATGGAGGCGTACTTCGCAAGATGCCTTGCAGTCCTGCTGATGCACTGTTAAAAAAACAAACATGGAACTGATCAACGCTTAATTACAGTAAGCGTTAATCGGCGCCAAGGTTTTTCTTAAGGCCTTCATGATTTTAGATTAATGAGGCTCAGCTGGTGGTGGACTGATCTCTCCTCCCCCCCCCCCCTGACTATACAGCAGCACCGACCACTACACAGCCTCATACCTGTCATTAAATCCAGACTCTTTAAAGGCACATTGTAACCAATCGGCAATGATTACTAAAATCATTTGGGCATTGTTTAAAATGTCTTTAACATACATTCATATTAATTTGTGGGTTCGAGCCCCGCCGTGGCCATGCGTGTTGTGCCCTTTTGTACGGCGCTGTTCCTCAATTACTCCTCTCAACCCAGGTGTTAAATGGGTACCGGCATTATTCAATGCCGGGAAGGTAACATACTCGCTGTGGAGGAGGTGTGACGATCCCCCACAGCAGCATATGAGTCTGGCCCGAACAAGAAATCGAATTCCAATTTGACAAATTCGTTTAAGTATGCTATTATATTACTCAGAGCTCGGACTGTGTTGAGCATTAAAAGTGTATAAACCCTCTACCCTTTCATCATTAGATTTTAAATGTATCAGTCTTGTTACAAAATATGTGTTTTTTTCTTTACAACAATACATTTAACGAATTCCAACCAAGCCCGAACAAGAAATCGAATTCCAACTTGACGAATTCGTTCCAGTAAATTATTAATCTGAACACGGACTGTGTTGCAGGTAATCGAAAAAAAATTCTCAAAATAATCTAAAAATAGGCAAAGATTCAATATCTATAACACAGTTTTTGTTTACATTGTGACAAAAAAGAAATCAGTAATAAACTTGTTAAAGCACAAATATCTTCAGTTAATAAACAACTTAATCTGGTTACATTAAAAATACTTCTTCAGCATCAGGTTTTCTCCGAATTAATTATCAAAGTACATGTATTTCCACAAAATACTATTTCAAAAGAAAATTAAAACCAATCACCAATGTTCGTGTAAACGTATATGTTTCTTATCAGTTAGGGCCTACGTGTTATTTTTTTTGTTCAGAATGCAAATTGAATCGGTTACTATATAGAGTTCTTCACTGGACGTGATAGAACTTTCTAATGCGATGCCATCTTGGAAATCAAAGCGAGGCAAAGAACGCCAGCCGAATATCACCCGCGCTAAATCGTCCAGAGTGTATTGTACCCTAAGCACTGCCAACTGCATGTTAGATGAAGGTACAATGCATATACCCATGATCAGTTACTCACTGACATATAATTCTATTTGTCTGATGATCGACGCAGCTGGCGCTCTGAAAGCTCTCAAAAATAGTTTTTAAAGTTTCATCGTCACCGAAACCCAGCTGAAACTTGAAATTCAAGAAATTCTTACGCAGTGTAATGTAAGCCAAATGTAAACCTCTTTCATTTTGACGACCTTCTGTTCTGATCGTCTTCTAATTTCCTCTCACACAGTTGAGAGCCTACCCGGTGCACTGCTTGAATCACTGGTATATGTACATGCTATGCCTTTCAATGACGTGCATACATGTAAATCCTCGAACTTTCATGAACATTACGGGGGGGGGGGAATTGTATTTCTTGAAACAAGAACTTCAGTTGCACTTGCAGAAGAATTGCCTTGCTTTGATTTTTAAACACGAACTTAGTTCTACATAACGCCATCTGTAACAAAATGGCCATTACTCAATGAATGTTTTTCCGATTGGAAAGGTTTTTCGTTGTTGAAAAGCTAATGAACTATGCTCTCATTATGTATCGATATTTCGATGCACATGTATATTCTTTTTTAAAGCAGTGAAAAGGGGGCGCTTTGAGGGTTCGGTTATTTTTTTTGGGGGGGGGGGGAACACGCTGTGTAATGACTTATCTAATTTTCTCCAGGCGTTTTCTTATCTTACGAATGACTCAATGTGAAGGTGGGATTTTCATTTCAGTTTGGTCCTAGCTAGCATCGTCACATTCACAGCACCACTGATTCAGTTAATAACACGACAATCATGTCTGATTTCCATAAAGGACGACCATCAACAAAGGAAATGCAGCCTAAACCATTACAGGCTGATAAAACAAACAACCTCTTCCTTCAGTTACCTCCGTGCATTTTTACTTAATATTCAACTTTGTATTTACAAAATAAAAGCTTCTTTGTAAGACGATAACAAGGAAATATATGGTGCTTCTAACTGTTGTATATTTTTTTCTCCAAACAGATTGTGATTTTGGTTGTTAAGTAAACCAGTTGAAAGCCCTGAGATGTGTTCACGTCCTCTCCGCTGGTGTAAAGGTGAGTAACTGACGACGACTAGGGCTGGGCAGGCGGATGATGAATAAAGTTCTTTCAAACTCTGACCTAGATCGGAGAAAGAATATCAAATGAACTTTTTGTTGACTGATACATTAAGCATAATAATCTGCAGACACAAGGAATCGATTTGCGAGTTAGGTACGGACAAATATGGACCAATATACTGATTACAAAACTGGAGTTATATAATCAGTGACAGCGAGGTCGGAGATTAAAGGATGAAAACAAAGACAATTATTTTCCTAGCAGACAGCGATCTGAACAGCCTCAGATGTTGTTACGCGCTAGCATGAAATGGGGCAATAAACATCAAATTCGGTCTTGGATCAATACTTTTTCTCACACGTGAAAGTTGATGTTCATAGATATAATAATAAATTTAGCGGAAAGCCGAATCTATGGGAGACTAGTTATTCTAAAGAGAAATATACAGTTTAATAAGCTTATTGTTGCTTCAGGACCATTTGTGAACTGGTTATCTTCCCTATTTAAATGTGTAACGGTTCAACTACAGCAATGACCCCAACTATGATAGTTCGGGCGGTGTGAACCAAAGTTTTACATTTGGCTTGAATCTCGTCTGATGAGAAGCGAAAATGAGAACTATGAACTGGTGTGTTGACAATCCGCTGTAAAGCAGCTTAACCATTTCAGGTGATAGGAAAAGATCCAGGTTTTAATTACCGTGCGAAAGTTATCTACAAAGGATGTAGCTTTGCAGTGTGCAATCTGGTGTGTTAAACGTGGTTGGAATTCAGGTAACATGAGGAGGGGTTCTATCCTCAAGGATACACAAAAGAATAATAACGACTCGGCCAACTCCTGGTTAGACGCGCGATAACGGCCCGTACAGGTGGCAATTACCATAAATACTTGTCAACAAAGACTCAGCTTAACGGTCTCACTGCACTCGGCGGCCATCAAATGTGCAGGGCTCTGTGCCCGATCTGGTGTCGAAGTCTGTCAAACCAGCTAATTAACTTTTTGAATATTCATGATCCTACGTTTTTGGTCTTGTGAATTCTGATAAGTGAACACAATGTCGTTAACTTTAAAATGAACTATGAAATGTCGCATTTGTTTTTTTTTGGTTCGGGACCAAATCTCTCCAAGCTTTTAATGAAAGCCTAAATAATAACACAATTTGTGTCAATGGTGTCCTCCTCGGAAAAAAGTGTCACATTGACGTTTATTTCCTGGGTAAATACATCATTTATGGCGACAAAAACTTCACAATACCATCTGTTATATCCTGAAGTATTTATTTTCAAACAATTGTGGAACAAGTAAATCTAACATGAGGAGTGGTTTTGCTTACAGTGTTATGAATATTTCCGTCTTAGATGTCGTGCAAAAAAAACCCGACAAAATGGCACACCTGGAAAACTCGCGATTAACATGCCAATGGGTATTAGTGCCTGTTACCACGCGTCTATAACCAATTAAGGTAAGTCCGTTCAATGCATTTTGTACTAGAGCTCGTTCATCCGTGTGTGTAGGATCTGTGTATCACTCCACGGAAGCGAATACTGATCACGTTTCTCCTCCTTCGGATGCCACGCGAGTGTACAGTGATCACGCACTTTGATTTGTCTATCTTACAAAACCCGCAATGGATTCTGAATGTCTGCAAGTTGTGCTTGATCAGTCGACAAAAAAAACTCGTTTTAATGCTCTTTCTCTGGTCGAGGTCAGTCACACGTCAGTCACATCACCTTTACACTAGCGGAGAGCAGGCGCGGATCCAGAGGGGAGGGGGGTGTCAACCCCCCCCCCCCCCTAGCTGTGTCCAATTTTTTCTTTTGTTTTTTTCCATACAAATTCCCAAAAAATTAGTCGAAAACCCACCCCTGCTGTGACACCCCAAAAAAGTTTATACTGGTATAATGTTTGCCTGTTCAAAATACGGCACACCATTCTGTAATCTTGATTTTACGGAGGCCAAGTGTCCGGAGAAAAAAACCTGTGTACGTTTTAAGATTTATTTGCTGATGAACCCCCCCCCCCCCCTGCTAAAATTCCTGGATCCGCCCCTGGAGAGGACGTAAACGCTCAGGCGCGGATGGCGGGGGGGGGGGAGTTCAAGGAAATGCCCAAAATTATTGGAAAGGAAATAAATGGACAGAAAACATTGGGACATTGACATAAATATTGCACGATTTTTTTGGGGGGGGGGGATTTCATTGAACTATTATGATAATGTTATCATTGTTCACATGATTTTCCATAGGCGACTTGGTGAATTTGAAGCTCATCAATACTGACGTTTAGCAAGACTACTTGATGATATCTGGAGACAAGGTAAATGCACTCAATATTTTGGATATAACAGTAGCCATTTTGGATCGTTACTATGTCCTCATAATTATCCAGTCATTATAATGCTTAAGAAATGTAAGAGTGTGTAAGTAGAATCAGAAGAGCGAAATCATATGCTTTGGCAATATCCGAAAGATTCATATGGAGAAAACTTTCGGATGAAGACTTAAGATTTAACCAGCGTTTTATACTTACTAATTCAGATAGTTGTCTGTTATAACAAGGGTTTTTTTGCGAGTTGCTTTTGGACACAAATGTGAGGTGTTGTGAAATATTTCAGTTTACACTAACATTGGTGATTGTTTTTCTTTGGAATGCAATTTTAAAAAAATGTTATTTTGTGAAATGAATGGACATGTGGACAACAACACAGTAGCTCACGTTACATTGAGGTGGGTCGTGGGTCAGCCCCGCCCTGTTATTTTATTAAGTTAAAATATGGAGGCTTGATTTTCCTCACTGCAAATCCCTGAAATGAAGCCCACAAAACTATAAGAGGCCAACAAATTAAACATCTGTTGATTTGGCAATACGTTTTTCAAATGGACATGGACACATAATTAAACATTCTGCATTTGAAAGTTTCCTCATACTTTGCCCTGGTGGAAACATCGTTTTAGTTCCTAATATGCGAGTCGTACGCCACCAACCCACAATTATTAAAAGTGATCAGTCACCAAATCTCTAGAGGGATATATTTCGGTGACTCGCGTTACAACAACTCGCGTTACAGTTTGTCACCCGATTTAAAATATAGTAAGAAACTTAAAGTAAGAAATAGATCTTTTGGAACAACGTAAGAACCTTTCTGTGTACCTTAAAAGCAACAACTTACAGTAAAACTTGCATTATTAAGGCCTTTTCACACTAGAGCCTCTCAACCCAGGGTTGAACTTAACCCTGGGCGAGCCCAGTGCTGTCTGGGATTGAGTTTTGGATTGTTCAACCCCGCATTCAACCCCGCGTCATTTCGCACTTGTTTAGTGCAAACCAAGCTTAATTCGCCCAGTTACTACCGTTTTGAACCCCGGGGTGAGATTTTCAATCCGGCTTGAAAATCTCAACCTTGGTCTGGAGCAGGGTTGAGTTCAACCTGGGGCGTAATCAATCCTGGGGTTGAAGCGGGGCTAGCTCAGGGTTGAACATTTCCAAGTGTGAAACGCGGCATGTTTTCAACCCTGCGTCAACCCCGTATCAACCCCGAGATTTGTCCAGTGTGAAAAGGCCTTTTGGCATGTACAAACTAGTTGCCAAAATGACCACCTTAAATCAGATATCCATACCCTTTCGACAGTCCAGTTTCCCCATACGATACTCGGTTGCTCAGAGGGTAACAGGCTTGTCCTCTTGTTCCTGCAGAAATCCACAACCCAAATCGGAAGCCATCTCAGATTATAGTTACACGATTATTGACACAGAGCATGGTTTCCCTACCCAGCACTTTATTTGTGTACACTGTTATTTTGGTTGTGTAAAAATCAGACGGTTGTGTACTATATGAACCTAGCAGCTTGTTGTGTAAACTGTTGTTTATACAACTTGTGTAAAATATTACACAACTTGTTCATAGTTTTTTTACACAGCTGGTTGCTAGGTTCATATTATTACACAACCGAAATCACATTGTGAGCCTGATACATTATCTACCTGTGGTACTTAACAAGTCTGCTGTTTAATCAAATCAAATCACGTGGTGTTTATAATAGGTAGCGAACACGACAAAAATGACAACCAAATCTAATGAATGTGGAGGTAATTGGTAATTTTGTCGAAATTCATCCATTAACGTTTTATGCAACGTAACGCTCTCAGGCCATTCACCCATTTTATTAGATTTCCTGGAGAAAACCACAATTTAATCAGCAGTCATTCAACTCAAGCTTGTTTTGTTTAAAAACAGGCTGAGTGGAATATTCCCAGAGCACCATTGAGAATCACTATTAAATACACATGATAAAGACAAAGACCTAAAGTGGCCTGTCTCCCCCAATTTTTCTCGTTTCATGCGCAATTGCGACTGTCACTTCAAATTTGATAGCAGCTACAAAAAAGTCACTCTATAAAATACACTTCGGTATAGATGAATCGGTCAGTACGGGCAGGCTTTTCGCTGATGCGAATCTATGCATAAGAGCGCACTGCATGCTAGTCGTGTTCAAAACGTTCGGACGGACCGCACTTTGCGTCGAAGAACACTACCGTCTTTGCGAGAAAATAAGAGAACTGCTTTTCAACTAGGAGGAGAGGTTTATCCGGTTTTCCCACGGGAAAAACATTTGTACACTCAGTCGCCAATTCTCAAGCTTTCCTCCTACGTACCTTATAGGCAGACATAAACGTTGGTCGGTGTCGCATGCCCTTCCTCATCACAGATACATGTAATAACGTAACTTGTACTGCCACTACGAAGTGGGCAAAGCTCTGGACTACGTTGCTCTTGAGAACTAATTCCAATGCAACGTTGACTCTAAACAGCTTTGACTCAGAAAAGGCACACATAACTCATCATTTTCATAAAGGGGCCCGTAGTGTCCCCATAAACTTCACTGTATCACCTTGTCATTCCGGAGCATCCTCACTGTGTCGTACGCGTGATTGTCTACACTCCGTGCGATTGACGCGACTATCAGGCATCGATATTAGTTTTTGACGATCCGAGGGCAGATAATTCGGTATGATGGAGACCACTACAAGCTGGCTGCTCACCGAACAAACGGACTCCATCAATGCCTCCCATCAGGACAATAAATCCTTTTGGTCCAATGCTAGCAGCTTGCAATCAATCAGTACATTATTACAATCCAGTGATGGATTTGATTCCACAATACCAAATGAAATCAATGAAAGCTTATACACGAACGGCTTCTGGTCCGATCCATATTATACCACTGAGCCGACCTCTCTCTCAGAGGTATCCGGAAAACCCGCAATGTTTTTCGTTATGGTTAGTTTACGCTCAGTTGTCGTACTCGCCACAATTCTGGCTAATGTTTTAGTCCTTTACGCGTACGCCACGACGAAGAAGCTCCGTACGTATACCAACTATTACATCGTGAATTTAGCCATTGCAGACTTGGTCAGTGGCGGGTTCATACCGATCCGAGGCGTCTACAGGGAGTTTTCCAAAGACTGGCCCTTCAGCGAGGCTTTTTGCGCTTGCTCCACGTGCGTCGATCACATCTTCCTGCATGCGACTTTCCTGATGACCCTGACGATCTGCTACGATCGATTCCGAGCGACCAACATGCCGCTGAAACATTTATCAGAGAAAACGCTGCGCCACGCGTGTATGCTGATATTCCTGGCTTACATTGTACCAGTCTTTCTATGGACTACAATCATCATAATTCTACCGTACTCCGGAGTGATTTCACGGGTGCAACCTCCCCAGTGTTACGGTCCATACGCGTTCTATCCCGCCTTGCTCATATTCACCATATTGGTTCTATCCTGGGTACCTATGATATCGACCGTCATCTTGTACGCTTTCGTATATTGCGCCGTCATCCGCAAAGGTATCGATAAAAATCGAGTCACCGGCAAAAAGACGGTCTCTGAAAAAAAGTCAAAGGGAGTAGCATCGGAGACAAAGTCCGGGGATCCTCGGTCGAGGAGCTATCGCCTGGATACCGAGCTTAGTGAACGAGCTGCAGGGACGAAGCATCCGGCAGAGCAGACCAACTCCGAGGGTCGTGTGCACAGCATCTCTGCCGGACTATCGCAAGGACTTGCTAACCCAGCCTACGAAGAGACCGAGGAGGACGTTCATCGCGCCAGTGATCAGCCTAGTCTCCCCGGGCCGGTTCTGACAGAAAAAACGCTCTCGGCCGGTCCTCCCCGCCGTGGCAGCACCGGTGCCCCGGCGCGTTTTGCAGGGCGGGCGTCTAGACGCGAGAGTCGCCTGGCTAGCCTACGCGCTACTCGCACACTCACCTACATCCTCACGACCATGGTTGTATCCGCCTTACCCTGGTCCGTCTTTGCTCTGTGGGCAGCTATCGATCCGCTTGGCCTACCACTGCGGTATAACACAGTCTTCAATGTAAGTGTAATTTTTCTAACAATTCATATACTTTCGAATTTCGTTTTTCCAACATTGCTTCTAATTTGGACAATATATACCCACGTGAGTTTCATAAGTAAAATTACAACAACAGACAGTTCTTTAGTACATTTTTTGTGAATCAAATTTCAAAGATGAGGGAAAATTTTACTCTATTGCCCCCACCTAATGCTTATTTCATATTTAAATAATAAACTGACAACTTTTACTTGCTCGGACTCATTGTTTTCTGATTGAAATCGAAAAAGTGTACACACAAGTGTCATACAAGAGTCCTTGGTCCTATTTGATTCGGATACGTCTCAGGGTAACTATGACACTGTTCCAGGTTAAAGCGATACTTCTCTGGATTATTTTTAAGGTCATTTTAACCAAGAAACGTTTTGCAAGATGTGATTTTGTCCAGAAAAGTGTCATTTTGACCCAAACGGTTTCCGTTTGACCCAGTATCATGCCGCATAGAACTAATACAGTGCGCCACCAAGAAGTTGCAAGGGAGAGTTTATTTTTGTGCAGTGCATTGTGGGAGACGTTGGACAAAATCACCAGTACGGGAGACTGAAAATTGTCAGTTTGTCTGGCAGTATTTCGTAAGCGAATGATTCGAATATCTTTTTCTCTTTTAGATTATTTTTAACAAGATGGTGGTTTTTTTGTTATGCGGCAAAATTCTGTGCCCGATCTATCAACATTTTTCCTCAAGTTGTCTACTGACATTCGTTCAAATTGCGGCAAGTCGGCCTTGTTTTGTCGACCGTAAAGTTGAAACAATTGACTCTCCGTGGAATACTGCTGGTGGCGCACTGTATTGGGAATCGCCTGTGTTCTTGTACTTTTTAAAGTGTAGGCCGAGCACACCTTTTTCTTTAGATTTGACATGAAAAAGAGCCATATGTCGCTTATCTTTCCTGTATCTTTCAGTGGCACTGCAAATTGGACCCTTTAAATGCTCAAGTACCTAATTGTATTCTCTAAAAACATCCAAGTCAGCTTGAACGAGCTTCTAATTGGCTTGGCTTTTTCCGGGTCAAAAATACACTTTTTTCCTGGTCAAACTAACACCTTTCTTTTCAAAAATGTTTGCAGGGCACCTTACACGGAAAATGCCACCTTTGACCCAGAAATATTTCATTTTTGTCCCAGTGAAGGATTAAGCCAAATAGAACACGAATTCTGGGCCAATCTGACCAAGATGTTTTTTTCAATAGAGAGTAGCGTCCAATAATCCCAACCGTTGTTGTTTCTTTGGTTTTCTTATTTCCAGTATCTGGGTTGGATGTCTCACTTCAGTAGCACCGTGAATCCGTTCTGCTACGCCGTCGGCAACCCTCTGTTCAAGGCGGTCTTTCTTCGAATTCTCTGCTGTCGTCCAATCACAGCGCCGCGGAACGCCGAGAGATCCTCCGACCGACACAGCCGTACTTCTCGAGATTAGAGTCGGGTTGTTGTTTTGTGGATGGACCGACCAAACAAATGAGCCATATGTCATGAAAGCTCCCCAGGGAGCTGAGATGGTATTTGGAAAGTTTAATTGGCCCAATGATCAGGGGTAATAATAATAATACTGTAAGCGCTGTGATTTAGATTACTAATAAGAGCGTTCTTAAATGCCGTTCTTAAATAATTATTATTATTATTATGAATGCATGTATTAGGCTTTAGAGCAAATCTTTATCACTTTACATCATATTATCCCATAGTACGTCTGTATTATTTAAAATGTTACGAGTGATGTGACATAAGTGAGCATAATAAGCTAGTAATAGTGCACAGGAAATATGAATCATGTTATTGAGTTACAAACGTGAGATAATCGAGTACGAGACTATTTCATTGGACGTTGTTCAGTTCAGTTGTGAATTATTTATGTAAAAAAATAGGCAAAAATAATGATTGAATTAAGATACATGTGTATTCAGTTCTGCCATGTATTAATAATAGGCCTATCATTTGGAATATCGATCTGGCTTATTATCAAACCTACTCTGTAGACCTTTGCATCTGACGTCACAACTGAGGGCAGGTCTCTGTTCCTTTTTGATAAACATGAATAGACTAATTCAACTGTCACTCAGAATTATAAATGACAAAAACTGCCCTCAATGAGGGCGCATCGTGCAAAGGATAAAGTCTAGGAATCCGGGTCATATTTGACGTGATACTTTTGACCCGGAAAAGTAGCAGGTCAAATATGACTTTTATTCGAAGTCAAATCTGACCTGTTGTGTGTCTGGGATATGAGTTCACTCTGAAACACCACTAAAACTGTTTAGCGCCCTCTATAATGTGTTGCTATGTTAACCAGACATGAAGTTGGAGGAGTTCAGAATACACAGTTGTTAGTCAGAATACTGTCTGAATAAGTGTCGTCTTTCCAAGCCTCAATCATGAACAGAAGCACATAACATTGTGTATTGTAATGTGTTCTTTGTTTTCTTCATGCCTTGATGTCTGTTGGCTGTAGCTCCATGTACGGTTCGATTATTGGGTTCTGAGATTCACTATCGTTAGAGGCTTTTAGTCGTTTCATCAGTTTGATGAGGCAAAGGACAAGAATGACGATGGTCATGATGGATACTAGGAGTGCACTGGTCGCGGCTACGAAGGCTGGTATCCACGGGGTCAGGGGTGAAGGGTCATCCGAAGCAAAGGTCAGAAGACTGTAAGTCGGTTCAGAGGTCATCGTAGTGATCACACCGGTATGTTCATCGTGGACTGTTCGAAACATGGTAGATGGTGTTGCTTCAGGTTCGGCTGTGGGTTCGTTTGTCACCTTTACCGCGGTTTTTCCTGTTGCTTCGGCGTGTGTGGAATCCAGTGTGGACCCATGCTTTGCTTCGGTAGCATACGGTGATGTTTCCGTGCTTTCTGTGTCCGAATATGTCACAAAAGGTGCAGGTGTTAAGGAGGTGACTGTGTCATATACTGCTGGAGTTGTTACTTCTCTGGTGAGTTCTGAGGTGGATTCTGTGGTGGTTTCTGTCATCGGGTCTGTTGTGGGTTCTGTCACCGGTTCTGTCACAGCTTCGACACTAATATGCCCTATGGTACAAGAGCGCCTCAGATCTGGAAAGGCAAGTGATGAAATCGAGCACACGAATGCGATTCCGTTGTTCGAACTGTTACCCGCTAAATCCAGCGACATCGAAATGGTTCCGTTCATGTTGGATGTTGTCCACGCATAGTCACTAGATGGGCATTCCTGTGAAATGTCCATAGCGATTTGTGGATTTCCTGCCTCAGACGTACAGCGCATGGTCAGCTCCGGTCCAGGGGTAAGTGTGATGGGTCCGTCAGGGAAGCAAATTGGGAAATTCTGACTTGGAAAATACAAGACTGAGAGATTGATGCTAGCGGAGGCCTCTATGTTATCACCTGGGTCGGTATTGATGTTCTTGACATTGCAGACGTATTCACCAGAGTCTTCCCTCTTAACATTAGTGATGGTGAAATCCTGGATTACCAAGAGCCGGGATGTCGGTCTTTCGGTGGTCTCAAAGACGAACCGTGGGTCGGTGGTGATGCTGGCTCGGCCCCACCTCAGGGTGTGGTAGGGCGGGCTGCCGGTCACCCATTCCAATGTGTGGTATTTATACAGATAGCGTGCGACACACGTCATATGCACCACATCACCTTCCTTGATAGCACCGTTGCTACGCGGCTCCACGATCCACGCACTCACCGTCTGGGCCACGGCAACCATCACCAAAGCGTTCAAACACAAGAAGCCCACTAGCATCGAGCATACAAAGAGCCTGGCGTCCATCTTGATTTGTCGGGCAGGAAATGTTGCCCACAACTAGTACGTCTTTTGGAAAAAACGATAATCGAATTTCGGCCGATGTAGACCTACTCGGAAAACGGTGTACGCAGTATACAGTGGCACACAGCCCATTACGTTTTATGCTTGGAACCTGCAGACGGCCTTACCTTTCATGAGTGTCCTTGGGTAGCACACTTTACTGCAATTACTTTTCTTCGACTAGAAGTCATTGGATTTCAGAAAGTAGTGTAATATTCTTTATCTACCCTGCTTTTGAGTTTAGGTGGTTTCAAGGACCTTCACACACTATAAGGAAAATTGCGCCCTCAATTGCATAATAATTTGGTAAAAGGTGTTCAATTCTACTTCCATGATAATATCGAACACAAACTTAGTGTGCCGGTATCTCTGTTTTCATTCTGATATAACGATTGCTATTTGCTATATTCAGTTCAACTTTCTTTGTATTTATTGATCATAAATGTAAGTTAAATATTTCTTCCTGTAAGCAAACGCACACCCACCCACGCACGTGTGTATTTGTCTGCAATCGGGCACCCCCTATTGTGACAGTCCCTCTTTTGTTTGTACTTCAACTTTTTTAGGAAGACCTCCCATATTTTTGTACACGAATCCAAATTGGGAACCTCTCGGGAATGGGGACCCTATTGGCCTCTATTGTTCAACGTCCTCCATTGAATGCAGAAACAAACTCACACACACCAGAAATCTCCTTTTGATTACAAGAAAATGTACAAATACCCATTTAATTATATTTATTTACAGGACAAGGCTGGTATTAACCACCAACAATAATATTCATTTAATTACAAGTTATTTGAAAAAAATCTGTAATAAAAAACGAGAATCGACTTATTTCATTTACGAAACACATTCGCGAAAAAACCACGCTTTTTGAAAAATACAACTCAACTGATGACAATTCCGATTATTAACTACATAGTTATTTCGGCAGTTTTTTTCACAGGTTATTTTCTGTCCTAAATATAATCTGAGTATTATGTTTGTACTTCAATTATTATTTGCAACTACTAAACCTATATACACAGGGGCGGATCCAGTGGCGGATCGTACCATACTTTCAATGGGGGCGCTGTTCAAATCCGACCATCATTAACACTAGCACAGAATAGTGTACAAATACCCCTGTAACGCAGCTGGCTCTGTCCGAATTTTGTGCACAGGCGGACATTTTTACCTATCTTTTTTTGTTTTGGTGGTCACAGCGGGGAGGGGGTGGGGTGTCCCCCAACCCCACACCCCCGGATCCGCGCCTGACACACGCACCAATGTAAACATATCACTCATCTAAACAGATTGATGCATTATTGTACTTGCAAAAGTAACTATAAGAGAAATTCGATTTTGAATGAAAATGGTCCAAATTTAATTTCCGATCGAATTAAAGTTTGTTAAACCACTTGTGATAGCCGTAGCGTTGATGATCATTTCACTATACATCTCTGCCAAAGTTTAGAGAAATACAGGGTGGGTTTAAACCCAAATGGCAACCCGTTATTTTTCATGTAGCGTGTTCCAGATCTATAATGTGACAGCCCAATTCATAATCTGTATTGTAGTAAAAGAATCATACATATTGCTCATGTACTTTTCCAATTTTAAGGAGTTTTAAACAAGAACATAGGTTTATAATGTTGTCCACTGATCACAATAAAGGTAAGTGATATTTTAGTAAAACGAAAACAATTCACCAAAAAAAGCATCAGAACACTCTCATTATCATGATAACTGGCACTTTTCATTTTGAAAATATTCTGCTTCCAGTTTCAAAAAAATGCTCTATAATGTCGAGAGTTTATAGTCTTGCCTTGCCTTCTACTTGGCTACCCTGGAGACCTATGGCATTGTTCTGATATCGTTTCAATGACACAACATGGTTTAATTTTTACTGAAATATCACGTACTTTAAAAGTGATCCTTGGACAGAGTTATAAAACTGTGTTTGTGTTCAAAATTCCATAACCGGAAAAGTAGCTTACATGAGTGATTCGAATGCTTCTTTACCTAAAATAAAGCTGATCATTTAGGCCTAGGCTTTCATATCCTAGATCTGGAAAGCGCTACATGCAGAACTTCTTTTTAAAAATTAGGGGCGCCATTTGGGTTTCCCGTGTTTTTTTTACTCAGCCTGTAGACGCCCTCTCCCATTTTTTTAAATAACGGGATTTTTTTCACTGTCTTGAAAAGACCGGACATTTCTAATAAAACATATATTCCTTTAGAATTGCAGTTTTCGTATATCCCACAAGTTAGTGACGGAACTGTTATTACATTTGTGGAAATGAGTGGACTCATAGTTTTTAGTTTTCCGTTTCTTCATATGAATTCTCTTCTGGTTGTTTTGGCTGTTGTTGGACGTTTGTTTCTATGTCCTGAAGCTCCATTTCGGGCTCGGGCTCTGGCGGCTGATGTCTCCTGGCCACCAGTTTGTTATTGTTCATCCGTTTTGGTATCCAGTTGCGAAGGAGAAGGAGGACATTTAAGACAATGGAGACTACGAGGAGAAGGAGTGTGACAAGGAAGGCGGCCATCCACGGAACATGAGACGGCTGTGTCTTAGGGTGAGGGCACGTCTTAGGCTTTTCAGTATCGGAGTCATCCTGTGCAGGCCCATTATCTTCATCATCTTCATTATCGTCATCATCTTTAGCAGCAGTAGCAGCAGCATCATCATCTTCTTTATCATCTACATCGTCGTCTGGTTTAGATTGATCTATGACCGGAGTTGTAGGTTCAGTGAAAGATCCAGATGCAGGAGATGAGCTGGTCACCTCTGGGAGTCCTGCTGGGGTGTACTCGGTGGCTGCTCCAGGTGCGCCCGTGACCCGGATCGGTCCGATGGTACACGAGCGTCTCCCACCGGGGAAATACACGGACGAGATATTGCACTCAAAAGCCGTCCCATCATCGGCAAGACCCACCGTCAGAGTCAGCGCAGCCGCCGATACCGTGTCGTTGATACTGCAGGAAGTCCAGGAATACCGAGCGCACCGTGTGGGTGTCTGCGTCACCTCCATCGTAACCGCCGAGTTACCGCTGTCTGACGAACAGCGCAGATTGAGCTCTGTGCCGGGGTCGACCGTGATGGGTCCGGCGGGGGAGCAGACGGGGAACGGCGCGCTGGGGAAGTACAGCACCGAGACCGCCACGCTGGACGTGCTCAGGAGGAGTTTCAGTCCGTCGGTGACTTCGCAGATGTTGCAGAAATACTCGCCCGTGTCCTCCGCACGTAGATCATGGATGATGAAATACTTGGTCAACGTGGTACCGGTTTGTTCAGTGTGGAAGTGGTACCGACCGATCTCGTCACTGCTTGTCAGCAGATGGTGGTCGTAGGTGACTTGGTCTGGTGGCCTGTCGCTCCACTCCACGAGGTGGTTGGACTCCAGATCGGTAGCCAGGCACCGCATCTCCAACTCTCCACCCGCCTTCCGATCAGCTTCTGGTGTTACGATCCAAGCACACACCTCTGGTGCTATGCTGGCCACTTGGCCATCAAGTAAACACAGTACAGAGAGAACGAACAGGCAACTGTAACTCCATGCACCCATTGTGTGGATTAATCCTGGCTGTAAAAACCAGACCAAAATCTTCTTGAAAAACAAGTCCGGTAAATCCAAAATCCCTGCAAGCACAATTTTCCCCATAATATTATGAAAACATCAAGCAGTCCCTGGCATATTTTCCTGTTCTAATTATCTGGAGTATCGTACACACCAGCTACAATGTAATGGGGCGGCAGGCCTAATATTAGTTATTACTCATACTTTTTCAATTATTATTCAAACGAAGGTTCAGCTACGTTCGCCTTCGCAAAGGCTAACCGCAAGCCGTGACACATCCAAGTAACAAAGGATACTCCACGCTTTTGTTGTTGCAGACAGACAGCTTTTTTCCATTTTATTGATTGCATCAATGCACTGCTCACCCGTCATTGTCCTAGATTGTTTACTTTCGTTTTGCAATTGCATTCTCCAGTTAAATACAAGTCGTAAACTTGAACACGAGATTTGGGGTTTGGGTCAAATTTAAATAATAGTGGACTATTGATGAAAGACCACAAACCAGTATTAGCTTTTTATGTGATTGGTTTTTTTTCACAAGGAAAAAGTAGCTTTATATGTTGTAATTGTGTTTTCAGATTTAATATACTTAATCGGGGAAAAGTAGATGTTACTAACTTCAGGAGAACACGCCGATATAAGCGAGAGAAAAAAACAAGAACGTTATATTGTACATAAGATATCAGAATTAGTTTTGTCGTTACTTTCAATAAATTGTATTTACACATAGACTCGCTAATTATTTCATTTGGCAATCGGCCAGATCAACAATGGATTTCAACATATTGAGAGTATTATGTTATTCATGTTAACGGTTATAGGGAGTAACAAAAAGTAGATATTTCAAACTTCGGAAGAAAATATCAAAATAAATGAAAGAAAGAAAATTATATTGATAAGATATCAGAACTACCATCGTCCTTGGTTTTTTCAGTGAATATTATCTACAACATAAGTCATTCTTTAATTCTATTGGCAATTGCCCAGCCCCACCAGTAACATCAAGCATTGGTTACAAGTCTTTGTATAAGTTATTGTATGACCAGGGTGTAAATGTATTAATCATGTTAACGGTTACAGGCAATGTATAAAATTAAGTTTTAAAATAAACTCAATATTGAAATGCAATCTGAACTGATGTTGTCAGATTAAAAACACAAAAGCCCCAAATTAATCAAGTTATTATCAGAAACATAATTTAAATGGCAAATATAAAAATTGGGAAATCTTATAACGCAACTGCCAATTTACCAAGCAGGGAAATAAAAAAAAGTACTTTGTACATTTCAAGCCATGATTTTTTTTCATTCTAAAATTAACTACGTACCGCGTACACTGAGATAGATCTACATGAACATCAGAAGACAAAAAACGTGGCAGTGGTAATACCAGACCGACGTTGCAAATCGCGATGACTTTTGTTGAACATTTGAACTTGTGAATTCGTATTACACCAACTGTATAAATGTTTGTATTTTTTTTATACGCAAAACATTTTTGGGTACAATATTTAAACATGAAAGAGAAAACAAACATTAATTTCACCTAATGAAAATAACGTAACAAAACTTAAAAGTTCAGTCATGTTTGATAATACACTGTTTTGTACATACCAAGTGTCATTTAAAGTAAACTTTGTGAACACTTAAAGTGGCTTTAAATTTCCTGCTGCGAATTTACAAATTTGTTTGTGTACTAGATAGATGAAAATGGATCCTTTTAAGCAAGAAACCCTTATGAGGAATTTCGAAAGCAGTTCGAGATACCAGGAATTACTCTCATTTATAACATTTGACAATTGTTTAACAAAGTAATTCCTAGTTGCCCATAGTTAATTTGTTTCACTCTATAGTTTAAGTATTCAATACGTATTAGCTGGTGTTGTTTTGTGTGTTTGATTAGAATACTTACGCATAATTACTGTCCATTTATTACATCATGACTTTACACTTGTTAAATGCAATGTTGAAATCAATGTTTACTCGGTCAATTATGTGAAAGATAGAACTATAATTGTTCGGATCCTAATAAATTCTCTTTACATGACTTACACCGTATGTAATGTAAAAAGTCGGGTGTCGGCTGCCACGAGCAATGTACCATCGGACGAAAATGTAATGTCATTACAATAGTATGGTCTAAAACTCCAACACGAAATTATTTCGCCAATTGTTTTTCTAAAATGCTGTACATAACCTGCCGCCAGGACGTAAATATCCCCACTTGCATCACAGCACAATGCACGAGGATGTTGGGCCGAAACGTTGAAACATTTCACGCCTGTCAAGTAAATAGCTAACATGTTGCACTTGTTTTCATCAATGTAAATAAGTTGCTGGCTGTTGGTGGTCAAGTGTTCAGCGATCATCGGAGCTGCTACTTTCCTGATGAGGGATCCGTCTGAGTTGTGTAGAGATATCTGTTCCTTGTCCTGATAGCCGACTGCTATGTAGCTATCACTCACTGCAAGACAGGTCGGCGTGCCGTCAATGTCTGCCTCACTGCCTGGTGTGAAATGATGAAGCAACTTCAATTTTTTATTGAAGGTATTGACAAGGGGACTATCCAACACGACGAGATCGTCACTATTGTTAACTGCAAGGGCCGTGGGATTCTGTACTTCGTTCGGATCGCCTGCAGTCGAGGGAATTGTAGTCTTTTTAGCCAGGACCTCTCCTTTCAGATTCATAATCTTCAGTTCTGAAGTGTTTGATGTAGCCACGTCGCCTGCTGAAAACACTGCGAAATGATTCACCTGACCAACGTTAACCCGAGACTTGCACTCCCATTTTTCCTGTTGCACTAGAGTCCCAATCTCACCGTCAACTTCGCTAGCATGTAAACCCAGAAATGACTGCTTGTGGACAGCTGTTTTCAAGTCCCTGTGAGCTTTCAACTCGCGAAGGAGTTTCTTCTTAGCCCCAAGGACCTCAGGGCTACTCGGTGACGTCATCACTTTGCTGACATTGCTCAGGACCGGCCGAGCCGTTGATGCAAATGTAAACTCCTTGTCTGTTTTGGCGACCAGCTCCTCAGCCTCGTGTCTCAGTTGCTCTTCCTTCTGTCTTATTTTGGCGATTTCCTTTTCCGCTTTCAGCGAAATTCGGATCCTTGTTTTGGTTAGCCTCATGTTCAGTCTCTTCCGAGAATCATCTGGAGACGGGTTCGCAGAAAGAAACTCCTTAATATTCTTCTCGGTTTGAGAAACTAACGCGTCGACTTCCTGTTTGCATTTTTTCATCGCCAGGCCGAGGTCGTCGTAGGAGTGTACCGATCTGTTATGCCGAGTTGTGGTGCATTCGTTACAGATGAGAAGCTCACACGTGTTGCAGTAAAAACAGAGGTTCTGATCTGGATGATGCTCGCACTTGTTCTGGCTTTTCAGCTTCCCTCCTCGGTCTAAGCTCGCGATGCGATGTGTTCGCAGTTGGGCAAAGCGTTGATGTGCCTCCTTGCATTCACAGCACAGATAGTAGTCACAGTCCAGGCATTTTGAGACGGCGGTGTTCGCCTCGTCACAAGCTTGACACTTGATCTGATATTCTGAACTCTGAGGCAGCGCTTGCACACCGCCCTGAGGAATAACAGTCCTTGCCCGGCACATTGGACACACGATGATGTCGTCCTCTTTGGTTGGAGTCTCTGAGAGTTCTTTGAGGCATTTCAGACAGAATTTATGCGAGCACTCCAGCAGCCTCGGATCTATGTACTCCGTGTAGCAAATGGCGCATTCCTGAGGTTTCTCCTGAGGTTCGTCGGCAGCAGGTCCACACTCACCACGTTCAGCCATGTCACTAAAGTAACAACACTCAGCTGAATTATACCCTGTGAAGAAAGAGAATGACAGTCACTCAAAACATACTGTATCCACAACCAAAAATGGACCATTGCCATTACGTGAATATTTGACAACTTCTGAAATGCCGTATTGTCTGAGGCATTTTCAAAGTAGCCAACGCTTAGCTCAAAACTGTGCAATTAATTGTTTCATCTGAATAATGTAAAGGCTGTCACAAATTTGAAGGGTCAAACATGGAGCAAAGTTCACTTGTTAAAAATTCAACCACTTTTACAAACGATTTTAACAGCAGGCCTAATTGATAACAGAAATCTCAGCGTTTTTACCTAGAAACACCAGTTCTCTGCTGCCAACGGCTCGCCAGTCCACTGAGGTATGTGTGAACGCATAACGCACTGGCAGGTAGAATGGAATTTTCCATACGCTTTCCACGTCTATATTTAGCCATACTTCATGTGTATTGATTTTGGAACAATGCATGTGTATTGAATTCCTCTATCACGTACAAGATGGTTGACCTTGGGTTAGACCAGCGCAGACAGTTTTCTCTAGATTGGAATACTGTATTTTACTGTACTGATTTGTTTTGTATAATTATTATTATTATTTTTTTTTTTTTGGGGGGGGGGTCTTTCCCTCTGAAGGCTATGGGGAAAAAATTACAAATTGATCCACCAAATATTTCCATTGGCTATTGGCCAGCACCATTATGGATTTCAACATGCATTAACAGTTACAAGGAGTATACACATATATATATATACAAAGTAGATATTTCGAAATTAGGAAGACTGAGAAAATACCATTATAATGTAAGAACACAAATTATATTATTCATAAGATACATGTGTTAAAACTAATGCCGCCCTTCATTTTCTTACTGATCTTTCAAATCAGAAATTCTTTCCAATTCGAAAATGCCCTGCTCAACAATAGACTTGTACTTTCGGCAGGTTTAAATGTTTATTCATGTCGACGGTTAACAGGGACTGCATGAAATAACGTCTTAAATTAAACTCCAGATTAAAATGCAATCGAAACTGCGGTCACACTGAAAATACAAAAGCACAAACATTAATAAAAGTCAATATCAGAGATATAATTTAAATGCTAAATATGAAATCCAGAAATATTTTAATGGAATGCCAAATACCAAGCGGGAAAATAAAATGTATTCTACATGTCAAGCCGAGGGAAAAAAACAAAAACAACATAAAAACAATTATGTGATAAATCGTATGTACGATGAGATAGATACATCAGAAAAAAAATGTGATAATATAATACCGGACCGACATAGTAAATAACAACGGTGACTTTAGTTTGACATTTGAATCTGTAACTTTTTACATATATAACACCAACTGCATAAATATTTGTATTTTTTTTATACACAAACTTTTTTGAACAATACACATTTTATGGAACTTTTTTCATTTCAGCTAATGAAAGTAACATAATATAATGAAAGATAAGGGAATATTTTTCATTTCACCTAGTGAAAGTAACATAACGAAAAATAAATACATTCACTTATGATTAAGAATAAACATTTCTTTTTACACACAACGTTATTGTTTGCGAATTTCGAAAATGGCTTTCCTGCTGTGAATTTACATTTTTGTCTGTGGTAAGTGTAAACTCCACAAAACAATCGCTGTTGTGATATTATGAAATTTGTTTGAGATTCCAGGAAATCGCTCTCATTTGTTATTCTTGACATTAGCTTAACATTGTAAGTTCAGGTTGCGAGCAAAGGTAAGTCACTTTATGACTAGTTTAAATAATTCAAATTATCAGATGTCTCCTTTGTTTCAGTGTTTGTTGGATTTAAATACTCATGCATAATTACTATAATGTTTCATTAATACCATCAACGTTCCTTCTCAATACAACGTTCGAATTTTCCCTCTCTTATGATTTATACTGAGTGAAATGTACGAATAAAGCCTTTATCAGACGCGGCGAGCATTAAACCAGGGAGCGAGAATGTTATGTCAGTTGCTACTGAACCCTGATAGGTACTGAATTCAAGGCTCCACGATGAAATTAATGTGGGATTTGTTTGTCCGTAATGTTGCACATAGTCGCCCACTATGACGTAAATATCCCCACCTACATCGCAGCACAATCCGCGAGGAATCCAATCTTTGCCCCAGAGGTTGAAACTTTGCTTGCCATTGAGGTCAATAGCTATCATCCTGCGCTTGCTTTCATTCGTGTAAATAAGTTGCTGGCTGTTGGTAGTCAAGTGTTCAGCGATCATCGGAGCTGCTACTTTCCTGATGAGAGATCCGTCTGAGTTGTGTAGAGATATCTGTTCCTTGTCCTTATAGCCGATTGCTATGTAGCTATCACTCACTGCAAGACAGGTCGGCGTGCCGTCAATGTCTGCCTCTTTGCCTGGTGTGAAATGATGAAGCAACTTCAGTTCCTTATCGAAGGTCTTGACAAGGGGACTATCCAAGACGACGACATCGTCACTATTGTTAACTGCAAGGGCCGTGGGATTCTGTACTTCGTTCGGATCGCCTGCAGTCGAGGGAATTGTAGTCTTTTTAGCCAGGACCTCTCCTTTCAGATTCATAATCTTCAGTTCTGAAGTGTTTGATGTAGCCACGTCGCCTGCTGAAAACACTGCGAAATGATTCACCTGACCAACGTTAACCCGAGACTTGCACTCCCATTTTTCCTGTTGCACTAGAGTCCCAATCTCACCGTCAACTTCGCTAGCATGTAAACCCAGAAATGACTGCTTGTGGACAGCTTTTTTCAATTCCTTGTGAGCTTTCAACTCTCGAAGGAGTTTCTTCTTAGCCCAAAGGACCTCATGGCTACTGGTTGACGTCATCACTTTGCTGACATTACTCAGAACCTTCCGAGCCGTGGTTGCAAATGCAAACTCCTTGTCTCTTTTGGCGACCAGCTCTTCAGCCTCTTGCCTGAGTTGTTCTTCTTTCTGTCTTATTTTGGCGATCTCCTTTTCTGCTTTCAGCGAAATTTGGATCCTTGTTTTGGTTAACATCGTTTCCAATCTCTTCCGGGAATCGTCAGGAGACGGATTCGCAGAGAGAAACTCCTGAATATTCTTCTCAGTTTGAGAGACCAACGCGCCGACTTCCTGTTTGCATTTCGTCATCGCCAGGCTGAGGTCGTCGAAAGAGTGTACGGATTTCTTGTGCCGAGTCGATGTGCATTCCTTGCAGATGAGGTCTTCACATGTGTTGCAGTAAAAACAGAGGTCCTGATCCGGATGATGCTCGCACTTGTTCTTGCTTTTCAGCTTCCCTCCTCGGTCTAATTTCGCGATGCGATGTGTTCGCAGTTGGGCTAAGCGTTGATGTGCCGCCTGGCATTCACAGCACAGATAGTAGTCACAGTCCAGGCATTTTGAGACGGCAGGGTTCGCCTCATCACAAGCTTGACACTTGATCTGATATTCTGAGCTCTGAGGCAGCGCTTGCACACCGCCCTGAGGAATAACAGTCCTGGCCCGGCACATTGGACACACGATGATCTCGTCCTCTTTGGTTGGAGTCTCTGAGAGTTCTCTGAGGCATTTCAGACAGAATTTATGCGAGCACTCCAGCAGCCTAGGATCTATGTACTCCGTGTAGCAAATGGCGCATTCCTGAGGTTCGTCCTGATGAGGTTCGTCACCAGGAGGTCCACACTCACCCCGTTCAGCCATGTCACTCAAAACACAACACCCTCTCAACTCAGCTGAAGTATACGTACAGCCTGTGACGAAAAAAATGAATAAATAACAGTCACGCGAAACATGCATTGTCGCCACAACCAAAGCAAAATTAAATTGACCGTGCTTTCCGTTACGTGAATTTTCTGAGTTCCTAAATGTTTTAAAGGTTGTTTGTTACCTTTTAAAATAGCCTGCGCTCAGCTCAAAAGAGTCCATGCACTCTAAATTCACTTGATCTCAATATGTAAAGTTTGTCACAAATTTGAGTGGTCAGACATTTTGCAAAGAAAGAATTCAGTTGATAAAAATTGAACCGATTTGAAAACGATTTGAATGGTAATTGATAACAGAAATCTCACCGTTTCTTCCCTACAGAAACACCAGTTCCTGCCAACGGCTCGCCAGTACTTGCAAAAATGGTTCTGCGTGTGTGTGAAAGCATAACGCACTGGCAGGTAAAATGAAATTTTCCATACGTTTACATTTCCACGTCTATATTTAACCATACTTTATGGTGTTAACTTTTGAACAATACATTCAATGCCCGCACCACGCACCAGTGGTTGACCTTGCCTGACACCAGCGCAGATTTTCTTTTCTCCATTGGAATGCTGTATTTTACTGCATTGCACCGAATACACATGTTTCATTGTACTTCAAATATTTTTTTTTTGACTGGGAAAACAGTAAGTTTGTATAGGCATATGTGTCTGGGTTTTTCACCAGGCCTGTATTTATCAAAGATCCTGTGCTTACGTCACACACTAGGTATGTGTATAATGTAGGCCTGGGCAAGTAGTGGATAGTCCTACTCGAGTACTCGCAGAAAAAATACTCGCAAGTAGTCGAGTACTCGCGAGTAGTTGACTAAATTTCCATGAAAACAAAAATGAAGTCACTATGAATAAACAGCGTGGAACATTCTCCAGCACTGAGATATCCTTACTATGCAGAATGCTCGTGGAATCCCAAGGAAACTGATGGAGGTGTTTTCCTTTATTACGGGGGACGTATTAAGACAAGAGACAAGTTTGGTGTCCTAGTTTGAGTAGAAGTAGGTATTCGCGAGTAGCAATTTTTGTTACATGTGCTGACTTACGAAAAAGTAACCACTTTACGGTTTGTGAAGTGTTTCCTTTTTTATTTAAGTCGTCAGCACTTATAAAAATAATTGCTAATCGCGAATACCAATTTCTACTCGCCCTAGGACAACTACTCCAGTAGATGAAAAACCACTAGTAGAACAACCAGTAGCAAACACTACTCACGAGTAGTCAAGCACTCGCGTTACTCGCCCAGCACTTGTATAATGTACTTCTATATTTCTGAAACGACTCCCATCGACAGTTTGCTAGTTATATTATAACCCATAAACTCCAACTATTAACTTAAAACCGTCACGACAGTGTGGTAAACAAAGTACATGCATCTTGTTCCGACTTTTCGGCCGGAAAGAGAGGTATTATTTTGTTCACATTTTTGCAAGGTTTTGCTACATATTTTTTGGGTAGTTTTTGGGGTCTGTCCCCCTGCAGGCTATGGAGTAATATTAAATTTTACAAATTACTTGTACAGAATTCTTTTAGCCATTCGAAGAAAAGTCAATGACGTAGACTTGGGGCTGTTAGCGGGGAAACCCCCGAGATTGCCCGATGGGATCGAAACTGTTTGCCCCTAGATGGCGCTGTTTATGATCTTCCACAAACCTGTGTGTAGAAAAACCAAATCAGTGGTGGCATATCCCGCCTCCCCAACCCAACCTTTCTCCTTAACCTGAGGACGCCAATATAGCGATTTCCGCTAAACGATGGATCTAAATCTACACTTCCATTGTAGAACTCTTACACATTGGCGTGTTCCTTTCTTTGCTAGTATGCGACAATTATGCTGCAGAAAGTTACAGGGGACCATAACGAGCTTTATTTACAAACGTATACGCGCACATAAATTCATACACGTTTGGAAAACGCCCCCAAAAGGGGACAGCGCAGCCAATTGCGACCTCAACCACCCTTTTCAAAATCCCAAGCTGCTGTCCCCTGTACCCTCCCCCCCCCCAAAAAAAAATCAAATAAAAAAGGTTGACAAGACGACTTATGCTCTCAACAAAGAGTGCGTGAATCCAGTTTGATGGTATCGGTCTGCAAATACTCGGCCACCTGGCAGATTACAGCTCTACAAACGCTCTCCACACAAGTCTCAATAAGCCCGAGTATTTACATTCACGATTTACTCCGATGCTTTTGTGCTAAAAGGCTTCGTAGAGATGCTGTATTCAAGCTAATCCTCCCGCCGGAGGTATGCTCGCAATTTCCTGGGAAGTTCTGCCGATTAAGACGATTGATTCAGTCCCAATCGGTGTAGCACAACGACAACAACTCGCGGCAGCTGACCAGGCATCATTGCTGGGTGAGTTGATCGTATACATTCTAGGCATAATGCAATCTCACCGTATCAAGATTAATGAAATAAGAATATGACATCTATGTTACTGGTATTTTACTTTAAAACTATACTTTAGAAAAATTCACTGGGATCGCAGTGCCTAGCAGTATCTTATACGGTCAAACATAGTTGTTATACTTGCTACATGTGTATAGTATACAGGATAACCATGGATGAATATAGCCCCATAAAAGTGGCCAATTTACTGGACTACCTCCGTAAATAAAGGCCACACTTAGAACATTTACAAAAACAAGTAGAACTATGTCAAATTTAGATTTTCACATTTTGTAGTTTATTTTTGCTTTAGAAGCACACTTACCCTCTTCATACATAGGCTAATCAGAAAGTGCTGCCTGATTCAGATGTCTATTTTTCGTGAAAGTTCATGATGACATTTTGATACGCAAACGTGTGCAAACGAATCTGGAAATTTCACGAAAAATAGACATCTGAAAACGGCAGCACTTTCTGATTAGCCTATAAAGAGAAAAACAAAATTTGACAAAGTTCTACATGTTTTTGTACATGTTCCAAGTGTGGCCTTTATTTACGGAGGAAGTCCAGTAAATTGGCCACATTTATGGGGCTAGGATGAATACAAATATTCCTGCATGGGATAACAGGGAAAACATCTATCGTTCTTATTATAGCCTCCCTCACAGCTGTAATTTCAGTGTTAGAATATATCGTCTTAAATTTACACGGGTGCACCACAAACCCTATAGGTGAATCCTTCATCGGAAAGTTATATCCTGGTAGCCTTTGGCTGGATTACGCCAGTCGTGAAAACATCTATTCATTTTGCACACCAGTTTTTACCAGTTGCGATGAGTAACCGTTCAACACTCTCAGACTCTAGTAGATGGGTTTTTAATAAATTGGTTTTAAGTAAATGGTTTTAAGTAAATAGGTCTGGGAACTAGACAGTGTGAGAAGCTCCTGGTTGTCGTCTTGGCCTGTTTCCTTTATCAAATTTTCATCTTCCTATAATTATAGGCTCCAAGATAGTCCGCATTATATCTTTAAGACAATTTTTTGTCCTACACGGGGTGAACAAAAAGAAACCCAAATGTCGGGACTATTGTTTGAGTGAAGTTCTGCATGTATCACTTTCGAAATGTAGGATATGAAAGCCAAATTCATAAGCTTTCATTCAAATCCTCATGTACTTTTCAAGTTATGGAATTTTAAACACAACCACCGTTTTAAAGTTCTGTCCACAAACCACACAAAATTGTGTGCGTTTTTTCAGCAAAACGAAAACAATTCACACACATACCTATGTCATTTGTTTTCGCTTTGCTGAAAGAACACTTACCTTTTTGTGATCCGTGGACAGAACTTTGAAACGGTGGTTGTGTTTAAAATTCCGTAACTGGAAAATTACATGAGTGAAATTACATGAGTGATTATCACTAAGAGAAAGCTTATGAATTGAGCTCTCATATTCTATATTTTGAAAGTGCTACATGCAGAACTTCACGAAAACACCGGTTCCCACATGCGGGTTTCGGGGTTTTTTTAATCACCCCCGAATTATATAGCGGTCATCCGACAATATGATGGGGGTAAAGTCTAAATACGACGATTTAGCCACCCGATAAATGACAGGGGGAAACAGCTACAAAGAGCGAAATACTTCAGAAGGAGTAAACTTGTAGGGATTCAGCTGCTTACGGATAAAACTGGATTAAAATACAAGAAGGACACCGAGCGTATGCGGACCTTTCTTACTTACGGGATGTGATTGGAAACGGTATTAACAGTGCCATAGCAACATCAGCTTAAACCCTGACCGCGATACAATGAAGCTCGTACAAATCTACTTGAACACTAAACACCGCTCGGACATCTCCGTGCTCACGAATGATAGAAGAAAAATACTTCAGAGGCCGGTACCATACATGCACTGTAACTTTCAGCGTGTGCGTGTTTTCAGCAAAACAAAACAATTCACACATCCCTATGTGAATTGTTTTCGTTTTGCTGGAAGAACACTATTTTCTGATCTGTGGACAGAACTTTAAAACGGTGTTTGTGTTCAAAATTCCGTAACTTGAAAAGTAAGTAAGTGATTTTAATGATGCTTGTACTAAAAGAACGCGCATTGATTGGGCTTTCATATCCTAGATTTTGAAAGTGTTACAGGCAAAAATTCATTCAAAATTGGCCCTTCCATTTGGGTTTTAATTATTTTTTTTCTACTCGCCCTGTATTATTGCAATTCAACTCGTAGCCTGTCCATTTCTGGAAATAGATAAGTATTCTTTTTCAGACTGCCGCATCCAAAAAGCTCGGATTTACCAACTTTAAGATGAATTATATGACTTTGAAATAATGTTGGAAGCTGGCAGTGCAGGTTTTACCACTATCGTCGGTCTATCGATCAGCAGACCTCGAATGTGCTAGGCTGTATTGTATTAATTTACCGCGTTGTTTGTTGTACCCTTGCTGTCAGCCACTAAAGGAATTCATCAAACATTTACTTTTCTCTTAACCATCTGAACTCTAATAACATGAGTGATGGGCAGTGGCTTAAGTAAGAATGGGGAGTAGGTCACCCCCACAGCCTGAGCCTGTGTCTCACCCCCCCCCCCATGTCCCATGTGTCCTGTCGTTATGCATGTATAAATATTAGTTGTTCCATTCATCAAGCCCGCAGTTCTGCATAAGCTTCGCTAGTAGCAAGACAATGGCCTGCACGTATTTGCATACTATACGCTACTCCATATTTTCTTTACCATTCTTGAGTTCATGCTTCGTCGCCGTAGTGAGTCAGGTTCGGTAGTGGAATAGGTGAGCTACGGTGGCGCCGCCTGACACTTCCCGTTTTGATATTTGTTGATGTTTCATTACCCAGGCGGTTACTTTCATTATTCCCTTGTAAATAACATAATACAAATCCCTATGTATCATTCACTGACAAAATACTGCTCAAGTTATCTTATTGTTTCTGGACAAAAGCCTGTCAACTTTGTTTTATTTTTAGGGGGGCAAAGTCCCCCCCCCCCCAAAAAAAAAAAAAAAAAAATCTGCAATTATCATTCAATTAAATTTGCAGCCAACAAGTGCAGCTGGCTAGTAATAACGGCGACCTGATTTGTCCGCGTCTTGCAGGGTTTATCTTTGCAAACGGACCAACAGAGAACAAGTGCACGGTGCGCTGTACTACGATAACTATGCTGAGACCTGACTGTTGATGCGGCGTCACAAAAGGATGGACTGCACAGCAACCTGAGGATACAGCAATGGTGTGTATACAAGATAAGCTTCTTAGGGGAAATAGCATGGCATGACAAATTGGGAAGTTTCCGTCTTATTTAATTATTCCTTTCTCTCCTCTCCCGTCACTGCTCCTCCTTGTCCTCTTCTGTTCTCTTGTCCTTTCGTGATCTTTTCTTTTTTACCTTTTCCGTTTTCTCCATCCTCTCTTCTTAGAATAACCGTTTGTGTAATCATTATATCACCATCGCCGTTTCTGAAAAGAAAAAGCTGACAGGGTTAAGACGGAAATCTGATCAGATGACAATCTGTGTTTTTTTTTCTCTTTCAGGCTCTGAAACAACTTCAAAGTTCAGTGAGTTACCGGCGCTGTTTCAAACGGACTGCCTTCATCTTCGTCCTGGCAGCAGTGTGTCTGATTGTGAGCGGTGCTTCATACCGTAAGTTTAGCCTACAACATCTCTCTATTTTTTTTTATAGACAGACAGAATTACTCTACATGAAGTGTCTTGAGGACCACATATCTGTCGGCCTTTAGGTGCACATAGCTTGAGGAGAATTAACACGGTGTCTTTTTTTGATGGACAGACATAATCACTCTGAATAAAGTGTGTAAATGTTGTGTGGATGGGAATATTTAAATTAGGTTGACCACGCACGTCATAGGTCTAAATGGCAATACGCTGCCGGCCATTCCAACTGATCTCCATGTTCAAAATATACATGTACAAAATCCGGACAGCCCATCTTTTGATGTGAAGTCACCATCTTCTATACAGGGTGACCCCCCCCCCCCCAAAAAATGCGACCCTAAATCATTTGCCTTTAAAAAAGGGAGCGAGGGATTTTTATGTTTGTGGTATCAGATTAAAGCTGAGGGCTTTTTCTTTCGAATACTGAAAAACAAATCATGAAAATAGCACTTTGGGTTGCTGAGAAAATGCCAATTATGTAAAAGTGGTCATTTTTCATCCTGTAAACAAATACTTTAAACAGTGAAACATTTTACAGTGCAATTATCCTTCATTTGTTCATAAATAAAGAAAGGTTTGCGGAAACACCATGTGGGAATAATTTCTCAACTAAGAGAATGGTTCTGAAAAGAACCAGAGGTATAAACTCGACGTTCCGGTCAGTATGCTCTGACCGTCTACAGGAGACTCTCCTGTAGACGGTCAGAGCATACTGACCGGAACGTCGAGTTTATACCTCTGGTTCTTTTCAGAACCATTTTTTGGGTCACCCTCTATTGCCATTTGTAAAAAAAACACAATTTTATGTAACATGTACATTTTGTTGACTCAACGTAATATTTTTTTTAATTATAACGGTACGTAAAAAAAAAAATTAATTCATATAAATGTTCTGTTGAGAAGACTATGGTTGAAGTTAGTTTAGGTACCATTTTGTAACGGTATCATTCTCAGGTATAAAAAGAAAAGGCTACATTGACGTCCGTTTACATTTTGGTACAGATCAAAACTTACATTTATACAATATTTATATCATAAATATTTATATTATTCAATATTTATATTGAAATATAAGTTACCAAAACTGCTGTAATAAACGGGATTTTTCTAATGTTTTGTCCCTGGAAGATGGCGCTTTTCACAGCACCCTCTATCGCTGAGAAATGTGATCCATAGATGAATTTCAAATAAGCATTGTAACCGAGGCTCTTAGTGCTAAGCCATTGTATGAATTGAGAACCTTTTTTTAAAAATCCTCTCAACAAAAGACGGCAATGCGGCCCTCGGTTTATTGTCCAATTGAAATGTGTCGAGTCAAGTGTTAGGACTAACAAGCCATGCGTGCAAATGATTAGACGAGAGACCATAAGCTAAGCAACCATACAACAAATCAAAATGTCCAATGGGTTAATCTTTTATGCAGATCATGCCAAGGTCAAAACTGCTATATCGGCCGCACTCACGAGTTTGTCCACGAAGCCAGATATGCCCTCGAATTCACCGTTCACCGAAGAGACGAGAAACGTCTCCTATAGCAACGAACTTCAGTTACTTGCTGGGAACCATTCCGACAGTGTTCAACAGATATTGAAAAAGGTGAGGAGTAGTTTATACCAAAAAAAATAATTAGCACACGCTTAAAAGGCGTGTTCATTTTAAAGCACTATTTTTTATTCGAGCTTAGCATTAATATTTGTGAACTTAGCATACGTATGACATTTGAACATTTACGCTCGATTTATCACTCGATTTATAATAAATATAATCCTGATTTTCATTAAAACAACTTTTTTTCTCTCCAATGATTCTTTATATCATTTTATTTATTAATGTATTATTGTTTGCTAAAAACGTATCATACATTTTGGCTACATTTTCTAGCACTTTAGTGCAACAGCTTTTCACGTTCATCCCCATTCGGTGATATCGTGAGATTCTTGCTTGTTTTTATGATGACAGTTTTCGTACCGAGAAGACGAAATATTTCGTACGTAATAAAGTATTGTTGCGTGGAAGCTAAAAAGAGTCGTGTTGTTGTGTTTGTTTCGTGCTGTTATTGTTTGTTGTTAATTGTCGTTGTCGTCGTTGTTGTGTTGTTAGCTTTTTACAGCAGGACAAAAGCGGAAACCGGACAAACATTTCATGGAAGAACAAGCGTTTGTTCAGTTCCAGCGCAAGAAAACTTTGCGTCAGGCGTGCAGGAGACACCCTTACGTGATGCAACGAGAACAATCCTCAGGACAGTTTTTCGTCATGGAAAAGAGCCAAATACTCTATTGCTCCGTTCCGAAGGTAACTCAAATAATATTGTTTCGTAGGTTCAAAAACAATTTCTTCATAATGTGTAGCTGTATAAAGCGCATGAATCCACCAATGTTGGTGCTCAAGGCGCGACATCGTTCAAGGTGTTGCATAATGAGCTAATTCAGAAAACGACGCGTCACTAAATTAAAACAGTAGATGGTTTAAAAAAGTTACTCGTTCGGTAGAAAGGGAATAACATTATACTTGTTCTACTCAGCTCATAGTCAGTTTTGTAAACTGACTAAAAGTAAACTCCCTAAACCAGTGCTGCAAACAAGTGGATTTACTACAACAGTACTCTTTGTGGAAAAATACTTTGCTTATGTACTTGCATACTTTCTTTAAAACTGTCTCAGTCTATTTTTTACTTGACATTTCCAAATCCCGGCTCCAACCGTCGACTTCGGCTTCGTCCGGTAGCTTCGTCTATATGTTTTTATGTTCATCAGTAGAGAATGATAAACCCAATACTCAGCTCTAGTATCACACATTGGGGAAAAAATCCTTTAATTTCTAAACTGCTAGTTTTGTTTAGCAATACACAAGTTATTCACTTTTGAATGAGATATGGACCGAAAACAATCGGGCCATATTAAGAAATTTAATCATTGCTTTACAATAATTATTGGCTGCATGCTAGACAATAATTTTCGTTCTCGCGGGGAAGACTGGTTTCCGTCCCATAATCAGTACCGATAATGTGTGGACCGGAAGCCAATCTGCTCGCAAAGCGGATCTGTTTGTGCCCAAAACAAAACATTTTTTTCACCAATGTATACAGACTGGGTGCACTAACTGGAAACGAGTCTTCATGGTCCTGGAAGGCGATCGTCCCAACACAGAAAACATCTCAGGCAACGATGCCCACTTTAGCAACAACTTCAAGCAATTGTCGCACAGGCGCTTGCTCCGAGACATTCGGAAGTACGATGCGTACACCAAGTTCCTGCAAGTGCGCCACCCGTTCGTGCGCCTGATCTCGGCCTACCGGAACAAAATCTCCGGCGAGACTCCGCTTGTGAACCAAGGAGAAGAGTTCGGCCAAATGGCCGAGTATATCGTCCGAAAGTACCGCCGTGGCGCAGGGATCGAGGATTACAATCTGTCGACCTTGCACGTGACCTGGGCGGAGTGGATACGTTATTTGACCGACCCCACGGAAAGGCGTGACTTTAACGCACACTGGAGGGAGGTGTATAAACTCTGCCTGCCGTGTCGCATCAACTACGACTTCATAGGCAACCTGGAGACAGTTGGCTCTGACTCGGGGTTCATGTTGGACCATTTGGGACTTGCAGACCTCCACTTCCCTAGCTCAAGAGCAGCCTATCTCCATGACAGCGAGAAGAGGGGAGAAGCATTGTTCGATCAATACTTCGGGAATGTGAGCCGAGAGGATATCCAACGACTGTACGACATTTATAAAGTAGACTTTGAACTGTTCGGTTTCGAAAAACCATGGCAGCTGTATTAAAATATGTAATGTGCACTGGGGAAGAGGAGTGGAGTGTGGCCTAGTTGTTATAGGTTTCGTGACTCATGATGATGGGTCAGGGGTTCGAATCTAGCCGCTTGCAATATGTTGTGTCCTTGGGCAAGCCACTTCACTCACTTGCCTCTCTCTACCCAGGTGTATAAATGGCTACCGGCATTAGCTGGGGAGTAACCTGCGATGGACTAGCATCCCATCCAGGGAGAGTAGAGATATTCTCAGTTGTTTCATGCTACTGAAACCGGAGATAAACGCCGGCCTGATGGGCCATGCACATTGGCTCGTGACAGACTTTCCTTTTTTTATAAATTTTACTAGGGGGAATATCATATCCTTTTTCCGTTCTGACATACAAATATTCACAACTGGGCAATGTCCTTTTAAAGAGTTTTCGGCCCGATCAGCCAGCGTTGGGTCAACCCCCCTCCGCCCTATTGGCAGCTAAGCCCCCTCTTGATATAAACCTGGATCCGCCCAGGGGAAGCAGTGTGGCTTAAAGAATAACACCTACAGTAGTAATTGTGTGGTTGTACAAAACATATTCACCATGTTTATTTTGTTTCTCGTCATGAGGTGGCATCCTCATTCAGAGGATATGAGGCAGATATCTTTGATAGATTCTTCTCTGTGATTCTGTGCTGGGCGAAGCCCATTGTAGTTTTATTTTTGTGCGTCGTGTTTGTTTTTAGTTGGATATTTATTTCGATACCTATTGTAATTACTTTCTAACCCAGAATAAGTATCTTTCAAACTCAGTCTCGTGATTAAAATTTGTAATAAACATGACAATTTGTTTTCTGCTGCAAAAAGCGAGAAATTTCCTGAGATATTTGGACCCCCTGAAAATTTGGTACCTTCCTCACGCGCGTTGTATTCAAGGTTATACGCATTGTAGATGTTTTCTGGGAATTTCCTGAGTAGCGCTGCCAAAGTTCCCAAGGCTGGATTTGATTCTTCTTGCTGATAGCAACCTCTACCGTCGCGGCGGCTGTACAGCGCTTATCAAGGACCGGCTGCATAATGGGGATTAAAATATACATCCAGTCTTGATGCGAGACTACTCTTGTCACGGTGACTGGGGCTGTACGATGTGTATATAAATACCACGCAAGACAGCTGATCTTCATACCAGCGGGTTGGGGTCAATGTAGTCTACTGTCCGGGACGTCACATTCAGCCCTTTAGCTACTAATGACAAGCCGTGCGGGGCGGACGCTGTTTTCCTTCGAGCGGTAGTATCAAGTCAGCGGGGTGTAAGGCTCTCCTCCACGCATATCAAGTCCCGGTCTGTTACGGGAACCATGCTGGTGTAGATGATAGTAGGAAGCAGACAATATTTTTATGCCGTGTAAGTGCAGAGTACTGTATTGCAGCCATGGTACTGGACATGTACTGCAGCCACATTCTGCTGTCTGTTTTAGTCCTGATTATTAGTCCAAGTTTCGCAGTTTCAGAGAGCGGTTACGGCGGCTGGCCGGCGATGAGGAAGAAACCCTCCCAGTCCAAGGCCGGGAACGGAAAGACCAAGAAAAACCCGCCCAATATCGTCTTCATCCTGGTGGACGACTTGGGATTTAACGATGTGGGTTATCATGGAGAGGGCGGGTCTGTCCTGCAAACTCCCACTATTGACCGGCTGGCTATGAAAGGGGTGAGGCTTGAGAACTACTACGTGCAGCCCAGCTGCACGCCGACACGCAGCCAGCTTATGACTGGCAGGTACCAGGTACGTCCACTAATTACTGATGACCGTACTTATGAACATGGAGGTAGAATCAACAATTGTCCAATTTTCATTGATACATTAATTTATGCACACATAACGGCGGATTTTTATCCCGAAGTTTGCACATTGATCTGCGCATGCGCAGCTTCAACACTAAACTGGCTTACGATACATTACTTGTTACAGTAAACAACAATTTGAAAACCAGTTATAACCAAAATATACTGCTTCTGAAAAGCCGGTTAAACAAGTGTAAACCGCACGATCATAAGGCTGGTCTCTAGAAAGCAAAGCGTTTCTTGTATGTGGCTGGTAGCTCAGTGAATGCTCCCCGGAGCTAAAGGGCTGAAATTACATTAGTTGTGTCTTATGCAGAATTTTAGCAGAATGAATGTTACTTTATTTTGATTCGTCATATTTGGTTCTGTTTTTCTCGTGGTCGATTCCTATTCAAGGAAGCTGCTGATGGCTTGTTTCTTTCACCAAATATGGTGAAGAAAACGAAGTGCATTGTGGGTATCTTACCGGTGTAGTGACCTTTTCCAATAGACCTTTTTCATCTGACGTCACATCTGAGGGCGGGATTTTGTTCCTCTATGATGCGCATTATTAGATGCATTGTATTTTTATTGTTAATGAAAATCCTGTCCTCGATGAGGGCGCACTGTGCAATGGGTCTTTTTGCCGGATACTCTTATAACCAATGTTTTGAGTCTTCAACGGATATTCAGTTTGCAAATACCAAAAAACAACCGGCGAGCACAAGAAATTTCAATTTCCTGATTTTGTACCACTTCAAAATACCACTTCCTGATGCCAATCTCCTTATCAGATCCACACGGGGATGCAGCACGACAACATACTGCACACCTCGCCACACTGTCTGCCTCCTCACGAGTACACCTTAGCCCAAGCCCTGAAGTCTGCCGGTTACTCCACACATGCCGTGGGCAAGTGGCACTTAGGTTTCTGCCGGCAAGAATGCCTGCCAACTAAGAGGGGCTTCGATTCCTACTTGGGTAAGTAAGTTTGCCTGTAAATATTAAGGTGGTGCACCTCATTTCAAAGGGCCTTCGATTCCTACTTGGGGCTTCAATTCCTACTTGGGAATGTATGCATATAATTATTAAAGGGATGCAGCCCCATTTAAAATGTGCCACCCCCGAAGCGCACAAGACGAGTCTGAACCACTAAATGGGCGGCAGTTTTGGAAGCCAGACAGTTATTGCACAGACCATTTCACAGTAGTTGAGTCCACTGCATTTGGATTATGCAGGGTGGTGCAGAAAGTAGGAAACTCACTTTTGACAGATTTTCAGCTAGGCCTGAAAATTCAATTTAATGGTAGTAACATATTGATCTTTAAACATAAGTGACGAAAAAAATTATGGCAAATGCATAATTTGTCTCTGAGATTTGTCAACAGACAGCTTTATTCCATCCGCTTGACTGAGCTCCGGAGCTTGAAAAAATAGGAAACCCCCTTTTGACAGATTTTCAGCTAGGCCTACTTGTTGAGCATATTTCAACTTGAAAACTTCAATTTAATGGTAGTAAAATATTGATCTTTAACCCGAAAAGGGCCGGGCTATTTTGACCAGCTCTCAGCCGGGGGGGGGGGGGGGGGCGGATTCCGCCCCCTTAAGATCTCGGCCATCGAGCAACGAAAAATTATGAATCATGCATAGTACATGCATAGAACAACTTATCATAAACATACCCAAGAAATTTCATGACTATGTCAAAGGGTTTCAAGATTATTGTTTATTAATATACATTATATGCACGAATGGTAATTCTGCTCTGTGTGCACTATCCGTATATGGGGAAAAGGCAGTACAGACCGTTTCAGTCCAGTACCACTTAGTGAAGGCTACTTCAGCTTCTATGGCAATGAAGACAGATTTCACAGATCTACCGTGACGCAAAGGGATTCATTTCTGACATTTCCAGGGCCTTAGGTGATCGTGTGCCCTTTGCGAGCCCTGTCTGTCATTTCATGTTCTATAAACCCGCCAGTTTGACAAATGCAGAAAACACCTGCGTTTTCTGCCACATCTCAAATGCCAGTGGCTTAGGGAGTTTACCGATAACTGCCTGCACGCTAAAATACAGAGGTACCTCATAAGTTCGAAGAAATAAGTCCCTCCTTGTTGCATGCAGTGATGTTTTCTTCAGAGAAGTGCCATCGTTGGCTGTTTCGACTGCATGATGTTAACTTCAGTACAGTTCGCACTATATTTCCCACAAAAGTTAGTGCTACAAAATTTGACTGATTTGTGAAAAGAGATGGCGCTATTGTTGATGAACTAGGATCATTGAAAATGTTATGAACCATTTCGCAGTGCGGAAATAAATTAAGTCATCGCAAGTCGTTACAACACACCACAATTTAATCAAAAGTAGATCACAAGCCATCGCATGTCAATCACAAGTCAATCACAAGTCAATCACAAGTCAATCACAAGTCATTCACAAGTCAATCACAAGTCAATCACAAGTTAATCCCAAGTCAGCCACAAGTCAATCACAAGTCAATCACAAGTCAATCATAAGTCAGTCACAAGTCAATCACAAGTCAATCACAAGTCAATCACAAGTCAATCATAAATCAATCCCAAGTCAATCCCAAGTCAATCACAAGTCATTCACAAGTCAATCGCAAGTCAATCGCAAGTCAATCACAAGTCAATCACAAGTCAATCCAAAGTCAGTCACAAGTCAATCACAAGTCAATCACAAGTCAATCACAAGTCAATCACAAGTCAATCACAAGTCAATCACAAGTCAATCACAAGTCAATCACAAATCAATCCCAAGTCAATCCCAAGTCAATCACAAGTCATTCACAAGTCAATCGCAAGTCAATCGCAAGTCAATCGCAAGTCAATCACAAGTCAATCACAAGTCAATCCAAAGTCAGTCACAAGTCAATCACAAGTCAATCACAAGTCAATCACAAGTCAATCACAAGTCAATCACAAGTCAATCACATGTCAATCACAAGTCAATCACAAGTCAATCACAAGTCATTCACAAGTCAATCACAAGTCAATCACAAGTCAATCACAAGTCAATCACAAGTCAATTAAGTCACTTCACAAGTCAGTCCCAAGGTATTACCATGTCAATCACAAGACAATCACAAGTTATTCCATCCAAGACAAGCTGCTGACCCCTTGCCGAAGACTTTCCTTTGTCACTTTTTGTCCCCAGTTACTAATTGTGACGTAACGTGTGATTCGACTCTGATTGATTCGACAACACCTGCATTTTCACCAAAAAGGACTGGAACTGGAAACTCCTAACGATATAACTGCAATATTGGTCAATGTAAAATTTCCATAATGAGAATCGATGTGGCCTACTGATAAAACCCTGAGTTTGTGAACCGACCCACTAAAAAGTATACCGGCCATTCTAATTTCCGAGCATTAGTGTTGAACTTTTTACCCGGACAAACTATCTACAAGCTCTCACACAGGAGGTACAGATGTTTGCTGAAAGCCGCAGATTATTGGATCATCACCCGTACACTTCATACTGATTGTAGGCGATATTTATCCCTTGAACTGTCCATGAACCAGACAGTGAACGCGGCGATGTAAACCTGCGCTCATCACCCCGCCGACAACTGCACATGCTGGAAACATTTAATGTCTTTTGCAAATGTTAAGGAGCGCGAAAAGGATCCGTCTGATTTGAGCGTCGTTCTTTAATGTAACGAGCACGAAAAATACTTGCTGACGTTGAATGATGACTAAGACCCCAGGGTGTATTTTGTTTTGGTTCCAGTCTCAATTTTACACCGTGGGAGGGATTTTTTTATGTTTCAATCATCAATCTGATTCATTTCAATTTCCCCTATCTCGTTTAGGTCTGTCAGTTGTTGTCTGAAAGTAGAAGTTGGATTGGTATAAATTATTTATTTCCCGATCCAGCGTCACGAGACATAACTTTCATGAAGTACCCGGCATAAAATAATGATTTGCGGTAATATATAAGGCTTCAAACTATTCCGCACATAGGCCTAACTGTACTACCCAAGATTTTTCCAGTAGGTGCGAGAGATCGAATAGCCAGATGGAAAGCCATCTGGACTAAGTTGCTTGAATGAGTTTGCCATAGATATGTACTTTGCTATGTAAGTCAGACAGTATCACAAAGGCTTATGTCATATAAACGCGAATCGACCATAAACGCTTCGCTGAGCCTTTTAGTGTAAATGCCGTCACCATAGAAAACGCAGAATATCTTTAAATCATAAGTACCTATCCAGTTTGCCCATTGCTATTGGTCGAGAGCCCGTCACGTGGTTGGCTTTAAACGGCTGATTTAAACACTTTTCCGGTGTGACATAAAATTTGGACTCTGAAATCTGGGTCCGTTTAATACCCTTTTATTGGTTGAAAGTTCACAATCTTCACTTAGGCGTGCGCAATACTATCAATTACATGTAGTCTGTAATTCATAGAGTCCTAAATTCACACTACACCGGCACCGCCGCATTCTGCCCCACTCGCGCAGTCGCGTCACGAGCGCGCCAATTTCCAAATAAGGTGACTTTTGGTACTACTGGCAAGAGGCACATACATATAGCTAGAGGGGTGTATCACAAAACACGAAGTAAAATTTGTTGGACAAAATTGTTGGAAATTTATAATGTTTTTCTTGTTTTCACTTTTTGACCCAAAGGGTATTGATGAATGGGAATAACTAATAAACAAGTACGTTTAAAACCGGCTTAGGGCCTGGTCACCGATAATGTCCCTCGCCTTCGGCTCGGGTAAAGAGCATATTTATTCCCTTATTAAATCAGGTTGCCATAAATGGATTTCAGTCGAAGTAAATGTAGGAGTACTACGTCATTTAACCTGGAATCCGGATGCATGTGTCAAATCATCTACAGGTTACCTGTAAATTATAGTATTAACAAACCAAATTGTTTCAATGGTTTATTACTCTCTCGGTTTTACTCATTAGTTATCAAGCACTCTCATGATGCGTGTGGCGTGTTTAGCATGAGGTTCCCTGATATTTCGATTTCAGTGGTTGACTTCACTATTCTCTATCATTCGACAGGTATAGTGCTGGGCACCAGCAACCATTTCAGTTACAAGAAGCGGGCCGGCAGGGCACTTTACCACAACGAGGCACCAGTCTCGTCTGACATCAAGAAATATTCCACACTCTTATACACGGAGAGAGCAGAAGAGGTGATCAGGTACCACGCAGGGTCGTCAAAGGTACGGTAATTTTTCTCTGTCTCTAGATAACCGACAACATTTCGTCTCATATGTCCTTCTTTTGTTTACAAACGTCGAACGTCATTTTGTGTAGGCGGCCACAGGATTTGGCATGTATCGGTACATATACTATGTAATTGACTGTTAAAAGTGCAGTGTTCTTAATATTACAATTGGTAAAGAGTATTTACAAAAAACTATATAACCTTTCTGAATGTTCTTTTGTTTTGCAATACTGGTCGACTATGATTTGCAGACTGAATGTAACTCATTGACAATATTTGTATGTGAACTTTGCTAAGTGAACGTCATTCGTCAGCTCATCAAAGAATATCATGTCATTGCTTCTGGCAATTTTTGTACGCTGCAGCTGTTGAAATACTGAAGCGTCTGCCTGGTGTGACATCACAGTTTTGCTTATGTTCATGTCTATGAAAAGGCCCGATATCACAATGACAAAAGGAAGTCTCAATAGAATATTTTTTTTAATTTCCGTTGATTTTCAAAGCCGCCCCTGTTTCTGTTCGTCTCCTACCAAAGCGTGCACACGCCTCTGCAAGTGCCGGCCGAGTATGAGGCCCAGTACTCGGACAAGATACCCGATACCAAACGCCTGAAGTATGCGGCCATGTTGAGTGTGGTCGATGAGGGCGTGCTGAATATCACCCGGGCTCTCCGAAGCAATGGCCTGTGGAAAAACACACTTCTTATTTTCTCAACCGGTGAGGAATTTTTTTTTTTTTTTTATTTCTAGTAATGAAACCAATGATTCGCAAATAGCGCCCTAGGAACTGTAGCTTGCAAGCCTGAAGAAACCTGTAGAGAGAAGACAATGAGAAGAATTGACAGTTTTAGAGGTGGGAGGAAAACCCCAGAAGAAAATTTTGGAGGAACCAACAGAATCAGTCGCTACTGAAAACGCAATTCACACATGAACCAGAGTTGGAATCGAAGCTGGGACATAGCGCGGAAGGTGAGGCTAGTACCACTGCGACATCCAGACTCCCCTAATATAAGAGCGTTTCTTGGTTCTAGGTTGTTCATGATCTCCTAAATACTCCGCGTGGGAGTTTATACAGGAAACCAGAAACACCGGGCAAACCCCTGCTCTTAGCGATAAGTGTCACTGGGTTCTTTTACGTGCATTGGATTACACAACACACGGGACCTACAGCTTTACGTCCCATCCGAAGGACGAAGCAATAATGGTTAAGTGCCTTGCTCAAGGGCACAAGTGTCCACCCGGCGGGCTCGAACCCACGCCACTGTTGCCTCTGAAACATCAGAGCATGAGTCCGGTGTTCTAAACCGCTAGGCCATGACACTCGTGATGTACTATACAGGGCGCCACTAAGAGGAAATCACAGAGAAGCCAGTTTCGCAGTGCATTATGGGCAAAAAGGGACATCAATATCGGTCTGCTGATTGGATTGCTGAGCACCAGATAAACGTAAACGACTCATCTTTGTATATTTGGTGCCTTCCAACGTAGTGATGATGAGTTAAATTCACGATTAGGCCTACATGGGAATGGCTCCTCATCTTGTTAACGAACTGTAACGAACCAGGCAAATTAAAACCAAACAAATAAATAAACAAACGAACAAACAACCCAACAATCATCAGCAACAGACAAAAAAACAATACGCTGTTAAATGATACTTCGTTGATTAGCTCAGATGCGGTTCGGCATAGTAGAATAGAGAGAAAGCTGATATATTAGCCTATTTTAGATATGGCGGACACAAGTGGAGGGCTTTGTTTGGTTTGGGTAAATACAACAGACTTTACCCAAATCAAACAGCGCCCACATATTGTGTCTGTCATATGTTAATTAGGCAAATCGACTTTCCTCGTATTTTCCAAGCAAACTTCACTCAAGATCTTCGCTTTTTATTATCATTTTCCGTCACTTACAGATAACGGTGGTCGACCTCGTGCCGGCGGCATCAATTGGCCGTTACGTGGAGAAAAATCCTCTCTTTGGGAAGGAGGTGTTCGCGGCGTAGGATTTATCGCTGGTCCCGTCCTACCGAAATCCGTGCGGGGTACAATCAACACAGGACTGTGTCACGTGAGTGACTGGTTCCCAACATTGGTGAGAGGCGTGGCAAAGAAGCGATTAAACAATATCATGCCGCTAGATGGCGTCAACGTGTGGCGATCAATCAGGTTATTATATTCCACATTTATTGTATACATACATATACGTGATCTTACCAGAAATCTTACCAGTAAAAATCTTACCAGTAGAAATCTTACCAGTAGAAGTTTTACCAGTAGAAATGTTCCCAGGAGATATATCTTACCAGTAGAAATTTTACTAGTAGAAATCTTGCAAGTGGAAATCTTACCAGTACAAACCTTGCCAGTAGAAATCTTACCAGTAGAAATCCTCCCCAAGTAGAAATCTTGCCAGTAGAAATCCTACCTGTATAAATCTTACCAGTAGAAATCTTACCAGTAGAAATCATACAAGTAGAAGTCTTACCGGTAGATATTTTACCAGTATAAATATTCCCCGAGTATAAATATTCCCCGAGTAGAAATCTTACCAGTAGAAATCTTACCAGTAGAAATTTTACCAGTAGAAATCTTACCACTAGAAATCTTACCACTAGAAATCTTACCACTAGAAATCTTACCACTAGAAATCTTACCACTAGAAATCTTACCTGTAGGGCCTATTCTGTGTAATTCATGTCAATTTAATAACAGTGCTGCTTCTAATCACTCTCGTATATTGAAAGGGAAATGATAATAATATTAATATCGGAGTCTTATATAGCGCACGTATATCTACCAACAATTAGGTACTCAAGGCGTTGGAAGTTATGTCTATTATTAAAGAAAGGTAAATAAGTTGGCATTCTTTTATTCGCTCGTGCCAATAGATCTATCCATGGGCGCAGGCGATCTTCTTTTTTTTCTTGCACTCCCATTGGCTCTTTTTTGAAAATGCATAAAACTGCTGCAAACTGCTCGCTGACTGGATGGACCTGAAATATGCAAATTAGATTAGAAGGCCTGGTATTTCAAACTTGAAAACTTTGTCTATTAGCGAAATGACATTGGTAAAGAAATAATACCCTATAAGGGACGCAAACACATATTACCGTGCACGATTTGAGACAGAGGGATACCAAACAGTGTCTATACACCCAATACACACCTGTTTATCTAACACACACCACTTAGATATCGCAGAAGAATTCCTTAGATTACGGGAACGCAATAACTAACACAAAAGAGGGAAGGGAGGGTGTTCCCTCTGTCGCATATCTTGCTTCAAATGTACAAACATTCATGGTGGAAGGAAAACAAAACAAAGCAAAGGAGGGATGAAGAGATGCCAAGTTGTCAAATGTCAAATGTTAACGCGCATACGATTGTGAACAATACTGTGTAATGTTAAGTAAAGTTAGGAAAAGTTAGGTAAAGTTAAGTAATGCTAAGTAATGCTAAGTAATGTTAAGTAATGTTAACTAACGTTAACTAATGTTAACTGATGTTAGCTTATGTTAGCTAATGGTAACTAATGTTAACTAATGTCAACTAATGTTAAGTAATGTTAACTAATGTTAACTAATGTTAACTAATAATGTTAATGTGTGACGTTATTACAGACCAGGCTTATACATAAGTAACCTAGTTTATTAAACACGGTGAAATTTTTAGTCAAACAATGAAGTTTTGTCTCCGTGTTCTCGATGCACAGCCAAGGAAAGCCGTCGCCGCGAAAAGAGCTTCTTCACAACATCGATCCTTTACAGTCACCGGCTGAGTGGACGGAAACGGACGAACGGCTGTGGGGAAGACTAGACGGCCTGGTCTTCAACGCAACAATCAGGGCGGCAATCAGAGTTGGCAATTGGAAACTTATCACCGGCCATGCAGGTAAAATAATAAATAGTTACTCTTCCAGTTTTGAACAAAAAGGGAAGAGGTGCCTCTGTTTTTCCAAAGATGGCGGATTTTCCAAGATGGCGGATGGGTTCTCCATTTCTTCGATTCTTTTGCTGATGACTTTATGCCCAAAGGAGCCGTCACCCTTTCTACGAGATTTTGAACTCCCAAACATAGTTATAAGTTTGTTGGAAACAAGTAAAAGGACAAACTTGATTGCAAATATATGATTACAAAAACAGGGGGGGGGGGGGGAGGGACAAGGTGGGCAGAAAACTTAGTCTGAATTAATTGTTTTATTTTGCGTACCATGACTTAACAGGACCTTCGAAATGGACACCGCCACCTGAGTCCACCACTGACGTTTACAGGTTCGTGGAGGAGGTCAGCACACGAACCTGCGTCAGATTGTTCAACGTGCAGACGGATCCTAGCGAGCACTACAACATGGCGGCCAGCCAGCCCGACGTGGTAGGCAGGCTTTTGGCTCGCCTGGCCCAGTTCCAGGCCTCCTCCGTGCCCGCCATCGACCACTCCGTCAAGGTGACTTCTACAAACTTCTTCAACCAGACTTCCAAACGTCAGACTGTCATGCCCATGCCCCTGGTCCAGCTAACGGGAACTTGGACCACGTGGATGGAAGACTCGCCGGTACACTGAAGGCCCTATGATCTCCATGTAAAAATATGAATAACTGCACAAAAATTAAACTACTCGCCCCCGATCTCTCCATGCGAATGTGGGGAGGGAACCAGTCTCACCCACTCCCATTGTAATAATGAAAATAGAGTCGGTAAACGAAACTTTTTTTCTAAGCAGAAATTGTATAAATATATTTTGCGTGCGTTTGATTTTCATATAACAAATAAATTAGATAGTAGCATTAGATATATTTCTTTACAAATCTATTGTTCTTGGAGTGGGAACGTTGCGGATGGTGACTTTCGATTTTTATATGAAGGCTATCCCGATTTTTATATGATCAGTAGATCTCATTTCATTTCATTTGAAACTCGCATTTATTTTAATACAAAATGAGAATTTAAGCAGAGAAACACAAGTACGTAAACAAATCAGTAAATAGAATTATCAAAAAGGTGTAAGAGGCGAAAATATTAGGTATGGAGGCATTCTTTGGTAGCCTGGGCTTGTGGCGAGATGCCTTGGACGAGCTAACTCAGATCCCTTTCACTGTGAAAGTCCGCCATCTTTAGGCCAGATATTTATTGTGGATTTTTTTCTTGGGTTTTGTCTTTTTCTGCGTGTTCCAAAATATATGGTGATGCACGTTAACAATAAAAGACAAATGACCAACTTTAAGCAGAGAAACACAAGTACGTAAACAAATCAGTAAATAGAATTATCAAAAATGTGTAAGAGGCGAAAATATTAGGTATGGAGGCATTCTCTGGTAGCCTAGGCTTGTGGCGAGATGCTTTGGACGACATAACACAGATCCCTTTCACCGTGAATGTCGGCCATCTTTAGGCCAGATATTTATGGTGGCTTTTTTTCTTGGGTTTTGTCTTTTTCTGCGTGCTCCAAAATATATGGTGCTGCACGTTAACAATGAAAGACAAATGACCAACTGCAGGGTAATGCAGGAATGCTAACCATGGAGTTGGAAGGTCTTCTAGATGTACGTAACAAGTTAACAAGGAATTTGTTTTTCTTCTGTTTTTAAAAAACAAGTCTGATTGGTGTCTAATTTTAGAATCCTATTAGCGGAGTCAAACGCGGAATGTTGTTTGAACGACAAGATTATTTTGTCACAAAAAGAGTCCGCAAAGATTACCCATTGTGTGAGTTTCATTCTGAGTTACTTCATTGAGTTTAACCATATTGCAAAACCTCCTATACCAGTTTACGAACTGCTTTCAAATTGTACCTTTTAAACAGCATTGATATTAAACGAATTCGAGAACCTTTGGCCATCAACAAATTGAATTGATGCCAACATTAATGGATCGACCTTCCACGAACTGTTGATTAAACTCGGTCTGTTTTCGACCTTCAACCTGTACGGTGTGGATACAATACTCGGCTTCTAGATTGGCGTCGCTCGCTTGGGCTTCGGTTGCGCTCGGTTTGCTTCGGACCGGCTCGGTTCAAGTCGTTTTGGCTCGGTTAAGCCCGTCACAAAGGTTATATGCGCTAATCATGTCAGTTTGTAAATAAACATGTTAACAATGGACGAACATTGGCCCCATCATGAACTGATTGCAGCCTGCACCATTACCATCAACAGTTCTATTGCAGCAAAATATCAGCCATGGCGACCAAGTCAAATTGGTGAGTGTTTTTTTTTTTAACCAATATACTCATAAAACTGTAGCCTAGTCAATTACAAGTCAATGCACAACGGTCAAATCACAAGTCATTCACGTTTCGAATCACAAGTGCAGTCTCAAAGAACAAAAGATAAACAATAAAGGTTTTGCCACGGTAACAGTTCATTTGAATAACTCGTCGCTTCAAGCTGGATGACTTGTGAGGACTTCACTATAGGCCTACAGTATTGACTTCAGCCTTATGTGTTTTTTTTTAGAATACTATAAAGTAATAATTTGTGATGGTTTGTACGTATGAAAACTAATACTTATGCTGTTTCTGTTAGTGAATGTTATGAAAGGTGCTAGTTTAACCAGAAAAGCCATATATATGATTTTGTTTTCATTACAATTTTTTTTATATTATATCACAATTATGCCAAAAAAGTGATTTTAATTCCCCTTCTAGGCAATATTCCATTGCTGCGGCATTACTCTGTGTCCTTTGCTTTCCTGCTGAATCTTGTGGCGAGACACTTCAGCTGAGCGCCCTCTACGGCCAGTTGGCGTCGCCCAGTTACCCGGAACCCTACGGCGACAATGAGGACTTGGCCTGGAATATCAGCCTGCCTCAAGGCTACACCATAGACTTGTACTTCAGTCTCTTCGAGTTGGAGCCCTCCAAAAACTGCGAGTATGACTACGTTAAGGTAGGCCTATAAACTTAGCAGCATAATCTGCAAGTGGAGCAATTACCCCTCCTTTGTTTTTGCCTGATATTAACCCCAATTAGCACTGTACATTACTTAGAAAGTTGTAGTGCAAAAATGCTGATTTTGTTTTTAAAGCTGGATGTGATATTAACACAAGGTTTAAAAGTCAGAACCGTTTGGTTTTATTTCTGGAATCACCTCTTAGTATTAAGATTATTTGATTAAACTCACTTAACAAAGAGACGGCATTTTTTTCCACGTTCGACTGCAACATTATAGTTTTTGGTTACATGACAAGTATAACGGCATTACCAGGAGTTCGGATTAGGCCAACTGGGTGAACTTGGATCTATACCTTGACATACTATCTAAAGTTTCCATGATATTTCTCGTGAGCGTGGTTTATATGTTCAGTAGCAGGAACGAGATCTTATGCATGGGGAATATCGTAAAAACGAGTTCTTAAATCGTAGATGAGAGGGCGCCATGCTATATGCATGAAAATATGAGAAAAAGGGCGATATCTCAGGTATCACATGATAGTCTGATACCCTTGCTAATCCTCAGGTGATGAGTGACGGCAAGGAGCTGGCCACTTACTGCGGCAATGAAATAAACATGGAATTCCAGATTCCACACAACGTTCACGTGATGTCACCCAATAACAACATGTTAGTCAGGTTCCATTCAGATTTCTCCAACGAAGAGCCATTTCGAGGATTTCTGGCGCATTACCGAGCCGAAGGTATATAAGATCTTGACGTAAAAGAAAGTCTTTTTAAAATGTTATTTTATTTATATTTAGGCTGATGATATGGCAACAAAAATCACTTTTACTTGAGTACATAAAGATACATCACGGCAACAGCGCCCTCAATAGTTTGAAAAATAAATTAATAAAATAATAAATTTATCCTCCAAATGTGTGGACAACATCCGTGAATGGTGTGGGTGTGACACCAACGAACTGAAAGCAGCAGCACTGGAAAGACGGGCTGTGGTGGGAGCGGAGCCAGTGATCCCAACTGTGTATAATTTGAGGAGGAGACCACGGGCAAATGCCTGTGTCTAACGAATGAATGAAATGTGTACCATTGATTTTCAAATCATTTCAAAGTCATGCATTTTTCCACAAAATAGTGTGTGATATCCTTTTTTATCCCCCAACGCATAATGGAACAGACCGATCCACTAAGCTCTGCCCACTGCACCCTTGGGAAACAACATGCGCGCCTCTCAAAATACCACGTGCACCGCATGTTGTACAACACGCGGGGATTACACGACAGTACACGAATGTCGGACATTTTAAATAAGGCTGCGCGTCCGAATTACTTGACCACGGCTGGAAATTACACACGCGCCTATGGAAACGGCTGCAGCCACGTCCCATAGGGCCTATCCGTGTGTTAATTCAAGCCGAACGAAGTAACTCGGATCCGGCCTGACATTATCGGCATAGATTATTCAGAACACTATGAGGCGGGGCTTACTTGTTTGGTGTATAAACGTGATAGCGTGACTGCATTGAGTTTTTTTTACCCCCTTGCACTTTGCACAGACATTGATGAATGTGCAGTGGAGAACGGTGGCTGCCAGCAACTGTGCCACAATTTCGTGTCTGGCTACTACTGCTCCTGCCGGATGTACTACGAACTGCAACCAGACAATCACAGATGCACAGGTAATCTGAATAAAATACATCATTGAAAAAATGATCCCTTCTGGACCAACTATTTTGAACATCTGTAATCTTTCTGTAATATCGAAATCCGAACTTATTATAATTAACTCCACTTGATATAGTTCTTACAACAGTCGTCGAGTTACATTCTTTGTCATACACACTGAGAGCATTTCTAGAAATAGAGGTGTTTTCCTTTTCGCATTTTTTTTGCTTGAGTTCAGAGTTAACCATTTTACTTTTTTTGTCGGCTTAAGTGTCCTGCAGAGATCTCTTGTACACCTACGAGTCAGATGAATTCCAGACACCAGACTACCCGCAAAAGTATCCGAACGATGCAGACTGCAATTGGGTGGTTCGCGTGGAAAGCGGCTTCGTCATCAACTTCGTCTTCCAAAGCTTCGCACTGGAGTCGCACCCAGAGGAGCACTGTCCGTACGACTATGTCACGGTAACATACAACACTTGTTGTATAGATAGTTAAGAACTTCCACATATTGGTTGCATTGTGCATGTCTATAGTTTCATATGACACCGGTTCAAACGCACTGACACTGTACATTGAATTGAGCATGCGCAGTCACGTACCATGACCTTCACGCAACAAATAATATCCTGACCACTATATGACCAGTGCGCATGCGTCACTTATTCTGGTTCTCCGATTTAACTCCCTAAAAAAAACCTCCACAGCCATAATTGGGGAGAATTTGTGATTTTGGTTTTCACTGGGCAATGAAATAACATCACAGTCTTCGCCAAGATATTACGCACCTGATATCAGACGCACGGCAACAATGGCGCTTTAATAAACGTACTACCTCTTGTTCACCGTTAGGGGGCGCTAATCTACTGATTCGATACCAAAACAATCGCACTTTCCATAAGTACCAGCAGTATGACATTTATTTTCTTTCACAACATTCCTTGATAGCGATGTCGTTCCTCCGAGTGGTGCCTTAATATTTATTTTCGTTTTTGTTTTCTTTACATTTCACCATAACTTTATGACTAGATGTTTTTCTTCACCAGGTTCACTACGACGGCACTGACCTTGGTCCCTACTGCGGAGAGTCGCAAACTGATTGGCCCCCTAACATAGTAACGTCAGGCCACGAGGTAAACGTCACATTCCACTCGGATAATTCGGAGCAAAGGACCGGTTTCCATGTTAGGTACTACGTCACAGGTAAGGTTAAAACAATATTCCTTTAGAGCTTTTTGTATCTGTATCAGAGCCGGACGTGTTTGCGGCGATACGTTTCCACGCTTTCCAAAAATGTACCGTAATTACAAATTTGCAACCGCAGTATTTAAAGAGGTTCTAATTCTTAATTCAGTTATAGGTAGTGTTTCTTGTATATTCGGTGTTTTTATCGTCGAATGATTTTGTTTTTCAACTTCACTGTAAGTTTCCTAGTTATCCTAGTGACATGAATTTTGATTTGACATTTTTAAGCAAATTTTATCTAAACAGCTTGTTCTTTGTCGACGTCTTTGATTTTAATAGCCCGCCCTTGCCCGTCTCTCGCCGCTCCTGCCTACGGCTCAATGATAGGCAGTAATTTCACCTTCAAGCAATCCGTGACTTTCCTCTGTAAGGCGGGTTACTCTGTCAACGGATCGTCTTCCAGAACATGCCAAGGCAACGGCACCTGGTCTGGTACCCAACCTTTCTGCCAGAGTGAGTTTTACAACACTTGCCCTGTTTTGTGCCAGTATGGCAGGCCTATCAATGGCGTTTGTTCTCGACAAGACACCATACCAATGGAAACCACAGACGTACACCCATTCTTTGTTCAATGCTTTCATTCAACGCTGTGTTAGTGTCTTTTTTTCTCTCTCGCCTGCCACATTCTATGGGAATATACCAACCGATTTGTTTTCTTCGGATCGTTCTAATGGTGCCAGTAATCCAAGAGGTTGTAAAACAGTGATAAGAGTACTTACATCCCAAGTATCATTACACAAATCGTCGCCGACACCACGAAGTAACACCCATCTACATACCAGTAAAAACTAGCAATCGGAGAAAACGGCTTCTAAAGTTGAACGCCTTCTAAAACAACACTTTGCGTCAAAACGACAGAGTATTTTCAGTTGGGTTTCTCGTTGTGGACACTTGATGAATTGAATTTATTAAATCTGCTGTTTTTCACCCGTTTGTGTATTAAATAGACAAGAAATAAGAGAAAAAAGATGAGTGTTAGTTCGTGAAACCGAAAAGGCTGCGAAACTGTACATTTTCGTTTTCACGAAGTAACACTCTTCAATGTATTCAACACGAGGAAAGTGCAACTTCAGGTCAGCGCGCGCGCGCTCATACAACTTATTACAAGAAGAGTGTTACTTCGTGAAAACGGTTTTGCTCGCTTATGAGCAGAGTGTGCGCCATGCATTGCAATGGTAAATGGAACTTGAGTGTTACTTCGTGAAAACGAAAATTGTCACTTTTGCGCAAAAGTTGCCATGGATACTTAGCGTAATTATTAAAGTAAAGCTCTTGAAGCTTTGAAACTTCGTGCAATGGTAGGCCTTGATGAATAATGTTTAAAAATCCAAAAAACTGAAAATCGAAAAAAATATGGTTTAACACGGTAGAGTGTTACTTCGTGGTGTCGGTGACGAAATAGTACCAATCACAGAATCAAGTCACAAACATGCTTCAGTGTTAAAGATTCTTGCTGCTGACATTTATTTGCTGTGAAATGATCAAAGTTTGTTTTTATCATCCATTCCGCATTTAAAGTATGGTAGTACATGTATATTAGTAGCGGCTGTTAATGCATAATAATGTAGTGTAGGGCCGATACATTATCAAAGCGCTTCGCATAGTAGTGTGCAACCAGTTGTTTACCATTGAATAGTCATTTTCTCACAGCTCCATTAGAAAAGGGTTGGGCTTTAAAACTCCAGATGCAATTTTTTTTAATTTATGAGTCTTTGAAATGTATTTGTTTTATACGTTAATGCACGTTCACAGTATAGCGTCTGCAGGACGTCAAAATGTAGCAAATAGCATCTTCGAGACAAATGCTTGGTGGCGCACTTTAGCTTTTGGTAATGATCTTAGCTTAAAACCGTAAATAATTTTCGACAAATTGTTTTTTTTTTAAATATTTTCTGTGCCAGTCGTGACATGTGACACCCCTCCGCCAATCGGCAACGGCAGAATCCTATTCTATTCAGGAAGCAATTTCAGCTACACTAACTCTATCGGCTACGAGTGCGATCGCTTCTACGAGCTGCACGGTATGAGCTTCAGGGAATGTCAGGCCAACGCCACCTGGTCCTTCCCGAATCCCACCTGCGTGCCTAGTAGGTATTTGTTTTCATGGAATATTTCATTGACTGGTCGGTTTTCTGTTAACTTGTTGGTTAATCTTAAAAGATTCACGAACATTTGTGCTGAATGTTACAATGGTTCGAAGAGTGTGATACCACTGAGATGTATGCATGGTAATTGTGTCAGGAACTCTGCTTTTGTTGATCAGGAGTTCAAGGTTAAAAAAACCACCAGAACTCTAGTCTGTCCACAGAAACTTGACTGTATTCATATCAGCGACATGTCCTTATTGACCTATCGCTGTTTGCGAGATGGCGCTAGCCATGCCCCTTAGACAACCCTATGGAATTGTGTACACTGTGTTTTGTATGTCTAAGATTGTGCGTGTGTTGCGTCCATTTTGTGCATCATACAAGCTTCGTTGACGCGATTCTACTACGATACGTTAATTGGTCACATCGGGCGAACTTTATCTACCACCTACCCAAATTTCGCCTTCTGGCAGAGTTACCGGAAACATTTTTTAGTTCCCCGATCCATGAAGCCCCGCCCAAAAGTGCTTTGATCAATCACAGCCGTGACTTATGTCCAACACGCGCGATGTACAGTGCGTACGCGCGCGTATGACACGCGCGCGCGTGTAACGCTCTATCACGCTCGTATATGCGCTCGCACGCAGGAATGATGCGCACGGCTAGATCATGCAGTGTGACATAGGAGATGTTCACGACTTGGTTACCCACGTAGTGGGCAGGGCTCAAAGGATCGTATGTTGCCTATATATGATTGCAGTTTGCGGTGAGAGCTCGTTTGATCCCCGGGAGCATGAATCGGAGACGCGCATCGTGGGCGGTCGAGAGGCCGTACGGGGCTCCTGGCCCTGGCAGGCCCTGGTCAAGGTCTTCGCTCCCAACTACGACTTCTTGGAAGTAGAGATCTGCGGTGGCTCACTGCTCAACGAGGAGTGGGTGCTGACCGCGGCTCACTGCGTGACGGGAGGGAATAAGTACCGGCCCAGCTTCTTCGGGAACCTCGTGCCAACAGATGCCGTGGAAGTGGGCCTGGGCATCCACAATCGTAAACAACACACACCGGAAACTTTGTATGTGAGTATCGCAACCCAGTACGATTATTAAATCGAACCAGACACATCTGAGTTTTAAGACTTTTATTCGCAAAAAAATGTTTTAAAATTTAATTTTTTAACAATCTGAAACAAATTATAAAGGCACGTTTTATAATGTGGCCTTAACATTTCAGTGCATATCATTTGTTGACAAAAAAATTAAGTATCTCTCACAGGGATTTTGAGCCCGACCGTCGTCTCATGTGACCTCTGACGTGGGTCAAGTGATTTATTATCCACGCGTGTGAAAAATGGATAGGAACTATTCCCCTGACTTAAAGGCTGCTTTACCGAGCATGTGTATATCAAATATCCTTGCAGACTTCGGTGCAGGAAATCATCAAATATTCCGAGTACGACGCAGGGAGCTGGGACTCGGATGTAGCCTTGCTTCGCCTCAACCAGTCCGTCCAGCTTACCGACTACATCCGCCCGATCTGTCTGCCCGAGCAGAACCGGCGGCCTGGGTGGAATGACGACTCAACGGTACGCATCCGGAACGTAGCCGACGGGGAGGACGAAGGCGTTGTCATCGGCTGGGGCCAGACGGGCCGGTATCGATCGACCTCAAATGTGCTGCGTGAGGTGAACGTTGGCGTGAATGTGCCTAGGGATGAGTGTAACGAAGCCATGAACAAGCGCATCACACGGAACATGGTGTGTGCTGGGCCCCGTGAAGGTAAGAACAGCGTATGTGAGACGCCAATTCCTCTCAAGAATGTCTGGAAGTATATAATGGTATATAATACTTTAGGCAACCTTTTAATGAATTAATAATCAAATTAATATAAATCATAAGTCAGTCACAATCCAACAGCAAGTCATTTACATGTCTTTCAAAAGAATTTATTTTGGGTCCTAGCTCTATGGTAGGAGGTAGACCTTGAGGTTGTTTGTGCCTCAGTCGACCCATAGAGCTAGGACCTAGCTCTATGGTCGACCCTAGTATAGCTCGCATTGGAACAGCTGTCGTCGGATTCGGTTATGTACAGGTAGATGCGTGATGTGACCAGTCGGGGCAAGGGGGATCTTGGCTTCAATCTTAGTAGCGCCTACTGTGTCAAAGACTTCCTGACTGGAGATCGTTCCTGCCCTTATGATTCACCTACAGTACAGAATCTAGACACACAGTCTTGTTTCACAACCGTTGGAGATGCAGAACACATCAAAGAGAGAATAATGGTGCGAATTTGGATGGGCATCCAACCTTCCTGAAGATAGTCCAATAAAGACAGAGAAGATGTTCATATTCTACCTACACTTTTCTTGCATCTGCGTTACAACGAAGACCATGGCGACAACGCTTCGATTAGGAGACAAAACCGTATCACAACTCGGGAAGGTTTGTCGTCGGAGACGATAGACATCAGCCTCTGGTCGAGCATTAATCAATCACAAGCTTGTAACAAGTATTAACAAGTCAGTCACATTAAAAGACAGAATTAATCAAAAGTCAATTATTCTTCATGTTTTTTCTCTCCATTTTTTCCCTAACCAGGTGGAAGAGACGCATGCTTCGGAGACAGTGGCGGGCCGCTGATGTTGCGGCACGCTACCACCGGCCGCTACTTCCCGTACGGTATGGTGTCCTGGGGCGATGGCTGCGGAGAGGAGGGCAAGTTCGGCGTCTACGCGCGCATCGAAAACTTTGTGAACTGGATCAAATCCGTCATCGAGATGGAACGTTAATAGGCCATTTAAGTACCTGTGATTTACGTCTGTTTGTAATCCCAAAATGGCGGCGTGACAGCGCCCTCAATTAAGCGCTGAAAAATAGATATGGCCTATTAACAAAAGAGGGCGATGTAACGTCAGATATACAGAGGTGAATCCTGGTCTATTGACGTGTTTTTGCATTTTGCTGTAGATCAAAAATTACTCTTTAAAGCTTCTAAATTGCATCAATAACGTATTATCTTTCGAATGTTTATACCCAAAAAATGGCATCATTACATGCAGCGCTCTCTTTTGTTGATAATACTGCCTATTCATGCAATGCAAAACAAATTATGTGACGTCAGACGGAAATCTCTATTGTGAAAGTCTTAACGTAGTGGAGAGTACAGCATAGTGCAGTTGTCTGATCAGAATTGGCGGCAATTTTAAATGTCTGGTTCCTATTAGAACCACCTCCCTTTTCTAAAGATAATAATAACGCCAACTGAAGCATCTACAAAATTTTCTCTAGAAAATAATGTCTGAATGGTCCCCTGCTTAGATTTCGTAACATTTTTCTAAGTAAGGTTAACTTAAAGTCCCAGACGTCATTTTATTTCTGACAAATTAGAATCTCGAATATGTTGTTGAGAGAAAATTGGTAGTGTTTGTGAATTGCGCCTTTATTATTTTACTTTGCTTCATAAATTTTAGTTGCTCGATCGTTTACGTTGCTTGTAAAGTTGTATGCACGTAAGATGCTTAGCCGTTTCTGTGTCTGCTTCGAAATTACATGGTTATATTGGGTCTATGTTTAGCTGCTTGCTTACTTGTATGCTTCCTGCTTGCATTATAAGCGTAACTTGTATGTTCTGCAGTATTTGTCATGATCAATATCCGATTTTTCTCCCAAAAGTCATGGGTTAGCCCCCCAGATAATCAACGATGATGAAATAAGCTCGAATTTGATGTGTGTCTCAAACACCTTGGAGAGTTGTGAGCATTTTCTGAGTTTCGGAAGTGACTTATGTATTGCCGGGGTCTAGTGCAGTTAAGTCTGCAACCGTAAGCATCCAAAATGGCGGGTGTGTGGATGACCACTGAACTGTGAGGTCACGTAAGATTCCTCAATGCACGAAGTAAAATGGAGCCCTTTGTTGTTTACTCTCATAGTTCTAGGGGATAAAGTATCTTGCGCCATACTTCCTTACTTGGTGTTTATGTAACTACTCTAATTATAAAGAAAGACACACTGCATTTTTTTTTCTTAATCTGGAAATTCCTTCTACATTGAGCCAGCCCTATAACAATTCCATGCAAACCCACTAGGGTGTGGACTTGCAACTGGGGCAAGGCGGTGGATGGTGGTGTGCATTTTGGCTCCTTGTTTTCTCAGTACATGGCTGGAAGTTCTTGTTCATTTAAGCCTTGTTTATCTGCAAGATATGTTCATTACTTGCAACATCACTACAACCGCCACCATTGCTCACTCCCGTGGTCCAGTCGTCTGAATAGTCTCGTGAGTAAGTTACAATTATCTTTATCCTTGTACCCATTGTAGTTGTCTCCATGCCTAGACTACGGTGTCCCATCGTGGACCCTATCCACATTCTTTGATCTTCCAATAACTTCCAGAATTTGTTATTATATTAGTCTAAACATATTGCGCATGCTATCGCCTCGTTAATTATTTTGTTCACCGGAGAAGCGCTCATTAAATTTCAATATTTCAAATTTGTTTTGATATTGCATATAAAGTCCCTTTGTCTTTTATTGTTGTGTTGGCCGTGATCAAACTAGTCTAGCTTAGTTAGTTAATCCCCAACTGGTCATCGGTCCCTTTAGTGTCACCCTTATAATACAGTCATTAGGTTTGTACTATAACTTTGTCGATTATTCTAAAAAAAAAATACTTTGAACAAAAATTAAAAAAAAATAATCAGGCCTGTATGACAAAATGTATCGGATTATCAAAACACACAAAAAAATACACTTTGGAAAAGGTTACTTTATATCTTGGCCTAAGGGATCTGGAGAATGTTAGATATGTCTTACTCAAGGGATGTGCCCAAACGCCATAAAAAATAATGCATGTACTCAGGAAAACATTTTCAATCGAATGTCGCTCTTCACGGTGTTTAAATGCCGGCGGTTCTTTGGGTTTTTTTTACCAATCAGCGGAGCTAGTGCGGTCAGAACCGTCAATATTGACTGAGATGTCTTCAAAGCTTTTTCCTAAGATAGGAGTCGCTTTCAGCTGCGGCTTCAGATTCCATTTGTGATTGGTCTCTAACGTGGAATTCAAGCACAAACTTCGTATTCAGTCCAGTCTTTGGATTTTGTATTTCGAATCATAATATGATCCCATAAATGAGTGCTCGTTTGAATCTATTCCCCGAAATCATTCAGCAGCCAGGAATGAAACATGTGTTTCTTTTGATTTTCGAGTTGCACAACCAATGTACACGAATAAATTGAATCGATGCCAACATCAATGGATCGACCTTCCACGAACTGTTGATTAAACTCGGTCTGTTCTCGACCTTCAAACTGTACGGTGTGGGTCCAATGCTCGCCTTCCAGATCGGCCTCGCTCGCTTGGGCTTCGGTTGGGCTCGGCTCTCTTCGGACCGGCTCGGTTCAAGTCGTTGCCGCTCGGTTAACTGGGCCCATCGCAAAGGTTATGTATACGCTAATATCTGTCACTATCTAGGGAAGCATCAGTTTGTAAATAAACAAGTTAACAATGGACGAACATTGGCCCCATTATGGACTGATTGCAGCTTGCACTCCCATGGCCATCACGCAGTAATTTGTATTGCAAAATATCAGCCATGGCGCCCACGTCAAACTGGTGAGTGATTTTTGAACCAAAAGCTCATAATTTAGGCAACAGTAGTCAAGTCCATCACAAGTCCATACACAAGTCAAATCACAAGTCGCTCACATTTCGAATCACATGTGCAGTCGCAAAGAACAATGGAGATGAACAATGGAATTTTGTAGCAGTTCACTTGAATAACTTTTCGCTAATTTAGACTCGATGACTCAGTGTAGATGACTTGTGTGGATTTCACTACAACACCGACCTCAGTATGAAATACTGATTGGGGACGATTTGTACGGATGAAAACCTAGTATGTCTTTAGCCTCAAGTTAAAAGATGAAATGCTGGATATACGATTCCCAAGTACGACAGTATGCTGGAGTATATGTAGTACTTTAAGGCCTTTTATGGAGTGAAAAAAGCCATATAGATGTGTTTCATTCCACATTTGACATGTTAATGAATTTCTAACAATTTGCAGGAACAAAGCATTATATTTAATTTGGAAGGGGAGAGAGTGTTTTATAGACACGATTTCACCAGGAAACGAGGTAAACATTGATGTACTAATATGTATCAATATTATTGATACACTACTAGTACAATGAATTACTGCAAATTTTTATCTCTATACATAAATTGCGAAACATTCCTTGATCTTGATCTTGATCAAGTACGTTTTAAAACCCATGCATTTGCTGGCTCCCGGCTCCTAATCTTGAGTCCCTTGTGAAAACAATTGCTATAGAAACTGAGGATGTCGAATGAGTAGGAATAAGTAAAGATCATCGGTACTGATAAATCAGTAGCGAACAGCGCCACCACACGTGTCAAAATAATGCTAAAGAGAAACAAGAACACTATTAACTGTGCCACAATGACCGTGTCCGTTTCTGTAAGATTACGCCGCCGATTTAACGCCCAAAGGCATGTTGCAATTCCAACATTAGCAAATACAAAGCTTATTTTGTGGTGATCATATTTGAATACGATTGTGAGTGGACTTTGTTAATTAAGTCCAAGTTGCATTTCTTATCATACCTCGTACTATGATTGTCATTTTGCCCCTCTACTAGGCAATGTTTCATTGCTGCGGCATTACTCTGTGTCCTTTGCTTTCCTGCTGAATCTTGTGGCGAGACACTTCAGCTGAGCGCCCTCCACGGCCAGTTGGCGTCGCCCAGTTACCCGGATCCCTATGGCGACAATGAGGACTTGGCCTGGAATATCAGCCTGCCTCAAGGCTACACCATAGACTTGTACTTCAGTCTCTTCCAGTTGGAGCCCTCCAACAATTGCGAGTATGACTACGTTAAGGTAGGTCTATCAACGTGGCAAGATCTTTAAGTGTAGCACGTCATAGGCCTTCACCCTCCTTTGTTTTTTCATAACGTAGGTTTTCCTATTCATATTTATTAAACATCCCATTCAAATTCATCTTACGTTCAAGTCCGAAAAAAGTTTTAAACGCTTTTACCAATACCATAGTTTAGTGATTTACCATCCAATTTATAAAACTGGTCGCCCTCTTTAAACATCGAATATTCGTCCGGCAGATCAGATTCGTGTAAGCTGTTGTCGAATGGTAACATTCAGAGATCGAATTTGTCTTATATTAGTCTGTTGTGTATGTGCTTGAGCATTTGATTTTCATTTGAAATTTTCTGACAAAAGGCGAAATTAAACATTGGAAGGGCACTAAATCGATGTAGGTAGAGGAATTTGAGCGTGATTTATATTTTAAGTAGTAGGAATGAGATCTTATGCGTCGGAAATCTCGTGAAAACGCGAGCTTAATTGTTGGATGAGATTAAGAATGTCCCTTCCTATACTCTAGAGGGCGCCCTACTATATAAATGAAAATATGAAAAGAAGACAAGTAATGTTAACCACATGATTAGTCTGGTACTCTGGCTTCTCCTCAGGTGCTGAGTAAAGGCAAGGAGCTGGTCACTTACTGCGGCAATGAAATCGTCATGGAAGACAGGACTCCACACAACGTTCACCTGACGTCACCTAATAACAACATGTTAGTCAGGTTCCACTCAGATTTCTCCAACGAGGAGCCATTTCTAGGATTTCTGGCGCATTACCGGGCCGAAGGTATGATGGATCATTTTTGACGTAAAACATCTTTTAAAAGTACACTTTGTGTTCTTTTATTTTAGACTCGTATTTTTTCCTAAAAACCCTTTTACTGTACACAGGGTACACATGCGAAACCTCGGCAACAGCGCCCTCAAGTGACAAAATAAAGCTAAATAAATGTATCCCCTAAATATGTACCAATAATTTCGAATCATTTAAAGCACGTATTTCTCCACAAGTGGCGAAGTATGCAATATATTTATCCCTCTACACATAATGGAATAGACCGATCCACTAAGCTCCGCCCACTGCACACCAATCGTTATCCCACATGCACTGCACGTTCTACACGCGGGCATTATACGCTAGTACGCATGTCGGACATCTAGTAAGGCCGTGTCCAAATAACTTGGTGACAGCTTGAAATTACACACGCGCCTATGCAAGCGGCTTCTGCCATTTCCCATAAACCCGTGTGTTATTTCAAGCAATAGTCAAGTGATTGGTCAGCACACCATGGGGCGGGGCTTACTTTGTTGGTGTATTGTTATTTTGAAGGCATGACTGCATTGAGTTTTTTTACCCCCTTGCACTTTGCACAGACATTGATGAATGTGCAGTGGAGAACGGTGGCTGCCAGCAACTGTGCCACAATTTCGTGTCTGGCTTCTACTGCTCCTGCCGGATGCACTACGAACTGCAACCAGACAATCACAGCTGCAGAGGTAATCTGAATAAAATACATCATTGATAAATGTTCCCTGCCGGACTAACTGTGTAATATCGAAATAAGATTAACACTTATCACATTAAGTCCACTTGAAATAAGGGAATAAATGTGTGCTTCGGAGGTTTTTATCACTCTGTTTAAGACCACTTAGAGTCTGGGTGCTGATAATTACCCGAGCCGGAGGCGAGGGTAATTATCAGCACCCAGACTCTAAGTGGTCTTAAACAGAGTGATAAATACCGACGGAGCACATATTTATTCCCATTCATAAATACCTTTTCGGTAAAAAAAAGATCATATAATTCGTTCAAAACATCCTGATTTTGTTCAACAAATTCACTTTATGCTTTTTGAAACATCCCTCTTGCAAAATAATGGAGTGTTCAGCTGGCGAGTAAGATGTAAACAACCCTTTTATGGAGATTATCAGCACCCAGACTCTAAGTGGTCTTAAACAGAGTGATAAATACCGACGGAGCACATATTTATTCCCATTCATAAATACCTTTTGAGGATTGTGAACGTTCAACCAATGAAACGATAAGAGACACTGGATTTTTATTGTGACACTGGAAAAGTGTTTAAGACCAGCTAGCCATGTCTTTATCATCCGTTTAAGACCAGCCACGTGACGGGCTCTCGACCAATAGGAATGCGTAAACTGTCTGAGGTATTTATGAATAGTTCTTACAACATGCATCGGGTTTCGTTTAATCATGGACATCGAGAACATTTACAGATAAAGATGTTTTTCTTTTCCCACTTGAGACTTATTAATCTTGTGTCCTTTACTCAGTGTCCTGCAGAGATCTCTTGTACACCTACGAGTCAGATGAATTCCAGACACCAGACTACCCGCAAGAGTACCCGAACGATGCAGACTGCAATTGGGTGGTTCGCGTGGAAAGCGGCTTCGTCATCAACCTCGTCTTCCAAAGCTTCGCACTGGAGTCGCACCCAGATGTGCACTGTCCGTACGACTATGTCACGGTAACATAGGATATTCCTTGTATAGGTATAGTAGTTAAGAACTACCAGAAATTGGGGTAATCCTTACTTTTAGGACACCTCTATTTTTTACGAGTTCTGTTCAAAACTGACCTTACAGATGACTGTCCAATACCAAAGTGGCTTTTGCAGGCTAAAGCAGTCTTTTTTCTCCATATAAACTCATGTTAGTTGTAATTTTGAAAGCACGTTCAAAGAAAATGTGACTTTCCTACCTTTTTTCGCAGTCAGACGTGCATGTTTTAGTGAAAGCCCTACATAATTGAAACCCGATGCTGATTGGCTGCTAAAAAAACTAAATAAGATGTTTATTTTTTATCAGCCAATCAGCATCAAGCTTTCGTCGCATCGAGCTTTCACATTTGTCATCTTGGTTTTTGAGTAGCTTGAGTAAATCCAGCTGACATGCTTACATTCATTCACATGTGTGAATGAATGTGAGCATGTCAGCTGGAGTTACTCAAGCTAGTTTTTGAGTCTGTTTACTGGTTGTCATCGTCGTCTTTTACCCCTGAATTTCCCTCATAAATCAAAGCCCTGCCCTCTTTCCACAAAATTAAACCTGCTGATATTTAAGAAGGTGTCATTGCCAATTGTTCAGATGTGCCAAGAAATATCATAATGTCAATTTTGAGTGTCATTTAGTCAACTGTTTCGGTGAGTCTTTCCCTTCCTATAGGAACGGGGTCCTTAAAGTAAGGATTACCGAAATTGTTTGTATTGTGCATGCCTAAATGGATAGTGACAAGTCATGGAAAACTTATTATAATAGTATATTTCATAGGAGTCGACATGTATATGACACCGGTTAAAAATGCACGGACGCTGTGTACATTGAATTGCCCACGGGCAGCCTCGCTCCATGACATGTATAAAAAATTCTCGCCTGACCAGTGCGCATGCGTCAGTCAAACTACTACCAATTGTTCGCCGTTAGAGGGCGCTTATCTACTGGGTCGATACAAAAATTGTTCTGCCCGTAAATTACAAGCACTCAGTATGACGTACACGTGATAATGATTGCGTCCCTCCGACTGGTGTATTAATCTTTGTTTTCGTTTTCGTTTTTTTTTTTTATTTCATCACTTTTTTTCTAGACAAGATATTTTTCTTCACCAGGTTCACTACGATGGCACTGACCTTGGTCCCTACTGCGGAGAGTCGCAAGCTGATTGGCCCCCTAACATAGTGACGTCAGGCCACGAGGTAAACGTCATATTTCACTCGGATAATTCTGAGCAAAGGACGGGTTTCCATGCGAGGTACTTCGTCACAGGTAAGGAGAAAAATATACTTTTCTTTTGAAAAAGAAATCATTCCTTTAGACCTCTATTTATTGGCAGCCGTGTTTGTATATTAGCGGCCGAATTTCCGCTTTCCATGAATTTCAATTCGCCGAGAATTACATATTTGCGAGCTCAGTATTTAAGAAGCTTGTAAATCTGAATTCGGTAATGTCGGTGTTTTAATAGTCGCATGTACTTTTGTATAACCCTGTTATACGTACGTGACTCTTGATCTAAAAGCAAAACTTATTTGAATAACTTCTTTTTTTGTCGTCTTGTTTGATTTAGCCCGCCCTTGCCCGCCCCTCACTGCTCCGGCACACGGCTCAATCATAGGCAGTAATTTCACCTTCAAGCAATCCGTATCCTTCCGCTGTAAAGCGGGTTACTTTGTCAACGGATCGTCTTCCAGAACATGCCAAGGCAACGGCACCTGGTCTGGTACCCAACCTTTCTGCCAGAGTGAGTTTTTTCTAGTCTTAGCCCTGTTGTGCCAATATGGTAGGCCTGTCAATAGCGTTTGTTCTCGACGAGGCACCATACTCTCTGCATATACCAAAAGAAACCACGGACGTACATCCACTTAATGCTGTTCATCCAGCCGCTATGTAATTACTGTCTTGTTGCCTGCTACACTCGATCTATAATATTCCAACCGAATTATTTTTGTTTCGGATCGTTCTAATGGTGCTAGTTATCCAAGGGGATGTTGTAAAACAGTGATAGGCCTGAGAGTACTTACATCCAAAGTATTATCACACCAATAGTACCAAATTACCAATCACACTAGTATCAAGTCACAAACATGCTTCATTGTTACAGATTCTTGTTAGTGTCATTTTATTTATTTTACTGTAATGAATAACGTTGGTTTTAATCATACAGTCCGCTTTACTTTATAACAACAACTATGGTAGTATGAGGTACGGAAGCCGGACAGTGCCAGTCGATAAGGGATAAACTATCCGGCTTCCGTTATTAGTAGTATTCGCTCTTTTCACACTTCCGCCATGGGCATGCACAGCCTCTATCTGGCAACTTTACACAACAAATATAGCCGGTTCAGTGATTCCCGTGTCGGGGTTCAGATCACGGATGAGGCTATTTTTATTGTGTAAAGTAGCAGATCGAGGCTCTGCATGCCCAATGGCGGAGCGTGAAAAGAGCGAATAGGGCCTACATGTTATGGGAGCACTTCTAAGTATAATGTGCAACTAGGTGTTTACCACAGAGAAGTCATTTTCGCACAGTTAAGTGAGAAAAAATAAAGACTCAACTTATATTGCGACTCCAGTTGAAATTTCTGTTAAATAATGAGGCTACGAAATTTTACAGTATATTCTGGACGTAGAGTTGCAGTTAAAAGGTGTCTCCAAGACAAACGCTTCGGTGGCGCACTTGCTCCTGTTATTGTTGTTTTATCCACACCAACGTTTCTGCTTAAAACCTTTACCAATTGTTTTTTATTTTCTGTGCCAGTCGTGACATGTGACACCCCTCCCACAATCAGCAACGGCAGAATCCTGTTCTATTCAGGAAGCAATTTCAGCTACACTAACTCTATCGGCTACGAGTGCAATCGCTTCTACGAGCTGCACGGTATGAGCTTCAGGGAATGTCAGGCCAACGCCACCTGGTCCTTCCAGAATCCCACCTGCGTGCCTAGTAGGTATTTTTTTTCATCGAAATTATTTCATTTACGGATCAATTTGTTTGATCGAAAACTTGTTGTTGCTTAGCCTCAAAATCTTCGGGGAAACATAAGCTGAATGTTAACTTGGTTTGAAGAAGGTGATACCACCGAGATAAACAGGGTGGTCCCAAAACTACGGAGCGGCAAACTTCCACTACCTTGAGACTCAACCCACCGGTACCAATAATGGAGAAACCTTTTACAAGAATTATGATACCAAGATCTAATTCCCGGGCGCGGTTTAGTAATTCGTCCGGACAAAAAATGACCCCACCTTGCTTCAGAAAATAGCTTTAGAACAAAACTTACTGGACATAATAGGGTGATCTTGGTTTCATTTTTCTTCTAAAAAGATTGTCCATGCATAGATATTATGTGGTTTTGGTCTCGGAGTAGTGGAAGTATGAGGTTCCGTTTATTGGACCACCTTGTATTATGCATGGGTATGTGACCAGAAACTCTGCTTTAATTTGTCGATCATGATCAGGTCAGCTTAGTGTTGAAAGAAACACAATCTCTGTTTATAAAAACTTCACTGTAATTTATATTTGTGATTAGTATCCCTATTGGTCATTTAGGACAAACGTTCTCTACTGCTTACCACAACTTCCACTTCAGGCAGTGTTACCGGAAAAAAAACTTTAATGCGATTCACCGTGACGCGCGCGCACTACTGATTATTTGTTCCCATTGGCTTAACTTTTACTGCTACTCCGGTGTCATGAAATCCGACTCCTGTGAAAATCGGACTCCTTTTCCCTGTTATTGGTTAATCCCTCGCACGTGACGGGCCACTTTCCCATAACGATCCTAAAAATAACGTCTTATCGTACTTACGCATGCGCAATACTACCATTGAGTCCATATTTCATGGAGTCGGATATTCACGCTACATCGTACCGGCGTGTTTTACGTGGAAATGACGTCACACTTACGAACGGGATAGACAGATCCAAGCTCCGCCCAGTGGTGCTTTGACCAATCACAGTCGTGACTAATGTCCGACATGCGTGCACGAAAAATCAAGCATGCGTGCACGCGCGTATGAGACGCGCATGATGCGCGTATGATGCGCTCGGTTTGATCATGCAGTGTGGCATTGGAGATGTGCACGAGTTGGTTGCCCACGTGTGCAGGCTAGTGGGCGGGGCTTAAAGGATCGTATGTTGCCCTGTGATTGCAGTTTGCGGTGAGAGCTCGATTGATCCCCGGGAGCGTGGATCGGAGACGCGCATCGTGGGCGGTCGAGAGGCCGTACGGGGTTCCTGGCCCTGGCAGGCCCTGGTCAAAGTCTACGCTCCCGAGCACGACTTCGTGACCGAAGAGTCCTTCTGCGGCGGCTCGCTGCTCAACGAGGAGTGGGTGCTGACGGCGGCTCACTGCGTGACGGGGAGGAACGAGAACCGGCCACGCTTCTATGGGAAGCGCGTGCCCACAGACGCCTTGGAAATGTACCTGGGCGTCCACAATCGTCAACAACATACAACAGAAACTTTGTATGTGAGTATCAAGATTGAGTTCTACCATAGTACCGGCCCGATGATATAAACTAGACAAATGGAAGTTTCAACATTAGTGCTTCAAGTAGGCCTACATAATAGTTGTAACGTTTGAACTCATTACCAGTAGACAGTAAAGAAATACTGATCAAGTTTGAAATTAACAACAACAATCTCCTACAAATAACAAATGAAATTGTATTGATGTAAAGGCCTTAACATAGAACCTCGTACTATTTCAGTGTTCTCCAGTTTCCAGCAGTCAGTCTCACAGGGATGTTTAGTCTGAGAACGGGTTTACGCGTCGTCGTCTCATAATTTGACGCAGCCTAACGCAGGTCAAGTGATTTAAATGTATTCATGCTTACAAGCTACGAACGGGAACTGTGGGTTTATTCCCCTGACCTATTAAAAGGCAACTTCACCGAGTGTGTTGCATATCTAAATTCCTTGCAGACTTCCGTGCAGGAAATCATCAAACATCCCGAGTACGACGCAGAGAGCTGGGACTCGGATGTGGCCTTGCTCCGCCTCAACCAGTCTGTCCAGCTTACCGACTACATCCGCCCGATCTGTCTGCCCGAGCAGAACCGGCGGCCTGGGCGGAACGACGACTCAACGGTACGCATCCGGAACGTAGCCGACGGGGAGGACGAAGGCGTTGTCATCGGCTGGGGTCGGAAGGACTATAATCGACCGACCTCGAATGTGCTGCGTGAGGTGTACGTTGGCGTGAATGTGCCTAGGGATGAGTGTAACGAAGCCATGGAGTTCCGGCACGTCACACGGAACATGGTGTGTGCTGGGCCCCGTGAAGGTAAGAAGATACAGATATAACATGGTGTGAGGGTGGATAGTCGATATAAGCTCCCCAAGATATTGGAAGTTCAGAAGCGAAGCCGAAGGAACTAGTTTTTTCAACTTCCAATACCGAGGGGAGCTAATTATATGGACTATCCACCCGAAATAAACCATGTTATATTTGTTTCAGCATACCTCATGTACTGTGACTCCACGTCATGTACGTGAATCGCACATACTGATGCACTGTGTCAATGTGTGTTTCAAGTACACCATGTGATACATAACTGGCACTTCCTAACACTTCATGCATGTGAGCTTCACTTTTGTGTTGTGTTGCAAGTATCACCTCAACTGCCTCAGCTTTCCTTTCAAGAGCCTCAAGTGTTCATGATTTTGGGACAAAAATGTGCAGTCATGAGGTACAGTCAGTTTCTACAGTATACATGTATTCAGTTGCCGAATTGTCCCGTTGCAGTACTGAACCTTGGCATAAAATCCTGGAAGAAAATTGTCCAGCTCACCAGAAGAATATTGCTCAACCTCAGAAAAGTTCAGTTCTTTTGCAATACACTAACAGCTTCTACCTCATTGTAGACAACGTTTTTAGTGGAGGCATCTTTATTGTCCACACCACTTCGGCATCATTGAGCTCGGGAAAACGCCGATTAACATTATTTTTTACGTGTATCCGTCATCTTTTCATGTTTCAAGCTAGCTAGCTAGGGCGATGTTCGCACGTGTGCGACAGTTCCACGATTGCTTCGTAAAGCGCATGCTAATACTGTCGCACCTGCGACATTACAAGAAAGTCACGAATTAATAAAAAGTCAATAATTCTTCATGTTGTCTTTTCAACCCCCCCCCCCCCCCCACCACCACCACCACCACCACCAGGTGGAAGAGACGCATGCACCGGAGACAGTGGCGGGCCGCTGATGTTGCGGCACGCTACCACCGGCCGCTACTTCCCGTACGGTATGGTGTCCTGGGGCGAAGGCTGCGGGGACGAGGGCAAGTACGGCGTCTACGTGCGCACCGAAAACTTTGTGGACTGGATCAAATCCATCATCGAGATAGAACGTTAATGGACTTGTAAATACCCGGAATTCACGTCTGTTCGTAACCCCCAAAATGGACGCGTTACAGCGCCCTCTTGCGCTCAAAATAGATATGGGCTATTAATGAGACGGAGGGCGTTGTAACGTCAGGTACATGTACAAACAAACGTGAATCCTGGACTATGACGTCTTTTTTTACATGTTGTTGTAGATCAAAAATTACTCTTTTTGAACAAAATTATAAATTTGAAGTAAAAGCTGCTAAATTGCTCCAGTATCATGATCTTTTTAATGTTAATACCCAGAATTAGAAAATGGCGTCATGACATGCAGCGCCCTCGTTGGTTGCTAAAAAAAAATGCGGCTTATTCATGTGGTGCAAGGGGAATTAATCTGAACGTAAGACTTCAGAAGAAAATCTGTAATGTGATATTTGAGTCTTTACGCAGTGGAGAGAACAGCTTAACAGAAGGAGGCAAGTTCAAGTTCACATCTCTGGTTCCTCTTAGAAACACCTCCCTCTTATCAGAGATAATAATAACACAACATGATGCATCTGCAAAATTTTCTCCGGAATGGTCCTCTCTTAGATTCCGCCTTTCTCCAAGTAAGGTATTAACGCACAGTCTTATAAATCCTTTTATTTAAGAGAAATAAGGCTTTCGTTAATATCTTAAGCCAACATATAGTTGTTTGTTTTAATCGCGCATTGTCTATTTCGCTTTGCTCGTTTAGATGTTCGTTTAGTTGCCTGTGAATTTGTATGCACGTAAGCTTATGCTTAGTAGTTTCTGTGTGTGCTTCGAAAATTCAATATATGGTAGGCCGTGTTCGAATTATTTGTTTACGGCTTGAAACTACACACGTGTCTATGGTAGCGGCTGCAGCCAATTTCCATAGACCCGTGTGCAATTTGAAGCCGTTGCCTAATATTGGGCCAATGCTTAGTTGCTTGCTTACTTGTCCGCTTCCTGTATTTCCTGCGCTTAGTACCAATTAACTGTATTTGCTTACTTGCTTTGTCTTATCTTTACTTAGGGCCTAATGATATAAAAGCTTCTTAGCTTAACCATTAAACAACTGACAAACATTCTTGATTGCTACAGATAACTAATTTTATTGTTATGCAATATACGTATATATCAAAAAAAATAATGCTGACAAAAAGTTTTTAATTGTTACAATAATGCATGAAAATGAAAACATGATTTAAAGCAGCCTTTTTGTCAACAATTATTATCGTTTGCTAAAATTGTCTACAGTGGTATATTTGTATGAATCCTCCCTGCTATGTGACATTACAAAAGTATGTAATAGGCCATCGGCCTTGGTCCAAAATGTTGGCCACCGGTATCAAATGAGGGGAATAATTGTTATAGCTAATTTTGGCAAGGTATACATCTCCAGAGTTGGGAAAATATGTGATAGCATTGCAGCGGTGGCAGCTTTTTGGCTGTTATCACCCTTTTTTTTCAAAATGTCCATCAAAATGCTTGTTACCACTCCAGAGGATGTATACCTTGCGCATGCGCACTATAATCATTTATGCCCTGATTTGATACTGACCAAACCCCCAGGCTGATGGCCTATAAGGTAATTCTTTTTAGGCAAAAGTAGTAGTTTAGTGATATTATGGAATATTATCTTTAAGCTGAGTATTTGGTAGAATTGGAATACAGGCAAATCAGTATTTTCCATGCACTGAAAAGATCAACATGAAATAAAAATCTTTCATCTAAATTAATTCAATATCTAATTTGAAGGATTTGCTGATCACTACTGGAAGAATTTTGATAATCGTTTTCGCTCGTATCTCTTAATTGTCAATGTTGGGGTTTTTTGACCAGGTTTTTGTACATTTAACCTTAATAATAGTACATCTGTGTTAAAATTCTAAGTTTTGAGAAAAGTGAAACAAGAATTTTGTATGACAATAACTATCAGATTGTCAGTGCCATTACTTCAGTACTGTATACACTGGTAAATGTAACTGGACCGAAAAGACTTGGAGAATTCATGTAGATACTGTATAACTAATGAACCCATCCATGACGATGTGTAACTCAAGATGTTTTCCCAAGTTCTCAACCCGATACTTAATTTCAGGGAAATGCTTTCACAAAGAAAATGCTATTTTAGTTGTAACCCTATTGTCGCTCCGTACGGTGTTTCAACGCAATCGGTTCAACAACGCGCTGTGTCGATTTTTGACCAATAAGCGACGCTAATGCTGACTCTATTGATGATTACTGAATATAAAATATTGTCTTAAAGATATTTTTCCAAAACTTGGAGTCATATCCGGCCAAGGCTTTGCACTCCATTTTTCATAGCTCCCTAACACAGAATACACGCACATGTACTTCGTATTGGGTCCGGTTTTGTAATTCGAATCATATATCCCAAAAATGTGTGTTTATTTGAATCAACTCCCCCAACTATCATTGTGTAGCTAGTCGTGAATGAAGCCGAGTTTTGGGAAATGGCCAACGATGCATTATAATAGTCTCGTCTCCTGCCGCTATGTACACGTGATACATCTTTGCTCTATCAAACTTGGTTTTTGTCTATATAGCATGTAAAGAATATCGATTATATACCTTCATTCTTTTGAAGGTGCATCCATGAAAGGCAGTAAAGGCCGTCTTGTACAAGACTTCGTGCCGGCCATGATCTTGTCTTCTTTTTACATTTGAGTGATCTGGCGTATCCAAGTGCCAAAGTTCCCAACTTTGGCGTACACCCCGTAGTCTCCCTCCTGAGCGCATCTATCCTCGCCCCAAGAAATCAGGCCAAAGGCATGGTATCTTTCCAGAACTCGGTCCTTCAACATCAGTGGGCCACCGCTATCACCAAAACAAGTATCCCGTCCACCTACGCATACAAAACATTGTAATAGGGACAAAATGAATTCTGATCCCCCGATCAAAATTATATCGTTTTGTTTTCAAACTTTTCGAGGGGAAATCTGACGACTGATCCTCACTGAATACCCCAATACTACTTTTGATGGAAATATACATGTACATCAAACCAGCCGTTGTACTATTAAACACGTTGCACTTCCCCTTGTAAAACAAAATGACAAAAGCAGCCCAAAAGGAGAGTCATTTATCAAGACTTTTTTGCAGATAAAAACCTTTAGTTGATAATGAAATGTTGAAACACAATTTTGGACAAACTTTCTCTCAAGGGGCGGGGACACCTTTCATAATTTTGGGGTGGGGAAAACATAAATTACAAAATATTATCCCAAGTTATATGCCAATCTGTTTCTGAATTTGGCATATAAGTAGTCTAAGTAGCAAATTAAAAAGCAAAATCCAAATTATATTTCGCTTTTGTGCAAGAGAAAGTATTTTTCTTTACAAGGCAATGATAAAAACGTACTTTTTTTTCCTGAAAATCCATTTTGTTTCACTGAAATTAGAAAAGACGGAGCTGGAATGTCTTTTCTTTGAAGCAAATTCGGCACATAAAAGGGGATACTTAGGGTGGATTAAAATATTTTTAAAAATATATACGGAAGGGACAAAAACAGAAAATAAGTGAGTAATAAATCAAACTTTGCGTCAATTTTAGTTGTGAAATGAAAATAGCAATATGAGATACGAGAGTAAAATAGGATAAAAAAAACCCGGCATATTATTTAGCCTTTAAATCACTTTTTTTCCTACCCCTTTTTGACATTTTAGTTTTACGCCTAAATGTAAAGGCCTATCAGCTAAAATTTAATGGCAGGATTAAACAGCTTTAAAGGTTTTTCTAATTAAAGTCTTAAAAATAAAAAAAATGGGGAATATTGTTGTTTTTCTTTGTTCATTTGCAAGATATGTCCCCTTTTAGGCAAAAAAGACACGCCCCAAAGAGCTGCCTGCTACTGCTAGACCTTCTGTTTACACATTTCGCCCCCACTTTTTTGAATGTGGCCCCACCCCAAACAGAGGCGAACTTATGGAATTAATTTTTTCTTATGATGTAGCACTTGGGTTAGCTGGCCAAATGCGAAAATGAAAAAAAAATTGTGAATTATCGGAATCGTTTTTTTTTTCCGGATGTCATAATGCCCTGCCCGTAAAAGGGTCAGAAAAATGGCATCAAGTGGTTTTGAAATTATTGAGGTATCCATAAATGATCTTGAGAGTTAAAAACAGTGTACCCAAAATGCATAGGGGCCTATGGGCCCCCACAAGCCCACTTGTCCCGCTCCCACTGCATTTTAAGTCAGAATCGGTGATGGGGGACTGGGAACAAGTCTACGTTGATCTGACCCAGGGGTCAAAGGACACTTCCAAACTCGGCCCACATGCGAACGGAGCCTGCGCAGGGAGTTTGCTTCCGAGAAAACTGCTAGTATTCAGCCATACGTGCTTTCTGCAGCCGAACCAAGTAGGCTGTAAGGACCAGCATAAGCCATAGCCCTGGTGAGTGTAAATTTCTGTTATTCTTTACTTTGCCAAATCCTCGAAAATGACAATGTTTGGAGTTCAGACAGTACAGTGCAGTGTCTCGCATTACACGCACGTACATGTACTATGTGCATGTACATGTACAGTGTGCATGCACATACTGTACAAGCACTACGTATAGGTATGCATGCACAGTTTCGTGCACACACACGTTCAATACGGTTCATCATCATGGCGCCAAAAGAGGACAACCGTGTTTTCCCAATTTCAGGTTTTTAGAAATTGCAACACCGGGGTTTTAAACACTAACAACTCCATTTTCTGCCGGCAGAAATGTTGACAACTCTCTCGGCGCCAAGGCTCAAAACATGGGCAACTTAAAAAAAATCTCAATTTTTTTTACTAGCAAAAATTGTGACTCTAAAAGTTGTCAACCATGATGACAACCCTGCTAGCATAAGTTCAGATTTTAGAAGCAACAAAACCCGTTTTTAAAAATGTCAATTTTCTGCTAGGCTACAAGTAGGGCCTATAGTCTGATTTTTAATATGCTGATAGGGACTGGACTACTCAGTGATAGCAACAAATTGGGTTTTACCTTGAAAACTTTGCTTGACACCTCATAAGTGGACAACCAAGTAAATATTCATCAGGTCAATTTGTATCCAAGTCAACTCGTATCCGAATCAACTCCAACTCCGTACTCCAGTTAACTCGTACCGGATCGAATTCGTCTTACTTGTACCTGAATCAACTTGTACTCCAGACAACTTATACCCACTGAAAAGTTAGGTTTGAAAAGCTTGGGGTAAAGATGGAGAGTGTTAGCACTTTTTGCTAGTGAACAAAAGCAAAAACATGAATTCCCCTGTTGCAAATGCATTACGTTGTACATTACTACAGAAAAAAAGACAAATACGACATGACATGAAATACATGTAACGGGCTGTATAATTGGCGGTACGAATTGACTCAAGTAGGACGTAAGAGTTCAGTCAGTTACGAGTTGACTCTGATATGAGTTGACTCTGATACGAGTTGACTCTGATACGATTTGACTCGAGTGTGGGGTACAAGTTGACTCGGGTACAAGGTGACCCGATGGTGATGGATATTTCCTAAGAGAAATTGCACATTTTGGTTTGTCTACTTTTGAGGTGTCAGTGTAAAAACCCAATTTCTGCTAGCAGAAAAATGACATTAGGCCTATAAAATGTACATTTCTGCAAGCAAGTTGTCCACTTTGTATATTTTTGCTAGTAAGAATTTGAGATTTTTATTTGTCCACTTTTGAGGCGCTGAGATAGTCGTCAAAGTAAAATCTAAATTTCTGCTAGCAGAAAATTGAGTTTTTTTTAAACTAGTGTTGCAATTTCTAAAAACCTTAAAATCTTACTAGCAGCAGAAAATGGAAAAATGCGGTTGTCCACTTTTGGCGCTCCATGCATGTGGTACCACGTGAATGATCTATAGAGGCATGATAGTCCGGATTGTTAGTCTTTATCGCAGCAGCAGTAGCATAGTGCGGGAGTAGCATAGTCAAATACCAATGGTTGAAACTTTGTTTTAATTTTCAGTTAAAGTGATATAGGCCCCTAATAAATTATTATTCCACTCTAAGCATTATAATTGTGCGTGCCTAGAGGTAAATGGACATTCAGTGGAGAAATTCAGTGTAAATCTGGGGCACGTTATTAAAAACGTATCGAGATGTAGCTGACATTTTTTTTTTCGAGAGCTGTGAAAATGCACCTTCATTTTTCTCAACACAGAGCATATATGTTTTCGTTAAAAGTGCGATGGCGTGGTCCTAACCATCACAACAAAATGATTTATCTAAAAAATGACAGCATACTACATGTAGGTGCATAAATTCTAGGAGCAATGATTTCACAGGATGCTCGTATTGTTTACATAGAAGTAAAAGACATTTCATGTCGTAAGATTTTTCATGATTATCTGTCAGTTTCCTTTTCGAATGTTTGGAAATGGTGTCCCTTACCTTTAAATTAGATCATACTCGTAGACTTAATATGTTGCCCCAGGCAACCCATGCTCTGGGGCGGATCCAGGAATTTTTGTAGGGGGAGTGGGGTCAGGCCCATCTTTTGTAATGCCCGATTGATAAGGACAGGTGGACATGTACATGTAGTTAATTATTATTACATAATTGTTGGTGTCAGAGCATGGGGCGGGGGGGGGGGGGGGGGGGGGGGGCCCATCCCCTTCTAGCCCAACACCCCCTTCCCTTGGATCCGCGCCTGGTGATCATTAGAAGGCTGCTAGTCTGAAAAATGATGTCGTTGGCTATTACACACGAACACCGGCCTGTTGTTTGATAACAAATTACAAGTTTTTATTGTTTTGTGTACTATATGAAGCTGTGTTTGAATTTGTTTCTACAAGTAATTAAAAGAAATTGGCATGCAAAAAAACCCAACCCAAAACAAGGTACCAGTGCTTTCAGAAGTACTGTGGTACGGTTTCTGGGCATTGTCTCCTTCTCCATCCACCCCCCTGAAAGAACACCACTCCCCCATCCGGTCCATGCCCCCCCCCCCCCCCCCCCCCTCATGTTCTGTTTTTATCTTGCCTCATATTAAAAAGCCCCGGTTGTGAGCCTCGGCACTGAGTTCAGTGAAATGGACCCAGGTTATTGGTCAGATACCCAACTTACCTTCAGATGCTCCAGCGCACACCATGTTATCTGTGATCACGTATCCCTCCTGGGCCCTACCCTCAAACGATTCCACACAAGTCGACTGGTCAATCACGGGGAGATACACCTCTTTCAAGAAATCTGACGTAGAACCTGGCTCGGTTTCGCCTGAAAACAAGACAAGACAACACAGCTGGATTGAACTCACCGTAAAAGTGTTCTTCAGGCGTTGATTTTCACAACACAATTTATGTTTTACAGCAAATCTATACATGCATAGTACCCAAGGACAAAAGAACATGTTTGTTGGTCTGTAGGGCTGCACAGTGTAGCTATGCATATTTTGTGGAGGACCCAACAACAAAATGTTCCCAAACTTTCCGGGGACTGACTACAAATAGTAGCATACTGGCCTACATACAAATCTACATGTACCTTCAAGAAAATGCATCATTAATGTTATTGACTTGTATAATTTCTAAATGTAAACACATGTTCAAAATCACTGGTACATGTGCAATGTACATGTAGTTAAAACTTTGATGATATCAAGATACCAGTCAGAATTCACACACGCATTGCTGTAGGTCAAATGGAGGCCAGGATACATGTACATGTATGTACTTGCAAAATGTGTTCATACATTGATAGTGCAGCGCAGGGTTGTGAGCCATGTAAGATTGAAACACAAACAAAAGAATCTGTGTGGATTCTCTCTCCCCCCCCCAGCCTACCGGTAATTGTTCCTTTTTGGTTCAGTCTGCTTTTGGCACTTGTCATGCATGGGTGTGTACTGATAACATGTGTTCAGTATCGGTTTATTTATTTTTGTTTTGCACAGGATTAATATGGATCATTGCGTAGGTCACTGGTCCAGTGGATCTCCCACACAGGTTCAAGACCTGTCAGAAGTTGAAGACGTTGTTTTCATCCCAGACTATCTTCGTGGTCTTCCCGTTGAAGTGACAGAGAGAATTCTGTCCTACCTCTCAGAAACTGACTTGTGTCGCTTGGCTGTGTGTAGCAGAGGTTGGAGAGAGAGGACCAATCGGGACCGTCTGTGGCGACCAATATGCCTGGCTCGTGGCTGGGAGCGTTATGGCACTGCTGTTGACCTGAACCTGGACGAGGGTTCCTTAGATCACAGCCATGTCTTGATAGGAGAGAGCACTGAGACATTAGAACCAACCTGTGAGTGGAAGGCAGTCTTCCTGAAGGCTCTTGATCTGGAAGCCAATTGGGCTAAGGAGCCATATTGCAACATAACTCATTGGGTTCCATGCCTACCCATCCCCAGTTCTTCAATATTTACCTTGCAGGACTGTGATGGAGACTATTTCGTCTATGCCAATCTCAGTGGCAACATTTTGATTTGGGATCTTGGACCCCAGCTGGAAGAAGTCCCGATCGACTCTGTAGGTGATCCAACGTTTCACTTAAGAACAAAGTACCGATGGAAACCGCAACACCTTTTGGTATCAAAAGGGGTAGGTTTAGTAGTGGGATGTCATACGTTCCAATTTGTCAGAACCTTTGATTGTAGGACAGGAAGGTGGTTGGCTGAGGTGAGGACTATTCGGCCCATTCTAAGCAGCTTCCACTTGAATGACACGTTTGTAATTGGTCAGCCGTCGATGCAAGCCGATTTAAGCAAATTTTATGTCTGGGGAAGTGCCAATGGGAAAGTATGCCACAAATTAAGAGGACACGTAACAAACATCAAGGATCTAGCTCTGTGTGGTGATATGGCAGCTAGCGCCGCTGAGGACGTGATCCTTTGGGACGTGAGTAAGGGGGAACTTTTGAGAAGCTTCCAGTGTCCAGATGGAGACCACATGTTTTCAGATTGCAAACTCAGCAGCAAGTATCTAATGGGAGTTTATTTGCTTGATGGGGAGTCTTCATTGGCGGTGTGGAACCTAGCATTGGGTCTTCAGCTTACGGTCGATGCTGGTAAGGAACTGAGTGTTTTGGAAAAGAAGGAGATGGATTGTAATGAGTTTGCTGTGGTTTTTGGGTCCACAGTATGGAGCCTCGAAGGGGAAGCCTTCCTAAGTGGATCAAAGCAGCTTACCATCGCTGGGAAATGGATGTTGCGGAAGGCGGAATCAAGCATGGAAGTATGGAGCCTGGGGCCCGATTCCAGCAATTGGCGCCGTCTTCATGAGATGGAAACTGAACTCCGCAAAGTCGAAGGTGTACAAGTACTTTGGGCTGATGACACCAAACTGGTTTTCAGAGAACTCTTTGATCATGAGTATGAGAGGAGTGAACTAAATATCGGACACTTAGCCCCACGTGTGCAAGGAGGAAGGATTATTTTGAAAGAAGCTTCACCCAAAGTACATGTAATATATTTTTGGTAAAGACATTCCTCTTTATCAATATTTTTTATATGTATTGAAGAACTCCTTTGATATACCTTGTTAATTTCTTCATGTGTAAATGAAAAAGCTGCCTTTTACGAATCTCAGCAAGTCTTTCTTAAGAAAGGATTGCTGAAGTTGGGTTTACTTAAAGTCATCGTTGTGCATAACAAGATTGGACGATTTTATGATAGAAAATTTCGTTCGCACAAATATTGGAGTATAAAAAAAACACCCCAAAACACTTCGCATTCAAAAACTGTTTGAAATGTTGTGGTGACACGAGAACAAGACAATGTCTTTAATTCTGCTGATACCCGCTATGAGTTTTGCACGCAAACGGCAAACCATTCAACAAGAACTCATCAAATCTTGATGTGTACAATGTTGAAACCGGTCTGGCTTATTGAAAAGAACTTAAAGTACATCTGCCATTTATTAGGCTAGTTTAAGAAAGAATGCGAAGAGATGCGACTGCCAAGAAGCCTTACCCCATCCAATGGCTACGGCTTCTTCGAGGAATTCTTCATCTTCGTAAAGGGAGTAGTCACTCCCGACCCGGAAAGTGTCAGCATCCGGGACGCAGATAGGGCTAATGCGGTTAGTTAGCGCAACAGGCTGAGCAAGACGAAGCAAGGCTACGTCAGCATCGAAAGAGGCTGCATCGTAAGAGGGCGCCCTCACTATCTCAGACACCTCTCTCTGTTGAAGGTGCAAACAAGAAATCACGTTGAGCTTAAATTGTATTGTTAAAAAACAGCATTTTGGCAAACAAAAACCTACGATTTTCATTCGGAGGCTTTGAAATGTTTTTTTTATTCTATTATTCTTTGAGTAATGAGGTTAGACAACATTGCATTTAAGGGAAAAGAAATCCGAATAAAGTTTTTTTTTTTAAGTAAGTTCAAAATTCTGATTTTCGAGCCTTTTTTTTTTTATAATACTGCAACTAATCGTTCCCAGTACATTACAGTGTTCCTTTAGATTGTATGACCAATTGCAAATACCAATTATCAAAATGGTAATCAAAATGGCGCAGTAGCACTCTCCTCACCTTTCATCAATATGACCAAGGTATAAATTCAACCCATGGCGAATGGGATACTTTTGAAATGCTTGGTAGCACCAAAACGGTCCCTGCCACCGCTGTGACCCGGTTTCGAATCCCGCCCGGGCCAAAACATGTTTGTGGATTGGGTTTTCAGTCCCTGCCTGATTCCGTGGTTTTTTTCTCGGAATATTCCTCTGGGCTTTTCCTCCCACCTCTAAAACTGTCATTTCTTCTCATTGACTTCTCTCAATAGGTTTCTTCAGGCTTTCGAGCTACAGTGCTTAGGGTACTTTTGAGGAATCCTTGGTTTCATTCATTACCAAAAAGAAGTAAATAATAATTGATTCGTCATGTTTAATCTATTGTGCGCGTGTTCAAAATGACGCAAACGTAGAAAAGTACAGGTGTGTTTGCTCCATCAAGCGTCCGAAAAGTCTTTGGTTTTGGTTTTTAGTCCGTACTTGATGCTCTCTTTAGTTGTCTTTAAAGCTACAAGTGGACTTTCGATGAATCCTGGGTTTCACTACCACAAACAAGTAATCCTCTTTAAAAAAAAAAGGGGGGGGGGGGTACTCACAACTTCTCCTTTTGTATCACTGATTTCGTGGATACCGAGCGTGACGGAGACTGAGTCAGCCGGCACGACCCGGCCGAAGATGGCGGTTCTCCTCGCGGTAACGCAGTGGGCCGCGGTCAGCACCCAGGTCTCGGAGATCAGTGAGCCACCACACTGAATGCCGTCGATGCCGAAGTTGGGAGCGCGGATCGAAATCCGGGCGGCCCAGGGCCAGGAGTTTTTCCTCGCCTCCCTGCCGCCCACGATACGTCTACGGGGAGGATTCCTAGGCGGGGTTCTGCTCTCTCCACAGACTGTCAAGCGATATAAATTCGGGGGAAAGTCCGGTCATGAAAGACGATTCGAAGAGAAAACTTCCAATGCTCTAGGTATCCCGGCTCGAAACAAATGGTAGTGACATTGAAGTGACACATTTTCCTGCCCAGATGTGTCTGATTATAAAACTTCACTGAACACGTCCGCACATGATTTGACATATTGCCGTTTGCGAGTTAGCCACGCACCTTAGAAAACTTTATGATAATAATGTGCGTTACGTTTTGTTTGTCTCGGATTGTGCGCGTTCCGCGTCCATTTGTATATCATGTAATTTGGCAATATTCACAAAGTGCGTTGACGCGATTCTACCGCGATGGGTAATTGTGATGTTGAGGAACTTACTTGCAACACATGATGGTTCCTCGCCGGACCACTCTCCGTCCACCTGACACACACGGGTATCGGAGCCGCGCAGCTCGTACAGGGGGTCGCAGTAGTAGACCGCTTCTGTGCCCCATTCCAGCGTTTCGTCATCCACAGTCACCTGACCGTTGTTAATATCCACCAGGCTCTCACACGTGACCACTGTGACAGAATAATATATCATTTATAATATTCTCCTTTGACAAGTGTCATTATGTCCGTCATTTGTTGTGCTGATGCGGAAAGTTTGGCTAAATGGTGGATTGTTGTGGACATCCGTTTAAAGTGTCATACGGGCAAACGCGTCGATTGTCAGAATAACATGACGTATAGGTCAACCTAATTTAAATTTCTACGCGCGTACCAATATGCTGCTGCGTTAAGCGGGCACATGAGTGTGCAGGTGAAGTAGACCAATCAAACTATAAGGGAGGCGGCACAGCAAAGGCGCGAACAGCCAATAAGATATCAGAAGCACAAGTCCTGTTGCCTGTCCTCATAATTATACAGATAATGTTATGAGGTCAGGTATCCGGTCTACTAGGCGCTGACCGCTATTAAAACTTAATTATTTTCACATGATTTTGCGAAGGAAACGCAAAGTATTCTGGGTAGCTAATTAGGGATCCATATGGGATCATTTCGAGCGCACGTTCTCAATTTATCTTAGCCGTGAGACATAATGACGTAACTCTTTGATATGGGAACTTGGTGGATCTCATCCCTGGCTCCCATAGGAGAGCGCACATGTAATAAAGCGTGACGTCATTATGTCCCAGGTCTTTTGAGAGCTCAGAAGTGAAACCTTCACTCGGTAGCGCCCTCAAGCAGTCAGATTGAGGATAGTCAGTCTGGGTTCCAACCCACCTTCGCATACGGGGTTGCTATCCGACCATTGCCCAGACGCGAGGCACGTTCGTTGAGCGGGCCCCACCAGTCTGAAGCCTCTCTCGCAGCTGAACGTGGCGTTGTGTCCCATCGTGGTATTGGACACAGACACGACACCATTGGCAGGTACATCCAACGCCACGCACGGTTTACCTATAACAGTAGCACTCAAAAGAGTTATTTTCAGTCCCCGTATAAACCGGCATAACCGGTTATTATAAAATAAACGGAAATATGTCTCTGAGATAAAACCAGCATTAAAAGGCAAGGAATCAGAAAAAAAATCCGAGAAAAACAACAATTCTCGTGTTAGGTTCGGCGAGTGCGTGTAAGCCTTATTCATGTGCACAATCTGAAGTCAGACTAGCTCTGTGTACAGTAGGCCTATTTACCGACATTACACGCCATTTTCTGATACTTTTTTCCCCACTAAATCCTGAAGTATTTTACTGTGCACTGGACTCCAGTTACCAAACGTATTCGTAATGAGATGTTGATTTTAGTAAAAAAAAAAAATGCTAAGAAGATGTCATCAAAAATCATTAATTTTAAAGGCATGGAATCATTTCAATTATCCCAGAAGTATCCCACCAAATTATCAAATTACTGATACTATTCCGTGAAATTGTTCCATTTGGCTTGCTGGCATTAAAATGAAATCGAGCATTGTGGGTGATTCCCAAAGATCAGTCAATAGATACTAGACTGATTTTCGGTGATAAAGAGTGCTGTTTGACGAAAATGTTTGCATGGCACTATTTTGTCGAAAAGTGTAATATTAACTGAGCTGAAACTTCAACAGGTTAGGTTTAAAAGGTCTTCCGTGGATTTTGAGTGATTTATTATTGATAATAATAAATGCAGGAAAGGCAATTATGATCATATTATTAAGAAAATCGCGGTTTACCAGCGGTGCTGTACCGCGCACGGAAGCCTCGGTTGGCCCCAGACGCGTCCGACACGAAAGAAATCTCGATCCGTTTATCTGCTTTGACCTCTTCCGGCCAATCGGCCTTCTGCCGGCCGCAGAAAGGGCCCAGGCGCTCGTCATCCTGCTTGATCTGAAGCAAGAGTTACATAAAAAAAATAAAACCCAAAGACTAGACTTGCTAATGTAAGCTGGATCCGACAGCCCCAGCTTAGGCCATTTATTATCAATCAGTCAGTCAGTCAGTCAATCAGTCAGGAAAATGTCATCTGATTCCTCCGGTCCATCAAGGACAAAATAAGCACGTGAAGTACAATACGTGTATTATGTTTTCCAAGAAAAGACATCACATTGCGTCTAAGTCAGCGCAATGAACAAATTCTTCTTTTAAATCGCTTGACAGATCTGGAAGATCACTGACGGAGAAAAATGGAACACTCTTGTGAAAGTTGCTGATTGCGTCGCAGGTCAAGCACAAAGTGAGTACAACAAGTCGAAAGTTTGTAACTCTGAATTATTCACGGCAATTTACATCTACCACAGACGCTTACTCTCAGACAGTCAATGACGGAGCCAGAAGGGTGGAGGGGGAGGACCTTACTTGAAGTACTTGGTTGGCTCCTCTTAAATCAACCCCTCCTAGCAATGGTTCTAGTGCCGATTTGCGGGCTAGTGAGAATAAGAGTGGTGTCGTTAAGCTGAAAACCCTGATCGAATTATTCCTTAATAGTTACACTTACGCTCAAGGCGTCATACGGGCATTTGACATCCGGGTGATCTTCCACGTCGAAATCCTCGAAGGTCAAACTGATGACGTAGCCGGCCTCGGCTCGAATGAGCCAATCACAGTCGGAGCGGCGCGGGTAGGCGATCGGGTACCCGGGTGAGGTGATCACCCCAGATGTAGCCTCCAAGATGTTTCCTGAACAGTGCACTGCAAAAAAAAAGCAAACAATAGGGGTGCGACAGTGTACACGTATTAAAATTCCCATAGACACTATAGTGCTAAATGCCCAATTCTTTTAAAAATACTCAGAACTGTCACAGGTATTTAAGCTGCACAGAAAAATTACGATCAATATGTCATCTTATTTTTTCTTCTTAATTTTTGGTGGGTTGACCATTGACTTTTCGAGAAATTCTCACCCAAAGAAGACGACCCCTATTTTTCCCAAAGCGGAAAAGTAGCCATCTTGAAAAACGATTCCTCCACAACATGAAAAAATAGCGCCACTTTCGAGCTCAATCACATCCAAAATGCCCAGAATTTGAAGGCCCAAGTCGGGACCAAAGGTTCATTGCCATATTTTTTAAATTCCCCAATCTTATGGCTCTCAGAACTCTCTAATATACAATATTTTGAGGGTATAACTTTTACTCATGAGCTCGGCGGATGGGTTTAGGCCTGTTTATAGGTGTGCACCCATAGGAACACCATACAGTGGTATACATTGCGCCACAAGAGGTTATTACAGAAGGCCATTTCGCAGTGGATTATGTAGAAAACGCCATCTGACCCCGAACTGAATTCCTTTGCAGTACTGAGAGATTAACTTTTCACTTAAAATAACGAGGTTCGTTACTAAGTACAGGAGGCGTTCAGATGAACTTTTACGATAGAAATGCATTCCACTTGATGAAACGATGAAGAATAAGTGACTCTATGAAATATTATGATGTATACCCAAAGTAAACAGTTGTTATTGGGAAACAAAACACTGCTTGTATAAGATGGAATTTTGCGTCGGGGTGATATAAATCAAATTAGGTTTTGCCCTTCACCGACGTTTTTTATACACTGTATACTCAGTGTGTTACCTCCCGAGTGAAAGTTGGAAAAAATCACTCGGGTGGGACTCGAACCCACGACCTCCTTCTTTCTAGTGCAGATGTCTTACCACTCGACCACCGAGCTAACGGGATCTGCTTGGTGGCGCACTTTGGTGGTTTGCTGTGAATCTCTCAGTTTTAGATGTTAATAAGTTCAAATCCAAATGATTAATGTCAACTCTGCCAAGGAGCCCAAGAATCACCCAAAGTCATAGCCATGCCCGTACATAATAAGAGGTAGCAGATAAACATAGGTCTAAAAGACAACAGATAAATATGACACAAATCAACACACAATAACAAGTCTGAGTGGAGATAAATTGGCCAATTATGCCACTCTTCTTTCCGATCTCTTTAGCATGAGTTAGTAGCGAATTAGGCCAATATGTTCAATTACCTGGAATGGATGCTTTACTTATTGTGGCAGTAAAACCAAAGTTGACATCAAAACAAAACGTAGCTAAGAGTCAGGAAAACGTAAATCATATTGGCTCCTACCTTCACACGATGTATTATCCTCGTGGAGAGAGTAGCCGAACTCGCAGGAGCAGTAGTAGCCGCCCAGGTAGTTATGACAGAAATGGTTGCATATGTCCCTCTCCTCACACTCATCAATGTCTACAATAATAATGCAGTATAATATACATAAATATATATTGTTTTAAGGTTGAACAAAGAAATTGACCGGAGCTGGGTTTGAATCTCCGACCTCCGGACTACCATTCCTGTGCTCTACCAACTGAGCTATCCAGCCCTATGTTGGTGGTTCCCAAATTGCAGTTCAATTTTGAATATAACACATCCCCCAAACCCAGATACTGAAATAAAATGCACGACTGTGCGATTTCTGCAGCTGTTGGTTTGGCAATATTTCTAAATACTGTATAACAACTTTCATTATCTTATTTTGAAACTAGGGGGAACGTAGGGCCAACTTGCACACCGCTTAATGACCTGGAGAGAAGCTGTACTAACGTGAAGTGAAGATAGCTCTGCTAACTTTTAACAGAAAAAGCCTGTCACTTTAAGCGGGTTTTACGGAATAGTGTACCTATGCTTTCGCGTGAAGATTTTCATTGTGATATCCCTATTTGAAGTAAATTCGGCCACAAAAACTTGGTGTGCGTCTTGCAGTGGTCACTGCATACGGTCTCCATAAAATGGACAGGGGTTATGTTGGAAGAAAAGAACACGTTGTGCTTAGCAATGCCATGAAATACAGGATTAACTATTTGAGGATCACCTAGGACAATGATCAAACTAATAGGCCCACATGAGCCATGTATTTACCGATTTGGGCTCGGCCTGATCCGCGTGCATAAAAGTCTGAAAGCCTCGATTCTTAGTAACTTCCCTCCTTGTTTATTCAGTATTATTTTCCCATCTCCATTACTCGTTCATATATGGCTGTCTCCTACGTCTCTTTAGATTAAAAATAGACGGTGGCTATTAAACATGATCCCTTGATTCCTTGACCTGAAGCCGAACTCCCTTGTGAATGGACGGCATTGGGGAGTCAGGTTGGCGCAGTGGTTACTTTCCACTCCTACCCAGATCCACAGCCAGGGCCCTGCCCTGGTCCACACGCTGATTGGGTTTTCAGTCCCTACCTGATTTCGTGGGTTTTAACGAGAATTTATTCTTCTGGTGTTTCCCTCCCACCTCTTAAACTGTAATTTCTTCTCATTGTCTCCTCTCTACAATTTATTCAAGCTTTCGAGCTACTACAGTGCGTAGGACACGTTTGAGGAATCCCTGGTTTCATTACCAGAAATATATAACACACCATTCATTAACTTCATAACCTAGTTTCTGCTCAGTCATTAAAGTCAGAAACGTACCCAGCGAATCATGCACATATCGATTATAGAGCACCTGAGGTACACTTGAAGCGAGATCTAAATAGCGTGGAATGGCCAAGCGTTACAGCGTTAATTCAATCTACGGATGTTCCATTCACTCTGTTGAATGGAATCTGACCATACGAAAGCTCTCACCTTCGGCCACATAATGCGCACGGAATCCCGTGCGGCGGTGCACGTTGGAGTAGTCCGCGTGGAACCGGACTTCCATCTCGCGAGATTGTGACGTTAGGGAGCGGTCGCCAGGGGCGTCACGTGTGCCGGCGCGGCCGCAAAACTTGCCAAGGGTGTCGTTGCCGGACAGAACCTTGAAAAAATAAACGGGAAAAAAAGATAAAAAAGATAAGAAGAAGAAGAACTAAAAAAAAAAAAGATGGGGGGGGGTGTTTCTGAAAGTCGTTTTAAGAAAATTACCAGGACCTGGTTATGGCCATACATTCTTTAGGATAACGGTGGAAATACCAATAATTTCCAACTTCTGGTTCGAACGTGCACAACTGTTGAATACATTTTGACAACAAAATATTTTCACTCGAAATCAGCAAAATCTGCAGGATCCCATTTTTGTTTTATATTTATATTCCAATGTTTTCACGGTTGGAATTTGTTGTTCCCACTGTCGAGCAATCCAATTTGATATAAAATACATGAAGACAAATACAGTTTAAAAGACAGAAAGAAAGTGGCGTGACATTATTCTTTGACTCACCATGAGGTAATCGTGATCACAATTCATTGTCCCCGGCTCCAGGTCGAAGTCACTGATGTACAGCCGGACCCTGAAGCCTTCTGGTACAGTGATCAGCCACTGCAGGTCCCGATCGTCCTCGTAGGGGGCGGGGTAGCCCGGTGTCACGAGCACTCCGTACATCCCCGACAGAGGTATGGCCGTGGCATGGCACGCATGCGCGGACAGAGCCACCAGACACACTAAGACCGACAGCCACCTGATATAAACGTAAGTAGAAAAAAAATGAGTTTTTAAAGACTGTAAACTTCAGGTACTTACTTTTGAAAAAGGAATCAAGCTGACAATACATATTTTAAATTCACTCATCATGCATTGTGTATGTAACCGTGAAACGTTATGTCCAATTGGGAAGGCAATTCGGAATGGTCTGCTAATGTGAAACCGAACACTTCGTAGTCATTCAGTTGGAATATTCTAAATGAAATCGTTAAAATTATACTTCTTCACCTTTTTACTTCATTCGGAGTGTGTTTCAATGCCTTTAGGTTGTATGCTGCACTGCACTAACTACAGTGTAGACTTAAAACCGGTGGTCTTAAGATCAGTGGTGTAGGCCTAAAATATGTTTCAAAATGGTTTTAGATTTAAGACCAATGTTATTGCTTAACGGTAAAAATGCACGTTTTCACAAGTCCGCGAGTTATCTTATCTGAATGGAGTTGATTTATTACATTTCTTTACCTAGGGTATGCCCAAACAGTTTAAAACTGGTTTCCATTGGGGCCCTTCATACAATACAAATATCTACACACATGTACGAATACAATACATTACAAATACAAAACAATTCAAAAACATAACAGCATTTGGGATTAATGCATAATGTTTAGCAACTATTATAAATATTGTAATACTATTACAACTGCATGTACAGTCTGGTAGCTGCTCAATGAGCAATGCCATTTGCCACAATGTGAAAATTTATCTCCGTTTTGAAGCTGTGGAAAATTTCTTTGTTATTGCGCGTTTCTTGGCTGAATTGGTAGGCTAGCAAGGGTGGATCCAGGGGGGGGGGGCCAAAGGGGGCCATCCCCCCCCCCCCCCAAAAAAAAAAACGAAACCTTTTTTTTTTTGTATGTGACATCGCAAAAAGGCAAACAATGAGTACACCACCATCTTTTCCGAAAAAAAAAATGGTTAAAATGGTCAGAAATTGCCTCAGATCGCACCACAGAGCATCTAGAATCCAAACATTTTTCGGGGCCTTTAAGCGGGCCCCGAACCCCATGCCGTAATTTTTTTTGACCAACTTTTTGGAGGACCAAAATTTTTTTGCCCCCCCCCCCCCAAAAATTGTGTTCTGGATCCGCCCTTGTAGGCTAGCTGTGCAGATGTCCCCGTTGTGAAACGACGATGATTACTTAAGAGAAAAGATTTCGTAACGGTTCTTGCCCGATACTCCTTTTTTTCCAACTTACCCTTTAAGCATCAGGAAATAAGTTTAATTCTATTATGAAAAAATCATAATTTGATTGTCTGAAGTGGGGAAATTCCGATATACAATGACAGTGATTTTGTCGTAGGCGTAGCCCGAAAATAATAACAAAATAACTAGGCAGACTAAATTGTGCAAACGTTTATTTTATTTACCACAAATTGAATGTACTTGAAGGTATTGTGTATGTTCTCCTATTTATTATGTCATCAAAAATGTTGACAAAATCAACATGGAAATCAAATTAAAGTCAAGGACTGAAGATGCCTGGCTGCATGGAATCCCGCTAGCGATAGACCAGTAATACGGGCGTGTATCTCGCCCGTGTCGAACGACCCAGTTATTCAATTTATTTACTCTCGGTTTTTCAACTAATTTGATATCAAAATCCGTTCCAATGGCAACATATTCATGGCACCGGGAGATGATTAGAATTGCTAATTGGCGCTGCACGAAACGTGCAAAATGTTTGTGAGTATTTTTACCGAAGAAATATTACGCCGTTGGGTATATAGGTTGTTACATTTTCAGAAAGTTTGGTAATCAAAAGGCAAGACAAAAAGTTGATGACCCGGGCTCGAAACGTACCCAGACCAAAGTGTGAACTAGGTTGTAAAAGTCTCTAGTTATCTTTGCACTATTGGCTTTCTTCCAGTCCTCCCATTGTCCGAGGATACGACTTTCACGTGTGCAAAGCCACACGACGAACGTCTGATACATCATAGCATGCACACGTTATATGCAACTATATGCGCCAGCCAATCCGAGTCAACTTTAAAAATTGTGACGTCGTTTCGATCAGAAATGTGGACTTAGCTGTTGATTGGTCAATTTGTCTACCATGTTTTTGTAATGCCACGACGGAAGACTCGATAGAAGGAATTGTCAGAATCTGGTGATCAAGACGCAGTCTAATTTTCCATTAGTCGCCGAATCTGCTCGCATATCATATCCCCTTGCTGTGCAAGGGGATATTCCATAGACTAGCCCTTCACCTCTATTACTGAAATTATCTCCCCTGATTCCCTGAAAACACTATTCAGGCAGTGGCCATGGTGTCGTAAAAAGGACAAAACGTAAATTTGCTTGAACTTGAACTGAAGGTTATCGTAATTTGGTCGTCTGCCTACGATGCCACGTCTGAAATGTTACATTAGATCAATAATTGCCATATCTATTAATTTAGTGTTTTTCTGGGTCTTGTGCGTGGTTAATTATTAACCACGCACAAGACCCAGAAAAACTAAATTAATAGATATGGCAACCAGACAGGTGTATACAAATGAAGGCAAGTGGAGCACAAAAGATTCATTTTTAATGTTTCTCTGAAACCGAATTGCGGAGACCATTTTTGAGTGAAATGCTCTACATAAAGATACCAAGGCTTCAAACCTGCAAATGGCATGTTATTAAATTTGGATACGACAGGATCACTTGATATCCATGGTTACTAAACAACACACAATTGAAAGTCCTTGGTACAGTTGAATGTTTACTTTTATACCCGCTGTATGGAGATGGAATGAGTTAGGTACACAGGGAATCTGATACCACAAAAACGAACCCGAGAAACTGCGAGGCTGAGTTTGTCCAACCGCTCCCCAGTTTCCTATTAGTCCCCGGCTGTTAATTAGTGTTTTCCATGGCTTATACAAATGTTCGTTATTACCTCCGCCAAGGAGGTTATGTTTTCACCGGTGTTGGTTGGAGTTTGTTGTCTGTGAACAGGATAACTCAAAAGCGTGTTGGCAGATTTTCATGAACATTTGTGTACTACTACTAGGGGTGGTCGTTGGTACAAGTACGGACCCATTAGATTTTGGACGTGATTCGGATGCAGAATTTTCTTGAAAGATTGTTCACCATTTTGTATGTGCAAATATGCCATATCATACTATGAGATTAGGGCACCCCAACCCCCAACCCCAAAACTAAAGGACCCGCCCATTTCTTGGCCATGTATAAATGTTAAAGTTATTATACACAGCTCACTGGTCCCTCTCTCTAGAGACCCCGCGGCTAACGACCCCTTGTTTTACGACCCTTTGTTTTACGACCCTATAATGTTAACAGCGACCCTGTGGAAATGAGACAATTCTGCAAGATGCACTTGATAATTCTGTAGTCAACAAGTGAAGAATATTAATACAGAGTGTTTCGAATTCTGCCCTTTGATTTCAGAACATAATTGAGCACTTTATAAGTTACTCGTGTTTGATGTACTAACAATATGACGGGGAATTGTTTAGCCTTGGCGGAGGTTGCGCTCTCCGAGTGCTTTCTAGTAACCCTCTGTTTTTGTCCATATGCCGTCCATGATATTTCCGAGTTTTGCCACACGAAATGAAGGTTTTTTTTAAATTTAATACAGCAATACAAAGTTATTCACTTTAGAATAAAACATCTGACACACACAAAACGTCAGCCATGTTTAGTAACGATTGTATTAACTTCTATGAATTTCGAGACAATACTTTCGGCCATCAAGTAAGTTCTTGTAGGATAGACTGGTTCCCGTCCCCTATAAACATCGAATAAGCATTTCGCGAAAAAAAACTCGATGTAAAAGCATTTCTCGTTCGTTTCAATGAATGTATTTTTTTTATTTTTTATTGTCTATGGACTGAATTCCTGTGGGGCAATAGTGATCAGCTCACTTTTTAGTTCCAGTCATCATGTTTTGTACGGTGTTTGTCTGTTTTAGTGATGGCAAATATATAACAATGATAACAATAATAATTATTTCTTCAGCGGGTTGCCGACGCCCAAATACACAAAGTACTTTAATGTTATCTAAAATAATTCAGTTTTTTATGTAAAACAAGGTGAAAAGACTGCAGTAGAAAAGAATTTGATTTGGTGGATAAACGAGGACAGTACATTTAATAAAACAATAAGTTGCTCAAATTATTGAACTCAGTTAAATTGAAAGAAAATGTTTGCGATCTAAATCCGAAAGCGCAACCACTTTCGCATTGGAACATTTTGTTTACACTAAGGTAGAACAGACTTGGTGTGGATCGATCGTATGCGAGCCAGACGTGTGCGTATGTATGTGCAATGTTTCCGTTACGGCCCAACATCACAGAAGATCGTATGTTCTGTGATTATTTGGTACAGTCTAGCGCCTTTATGAAATTTCAATTAAGATTTTTTTAAAAGGGCTAGGAAAGAGGAAAGTAACATACTGTTGTTTGAATTTCATGTGAAGTTAAACCCGATGGGGCAGTTAAGGCCTTTAACGCTGCGGTAAATACAGATGTTTACATACTTGTTATCCCAGCCCTAACCTTTAACCCTATTAGCCCCCGGCCCACTCTATGTGACAAATGAACGCGGATACGCTAGCATTAACCAACTTGCTAGTAGACAAGGGTGTAGGTTCAGATGGCAATGCTATTGCATTTCTGAACATGTAAGGTTTTCTCAGATACCCTGTTTATTTGAGTACAGCCATGGCAACGTTTTAAAAAGTAGAGGTTAAATAAATAAACAGCAGACTTAAAAATAACTTTAAAACATGGACATTTGATTGTGTCTTGGTTCAAAATTTGCACGACACTTCCTTTTTTGTTGGGCTGCAGAAGTAAAATTGCAGAGAATAACATTAGCAGAAATACCTGATTCATTCAGATCTAATTATAGTTGCCTCTTATGAGGGTTTGTAATTACAGAACGTCATTAATCTGGCCCAAAAATATAAGAGGGAAAAAACCGCAATGACGTCACGGCGGTGTTGCCGGTCGGCCTGTTTGTGGCCATCTGGGGTGATTGTTTCTGTCAGTGAGATTGTCCAATCTGCGGCTTCATTTCGGCTCCGTCTACGTGAGATTTCTGAGCCCCTAGTTGGATCGGGGGAACTGTGGCTCAATCTAAGTCCAAATTCTGAATCGGGAACGTCAAACTCTTCAGACGAAGCCGAGGCTTGAAAACACCAATTCATGTCGTCATTTAGTTGGTAAGGTGTCGCTGTGGACAGCCAATAGCGAACAGTCCTCTGCGCGTGCGCCAATGCTCCATAAAGTTTAACAGCCGACTCCGAGTCGTAGATGCACAAGGTATCCTCGCCACGTTAGGTTGATATTGGAATCATCCCACACGGCCAATGCAACTATGAAGTCCCTCCTCGTATATAAGGACAGAGTGGTTGCTGTTTGCAGAACTCATGCACATGCACTCGAATGCACTCGAACGCACTCGAATGCAGTTAAAACCATTTCGCCACAGCTTAATTTTTAACAAACGACACAGCGCCCGGCCGTCCTACGTCTAACGTTAAGCACCAACATCCACAAATTCCTTTGCGGACCGAACGTAAACAGTAAGTAACATTTTGATTCTTCCAACAGAAAATTATTTATTCTAGTTTGTCGTTTGATATGGCTTGATTAGACCAAACTGTAATGACATGCACAATTAGACGGTCCTTCACCGACTGATAGATACCAAACAACGAATTCCTAAAATGCTGTGCGGTTTTATATATTTATTACTGATGGAATATCACAGGAGAGTTTTTGTTCTTGTTCATATTGTGTCTTGCTGGCTACGTTATGAAATCCGCACTCATTTGAGTGTAACTTTAAAAATCTACGAGTTTCATTTATTGTTATTAACATTCAGTGACTTATTTTAATATAGGACTAGTATAGTGTCAGAGAGTTGCTTTAAGCTACATGTATATCTTTGGCAGACTTTCAAATGTTGTGAGTTGTTGAAAGTGTTTTTAAGGATAAAAGGACAACAGGGTTAATACTGGTAAGTTTATTTCGTGCACTGCAACTGGTTAATATTTTACACCAGTGCTCCTATAGATTTGATAGATAATTGGAAATCCTTCATTTGCACCATAAATAAATTACTAGTTTCCTTTTATATTCTCTTCATGGTACACGACCATGATGTGTTCGTCAATATATAGAAGAGGGGTTATTTAGGACTAAGGCACACAAAAAATTAAATGCAATTAGCCTTTCTTTCTTTGGCAGGGATGTCTGATGAAGACCCGTCTCCGGTTTGGTTCAATGTCTTAAGATGTATTCTTCTCACAATAACAACCATCCTCATCATCTGTGGTAACTCCTTCTGCCTCATTGTTCTCCGTCGTGTGAATGGCATCCACGAGGTTACCCGGTTGTTCATGGCCTCTCTGGCCGTCTCGGATCTCATAACTGGCTTGTTTGTGGCCTCACCCATGATCGTCTCCACGGCAATGGATCGGTGGCCCTACGGTGATGTTTTCTGCGGCATCTACGGCGTGGGCAAGTACGTGTGTTACTACACGGGGCTCATCTCGTTGATCGCTGTCACCGTGGAGCGATACATCGTGGTGGTGAGCCCCTTGCGCTATAACACCATTGTGACCCTCTTCCGCGCACGGGTGGCCGTAGCCTGCATATGGCTATTCGCCTTTGCCATCACCATGTTCTTCGGGGTGAGCGTGCACTTCATTGGCGATGTCGACGACGATGAAGACAACTGCAGTTTGGACACGAGCAAGGGAGATTTCTGGCACTATCCGCTCAAGTACATGGCTGTTGCCTTCATCATCCTACCGGTTGTGACGGTTCTGGTGCTTTACTCCCATATCCTTCTGATTGCCCGCCGTCAGATCCGCCAGATTGCGGCCATCACCCCTCTCGGTCCGATGTCCGACGAGGAGCGAGCAAGCATGAAGACCCGCAAGGCAAACCGTCGTGCAGCCGGCACCTTCCTGATCGTCACTATGACGTTCGCAATGGCTTGGATGCCCTCGGCCGTGCGCAAACTCAACAAGCTGGCCACGGGTAACGGGGACACCATGTACACGGAATTCCTGGCCCGTTTCTGCATGCTGTCCAACAGCTGGCTCAATGTGTTCGTCTATTACGTCCGCAATGACTCCTTCAAATACACCGCTAGACGCTACATTGCCGCCCTCATTGGTCGCAGAGGTTCTGACGACATTGAAATAAGTTACTAGGCCTAAACATTAGAAGGGTTAGAAAGATGAGGATATACTACAGTGTATGTACAATTGAATTGAATTCTCTCCGTCCAAAATAATGACTTTGAACTCACTTCCTGTAGGCCAACACGTTCCTCGGGAAATGGAGTAGGACCTATAGCTGCAAACTTACCGCCCCATTAACCGTGACATTGACATATCCTGTTAACAAAACGGCGCTCACCATGACGTCATCAATGTGCGATACTGGATCCCTGCGATGAACTCAAATGAATCAGTGATAGTTTTGAACTAGACGAAATATCAAGTGCATCGGCATATCCTAACGCTGCAACTCTGACAATAAAATAGTCTGGAGAAGAGACTAGCAGATTGAACTCATTAATTGGCAGATAATGATGTTACGACATCTTTCCTCAGAAAATTATACTTCTTGAGGACGTTTGAAGTACGAAGATGTTAATCTTTCTTTTTCTGAAAGATTAGAAAAATGTACTTTTAATAACAGTATAATGATAATGATAATGTTAGTAGAACAATGTAATTGACTTCAAACTCGAATTTAAAGTCAAATGAATTAGTCGTATCCGCATTACTTGGTTAGGGCTGGAAATTACACACGCGGCTATGGAAGCGGCTACAGCCACTCCACATAGACACGCGTGTTATTTTAAGCCGCAGCCAAGTAATTCGGACACGGTTTTATATGATAGGTTCACGTACATTCCCGATTTTTGAGCCGAGTCGCCGCGATTAGCAATTCTTGAGTAAATCGGGGAATGGTTCTTGCCTGCCTCTGGATGATTGTGTTAGTTCGGTGAAAGATCGTTAAAGATCGGGAAACGCCCCGACAATTTTGGACATGCTCAAAATTGTCGGGGTGATTCGGGAACCAGTTTCTTGGTTTATTGTTGTTGTATTCATAAATAATTCTTACAAAATATTCTTACAACATTCTTTCAAGTTTCGTAGAGTTATTTGTGGTGGTAACAATCCAGAATCGTGCCGAATCATTTCGAATGTATCAAGAAATGACGAATATTATACGAATAAGTTACGAATATACTAAATAGGCATAATTCTGGGTCATTTCTCGATGATTCTTGAGTTATGTTATTCTTGACAAGATCGCTACAATTCGGTTTTATTCTGCATAAAATCGCAATCAGTCAGCTTAGTTCGGTCTGATTCGGCTTCCAATTCGTACCTAGTTCTTGATTACTTTTGTTTCATTCTTAATAGGCCGAGGGCCAAAGCAACGTGCAATCTCGCGTTAACTTTTGAGTGGCAACTTCATTCCTCAGTTATAAGCAGTTTGGAACATGTTAATTGATATTTTACAAAGTGCACGCCACATCGTTTGCATTAATTAGAAATAAAGGGTAAATGAAAATATAAATTAAAGTAGTGCTCACCAGTTATTGCTTTGTCAAATTTTCGGACACTTGTCCTTCTTCAGGGCGTAGCAAGGTTGCAATGAGGAACGCGGAGAACTCGACGTTGATAATATTAATAAAGGGAACAGTTTCCCCAATGCAACTATACCACATGAGGGCGATCACGATGATTCGCTGCCATTATGTACCAGCCTCGACTCAATGGATGCATGCGCGTTCCTCCATTAACCCCTGGCCGTCTGGAATTCGTAAACGGCGACGCTGACCGGCTATTCAGAGCGTGGTGCGCGCGTATTTCGAAGACTGCGTGTTCTGTGCGCTCGCGGGTTATCTCCTACACGTCAAGTAACTACGAGTTTTATTCAAGACTGTGCGAGCCTTTTTGATATGGATTTGGGAAGCGCAGAAGCCCCGTTTTACGCCCCCATAAACATGTATTCTGGGTAAAGAAATGGAGAAAAATAGTTTGTTACTTATTAACTTGAAACTGAATAACTTGTGATTGACTTGCGATTGATTTGTGTTGTAAAAGGGACGACAGAGGTACGTACATTTAATATAAGTTCTTACTAAATAACGCCACGTCGAAATCTCGTGCTCATGTTTGAACGGGATTGATTCTACCAAAAAAAAAACTTTCAAAGCTTTAAGCACCGTGTAGCGCGTTAAATAATGACTTATGTTATTCATGCCGACTTCCTATTTATCTGTTGTGTCAAGTTTGATAGCATTTGAATTTAAAACATTGAAGTTATGGCAAAAATACTATTTTTGACAAAAAATGGGCAAAATAATGAGGAAAAATGTCATCATAGGGTTAATGTGCAATTTGGGACAATGTGAACAACCAGATTCAGATTCAGTACTATCGAATTAGTAAAGACGACCTTGTTGCAAGTTGACACCAGAAAGTTAAGACGAACCTCAACTTCTAGACCTGATACAGATTTTGGCCCATGGCCTACAAGTTATTCCTGCAAACAGCGAATCTGGGCTAATTATTCCCGATGCCATCAATAATATTTATTCGGGATAGACGGGGGCAATAATTCGGGAATGTGTGAACCTAGCATTATAAAACTAGTCACTCGTAAACGAAAGCGAAGCGAAATTCGTGACGTCAAAACTACGTTTGAAGCGCGTCCACCATTGTTGACGACATGAATTTCGCTTCGCACTTGCTTTCGCGAGAAGTATGAACCAGGCGGTTCATACCTCATGCGAATGCGAAGCGAATGTGACGTGATGAAACATTCGCTGCGAAATTTGCTCGAGTTGAAATATGTTCAACTTTCACGAATTCGCAGCGCGAATACTCCCCATGACGTCACAAATTCGCGTTCGCTTACGCTTTCGCGCCGAGTTTCAACCGGGCTTTAGAAGCCATTTTTGAGGTTGCGCGCGCTCGCACGGCTGTCACACGCGTTCGTAAAGTTGAGGCGTTGCGGCGCGCATTTTGGGTGGCCTAATCCTATCCGGTTCGTTAGTGTGACGTCACCTCCAGCACTTTCTGCACGATTGGAACCGGAAGTTAACGCAGCTTGAGTGTTTGTAGCCAATGGGCGCTAGTATTCAGTGGTGCGCGTGCGTGTATGACGTTTTTACTAACGAACCGGATTGGTCGAAGGAAAAGGGCGTGCGTAGTGCGCAAGTGTGGCACCGCAAGACGGATAGGCTGTGGTATAAATAGGGACATAACGTCCTGGAATGCGCCCAATTGGGCTACAAAACGCGTGTTAAACTAAATGATCTCAATTGCAAAGACCATTTAAAAGTAGGATTTAAACGTCCACACAACCATCCTTTAAACACTGGGCGTTTTTGTGTTATTTCTGGGAGAACATTACAAGAACGAATTTCGGGGGTGAACGTTTTTACTCTCAAAAATCGAGCTGTTAATTGCTAGTTGCATGTGAATACTGCCGCACGTGCATTATTCTGCGGACGTGCGAGAAACAATAACAATGTGTATCGTACATTGAATGGACACGGCTGGAAATACATATGCGTATGCCACAAAATGACCGACGCGTCCAATGTAAACACCCGGTTTATTTGTTTCGTCTTTTCTCGGGAGCATATTACTTTAGTTCCTTTCAACCAGACGTTTGTAACAGGACAAACAATCGAAAACATACAACTTTCGGGGATTGCAGGCCGTAATTGCCCTTTAAGATTTATAGCTTTTTTGTATCAAACCAAGCAAAGAACGATTGATGCTATTCACCTTCAATTTAAGCTCATACAAGAACATGCATGTCAAAAGCAAATCGAGTTAACATGTGCCACTCACATGCTTACATTTATAGACAGACATCTCCGGGGAAATAACTGGAGAAGTCTTAAAAGGAATTGAATTCAATACGTTCTGTTGCAGATACAAAGCATTTAAGATTTTTTTCACAAACATGACCTCAATTTTTTGCGCTTTGCTGTGTCGTATGGGAGTCATAAAGTAATGAGAGGAAAGAAATTGACTTTTAATTTGCCAAATAAATATGTTTAATATATAAACAACTTATGTCGTGCGCACGCAATTACGATGACATTTTCGCGTGTAATTACCACCCCTCCCCCCCCAAAAAAAAAAAAAATTAGCAGCTATTCTTGCTGTGAATAGAAAACATGATTTTACCAAGTCAATTCTTCGCAAAAGGCACCATCGTCAGAAGGTTTTTTTTGTGAAGAGTTTTTCTGTCTCTCCGTTGTTTTGTTGTGAGGCGGCCCGCGGTTACTGGGACAGAGTGAAAAAATTTGGAGGGAAAATAAAAAAGCAAATAAACGATGATCTTTCAACTCGTAACTCCGCTTTACAAACAGGATCTGGCAGCTGGCGTGTTTTTCCTTCTCTGGGGACAAGGTTGCAAGATATGAGGTTAAATAAACTTGCCCCTTGATGCGCACACCACGTAAACAGACTCGGGCTATGAGCCAAAATCTTTGCTACACCCCTCCCCCATATCCAGCTGTTCCCAAGTGCGGCGATTCCAACAACGATTTAGGAACGCCATACGCAAGAGAAAATGCCCCTTCAAAGAAATTAAATCCGGGAAATTGGCACAAGACGTCCCCTCCTCCAACCATATCGACAGGGCGTGTCCTCCCACACCCCTCCTCGATATCAGTGTAGCTAAAACAGCAGTACGTGTGTGTACATGTTTGTACCTTAAGTGTACATGTAATTGATAACGTGGCCATTATTCCCAGTCATCTTTCCCGAGTATCTACTGCTGAACAGTGCAACACGATGAGACGTTTCCCTTTTCCGTATATGAACATAGGAAGTAAGGCCTCACAACCACAAAACAATATGATTGGCTGTTTTAAGATGATTTTCTAAAAACGGATGGATAAAAACCAAAACAAGAAACTTTGAAAACGTACCTAAGACGTTGGGATCCCTCGTTTGCCGCAGCCATTTTGAAAACACTTGCTCTTAACAAATCACTGTTTACGAAACTGACACTCTGGTACACGGAATCCAATCACTTGACGAAGTGCCCGGTATCACTTGTGGGTATATGTTTACTGTGGCGGCATAAATCACAAAAGCGGCTGACTTTTTTACGAGCGTGTTTTACGAGTTTAGGCCAAGGGGTGAGCTGGTTTCACTTTCCCCTCCACGTTTACTGGTACACAGGAGTCGCCTGGAGGACCTTCACGTCCTGCTTACGGTGTCAATTGACGTCGGAGCAAGTTAATGACCTTAACTTGGAGGTTTAGCAGGCCTACTAGGAATTGTGATCAATTTTCAGATTGTTATCAACATTTACAACGTTTGATTAGAGTATCCACATCTGGTAATTGTGGAAAATTGCGTCCTTGTGAATTTGTGGTCGGCTCAAGTCGGTTTGTGTTCGGATCTGTTCGGATGTGTTTGTACTTTGCCAGTTCTGCTCGGGCCGAAGTTGTGCTCACTTCGGCTCAGCTCGGCACGGATTTGCATTGATAACAAATGTCTCCGGTAACCGAGACAACCCCAAAACGTCACTCCTAGCTGAAGTACTAATCTTAGAAAACTTGTCTGGTTTTTAATAAAAACGTTTTGGAATTCTAGGAACAAACGAATTTCATTTGGAACCAAACCGAGGAAACTGGGCTTGCCTTTAAAAAAAAAGTGGGTAGAGGACATCTCTTTATTATTGTTTAAAAGGAAGATACAACATTTGCAAACATCAAAAAATGAAATGATCAAATTATCATGAAAGATCTTACTGAATTGTTAGGGAATGACATTCTAAAGCACCCTGTTAAGTTTTGGCTCCTGGCGTGCTGACATTTTCAAGAAAAACTGTATTTTTCCAAAGCTGGTCGGCCGACCATCGTTGGAGGAAACTGGATTTTTTTTCAAAAGGTGCTCCTAGATTTTTGTATTTGTTCGTCTGCATTTTCTTTGCAATTGATTACACACCTGTGAATACTACAAGCCTGCCAGACTGATTCTCTGATCTTACAATTCCCCAAAGTCTATAAATTGCTCCGTTTCATCTTAAGTGGGGTCAGGGAACCAGACTACAAGAATATGATTGGTCTTCTTGGCTTTTCCAGCATCTACGGACCCAAAACGTGAAACAAGTCAGTGTAACAATATTTGCTAAAACATACTTATCCTCCAAATCCATTTATTTCTGAAAATTGCAGCAAAAGCAAATGTTGTACATTCCCTTTAATTTCGCGTAACTCTATAATTCAAGGTATTGGCCACCAAGTCTATGGTTCTTTTTATTCGATATTTATTGTATACAATCGTTGATGTTGATTCTACAAGTGGATTATATCCTCAGAATTGTCGACAACGTTGAGGTCGCTAAGCAGTCGTGGTCAAGGTTAATCACATTAGTCTCTAGCACCAGTTGGATAATTAAATGGACAGGACAATAGATAAGCACACCTAGTGGCTAACCATTTCCGCCCGTAAATGACCATGAAAATGGACGAAACGGTATCATTCAAGACATGTTACCACCCAATTGCAACTTAAATAATAACATCTCAGCGATACATTTTGTAAGGAATCAAGTCTTTTATCTAAAACAACTGGCAAGGCCATTCATTAAATTTTGTTTTTTAAAAATTGTTATCTTGCAATTAATTGTACGATTTATATTTTATTTTTCATCAAGCGGCTGATTAAAATCTTAAGTCGACAGTTCACCACCAAAACACTTAAATTTGTCCTCGGCTTAGGCTTACTCAAAGAAAAAGGAGAATAAGCGGAGTTTGATGTACATTTCATTCAAAGAATAATATAAACTGTATTTGCACAAACAACCTGGGCATGTATTTGTTGAAGGTTGCAGAGAGCGTCATAATGTTGTCGTTCACTTGACATATCTAGGCGTCCAGGATTATATGCTAGGCTGTGTGCAGATCAAACTGTACATAGGGCTTATTGTAAAAGTCATTCCATGTTGTTTGTAATGCAATCTCTACAGGGCGAGACAAAAATAAAGTGACCTAACTAGAAATAATATTAAAACAATTTGTGGCTAGCTCTATTTCATTAAAATAGCATATGGATAAAGTACATGTTATTTATTAGTAACTGTGAAAATGTCACGTAATTTGCATACTCTATTCCCAAGTTATGATTTTTTTTATATAAACAGATCACGAAATTCAGCTGTGCACCACTGATCATTTACCGTTGTACGAACTGATGAACACCCATTTAATACAATGAAACATTTATAAACGTTTTTCCACCTCCATGAATGAACAAAAACTTGCAAAGGAAAACAGACAAAAATCGCCATCAATTATTCAGGGAAAAAAGAGTTGACTTGTTCTTCATATTCAAAACACAAAATTTGACAGTAAAAATGATGTTTCAGTCTTGACTAAAATGATTGAAATCTCATATGTATTTGAATGCCTGTGTGTAATCTGTAATTCTCACTCAGCTCAGTAGCTCCAATGGCGTTCCATAGACAGCTATACAAATAGGTTATTTTAGTAAAACATGCATAACTTCTGATAGTTCGGATCTATTTTAGCAATTCATATTTTTTTTCTCAGATGAGTGGAAGAACATGCTCTATTAAGACATACTTTATTCGTGTACTAAATTTAATTTTGCTTTTTAAGAAAAATGTATTAATCCAGGTCACTTTCCTTTTTACTCACCCTGGATTACTTGGTGTCAGCTTTATATTTCTCGCAATATTTTTAGTGGTATAGGTTTACGTTTTTAACTTGAGGATTTGCACCGTGCTAAAAAAAAATTAAACCGAAAAAAGGGGCTTAAAAAACTACAAAAGTCTCATCCAGTTTTTAAGTTTACACAAACAAGACATGAAATTTGATTGTAATCCGAGGTAGGCCTATCTGCGCACGTGGTTAAGCTTAAACAAATATAATACAATTGAATTTAAAGGGGCTAGAGGATTTATAAACTTGATTGTTCTTGTTTGTGACCGCACAAAATCAAATTTTCGATTTAGAGAATTTGTTTACAAGCAAACTCATGCTTCAAGTGTAATCCCAAGGCCTTTCTCTCTCTGTTCCTGTTATAAATGTCTTTGTTTGTTTTTCTAATAAGATTATCAGTTTTCCCTGACAATTGGGCAGGTGTGTTTGTGAACTTTTCAAACATTTGAAGAAATCAGATAATTGAATTTCCCCACAAACCCTGCTAGTACATGTATCAAATTAGCATCGATTGCTTCATTCTCATTGTAAAGCTTCAATAGTCCTGGTCAATCGTCTAAGTAAAATACAAATGCTGTAGCATAGGCGGATCCAGATCCACTGTTTTTGGCGTGTATTTTTTGGTTTGGGTTGGGGCGGGGGGGGGGCAAAAAGACAGGGGCCCACTGTCAAGGATTCGCGTTGTTTCGGAAGAGGCTGATTGGCGGGCTGGTCGGCCGTTGCAAATCCGAAAGGAAGCAGAATGGACCATTTTTTTTTTTACTTTTGCGGCGCACTCCCTTTTATATGAAAAATTTCACGAATCCTAGGAGTTTAAGGGACAGGTGTATAGACTCGAGAATCAATCATTCATTAAAAATACACTATTTTGTAGACAAACCTATCAGGTTTAAAAAAAAAAAAAAAATTGGTGTAAAATATGGCCCTTATCAGTGAAACACACAGTTTTAAAGGTTATTTTTCCGTACAATTTTCAGAGAGTTGCAGACGCCCAACATTGAAAGGGTAGGTTTGGGGTTTTGATAAAACATCCTTATTGAAAAAAAATCACATTTGTCAGAGAGCATGTGGCGCATCTTCAATGGAACAAAAACACATTAAAAAGGCATTTGTTGTTTTGGTCACTTTTAAAGATCAAATAAGAAAAACAGTAAGCTGACAAAAGTTTGACGAATTTACAGTAAGAAGTTCATCACGTTTGCAATAAAAAGCAATACACATTTATCACAGTTCAAAGTCGTTTTTGGTACTTCATTTTGGCAAGGATATAACTCTTGGGCACCATTTCCCCATAGGTGATACATTCTCCTAAAATACGAGCACCCGTCATTTCGGCGTTCGCTCAAGTACTGTGATTGCTCAATAGAAGGAAAAAAACAAGACCCAATTATTAAACAGACTATACATTGGAGGGTATTCCAATCTTGTGCGTAGGCCTACATGCTCCCTAAGGATGCTATTTTAAAGCTAATTTACTCGCAAAAATAAAGTTCCTTCATCCTCTTATTGTTTTCTCCGTCATTAATCAAGAACTCATTAAAAAATTTGCGCAAAAAAAATTTCATTAGCGAAATTGGGTAGGCTACCTCATGTTATAACTCCCCGATTGTTGAGATAATCAACACTAGAGCAGCTGAAAGACATGTTCCAATTAAGATTTTATCTTAGTAGCATATACATTTCATGACTTAAACTTTTAATGACCCATCTATTGATGGGCTATACGAGCACCGTCATACAATGTAATTTGATTGCTCATTAGAAAAGAGAGACCATATTACCCAAAATAGTACATTCGAGGCTATTCCAATTTGTGTATTGGCCCACCTGCTCCCTAAGGATGCTATTAAAAGAGCTAATTCACTCGCAAAACTTGACTTCCTTTCCTCCATTATATCACGACAATAAATCAGGAACTCATTAAAAAGTCAGACCGTACTTGCGCAACATAGATTTCATTAGGGAAATTGGGTAGGCCACATCTGGGTATAAATCCCGAACTGTTGTGATCATAAACGCTAGAACAACTCAAAAACATGTTCTTATTGAAATTTTATCGTTGTAGCATATGCATTTTATGACTTCAACTTTTAATGACCATCTGATGATGGGCTGTAAGATGAACATTGCATGCGAACAGGCACTTCAAGGTGATTCACGAGGCGAGCTTGCGTTTTAGAATGCTCTCTACATGTCAGCTTTCTGTCCGAAGAACTTGGATCATATTTGCACTTGGATTCCTCATTTGTTTGGATTAAGCAATCTTTTCCTCCCCAACTTTAAAGTAGGGGCATAAACGGGGTGGGGAAGTCGGGGGGGGGTGGTTGGGGTCGGGGGAGGGGTGTTACTTAATAACATCATTGCCTGAAGGACAGTGGTATGCTTGATCCTATTATAATAGGTTTTTTTTCAAATCTGTACTTAAATTTGTATCTCTTTTGTAATACCTTATCTGGCTAATGAAATAACAATTATATAGCCCTAAGAGAACTCTGGTTGTGACATTATATTATACAATGTTATATCAGTATAGCCTCGTCGTCAGATGCAATAATTCCATGTATTATAGGCAAACAGCTCACGACTTATTAATGTCGGTCAAGATCAGCAATAAATATTAAGTTACCGGTGACACGATTCCAATTCCTCGTCGCATAGGAATACTTTTAATCAAATCAGAAACCTCCGCGTTATCTACAAATGCTATCGCTCAAAATCGCACAGCAGCAAAACTCATCGTGGCATGTGCGTAATTTTATTCACCTTCAGCTTATCTGAAAGCACCGTGGGCGAAGCAGTTGTTATTTATCTAAGAAAATCCAATCGTTGGCCAAGGTTAATCTATTTTCCCCAAATGTTATTTGGAGAAAAACAAACGATGGAAAGTACGTGTACGCATGTCATTTTTACAAACTTTACAATAAAAAAAATCCTCTTGTTTATACGTCAATGGAAGGTCGTCTTCTTGGAACAGTCCGTGCAACAAAGGAATTTGGTTTCTTAAGAATGAAGCTTTGCGTTAGTATGTTCGCTTAATCTTCTTTAGATTGTAAATATTGTTTTATTATCAAGGCTGGTATATGATGGGGTCATTCGGTGTGACGTCATGATCAGGTGACACCACGTGTGTCCATAACTTTCGAGTACCACCTGTAACTTTATCTTTAAAATTGAATAGGGTCATTTTTATCAGATTATACAGATTATGCTGCATGAACGATAGTGTCCACTCCGGTATGGTATGCTGTATAAATAATGTTATTAAAGTTATGGTGTTTTGCTTATTCAAATCTTTTATGCATGATATATTCATCACACAATAAAGCATTGTTGCCTGCTTCACCACAGATTTTCAATTTAAAAAATTGCAAGGAGGGAATTGTCCATATATTGAACTTTCCCCCACTTCATTTACTTAAGAAAACTGACCAGTAAAGATAAGATTGCATCGCGGCAAGAACTGCCGCATTTCCTCGTGTCTTTTAAAGCAATTTATACCTTAGCGGTTTCAGGAAAACAAACATTAATTGAATTTTTAAAAATTAAGAGAAGATATGGAGCGAAACTCAACTTGATGAAATATTCATAATAATCAAATTGAAAGAGTGGGAAAATCTATTGTGGAAATTAAACGAAGTGTGAGCTTACACGCATGGTTTCTGCAAACACTTCAAGAAATAACTCGCAGATCCCACGAAATTGACAACTAGTGACGAGATAGCGTCACTCTGGAGATTGAAAAACACTTGAGACTTTCACCATAAGCTGTCATTACCCTGCGGGGATTTTCTGATGACCCGTTAACGGAATGTTTACGATGAATGAGGCATGGGTAGATCATATGCGCTCTCATGACAATCTATTTTGAAAAATTAACGAAGCGGAGTGTATAGCTAATTAAAGTTATCCTTGTGCATGATTTCCGGATCCCTTCAAATAAAACATACATGTACAAATGCGGCTCTCAGTCAATCAGTAATTGCTTGCGTCACACACGTCCGTCGCTTGAGGTAATATAAGTACATGACTACTAGACAAGTTCAGTTGAAAAGTGCAAGGGGGGGGGTGAACAATGACAAAGGAATCCAGATCCAGCTTTGGCTGGCAGATCCAGCTTTGGCTGGGGTATTTGTCGGGGGAGGGAGAGTTAGCGGGCATTTTTTCTGCATTAGTTTCTTATTTTTTTGGCCGTCCAAGGGGGACGGGTAGACCACCCCTACATCCACCACTGGCACTGGATGGCACGTCGTTGTCACAATTTTCATTTAAATTTATGTGAGGGCTTTTAGTCATTCGATTTACTGGAAATAACCCATTTTTATAGCTGTCCGTGGAATGCCATTGGAAGCTACTGAGCTGAATGAGAATTACAGATTACACACACGCATTCAAATACAAATGGGGTTTCAATCATTCGAGTCAAGACGTACAAATTATTTTTATTATCAGATTTTGTGTTTTGAGTAGGAGGATCAAGTCCACTCTTTTTGTCTGAAATATTGATGGCGATTTCTGTCTGTTTTCCTTTGCAAGTTTTTGTTCATTCATGGAGGTGGGAAAACGTCCATGTTTCATTGTATTTAATGGATATTCATCAGCTCGTAGAACGGTAAATGATCTGTGGTGGACAGCTGAAATTTTGTGATCTTTTTTATTGAAATAGACGTAACTTGGGAATAGAGTATGCAAACTACGTGAAATGTTCACAGTTACTAGTCAATAACATGTTCTTCATCCCTATGTTACTTTTTTTATGAAGTAAAACGAGCCACACATTTTCTTTCAATATTTTTTTTTTCGAATTGGGTAACTTTCTTTTTGACTCACCCTGTAAACGTCACCCTAATTCCCGGCACGCCCATCTCGTTTGATATTTTCCTCTTGCTTGCGACCTTTGGTCTGAGTGAGGAGGCCAACTCCAACGTTCCAAAGGTTGTCGGAGTTGGCCCTGTAAACGATTTGAAGTGACGGCCACGGTGTCCCAAAAAGTCAATTTACTGTGGCTGTAAAACTGCATATGCAAATACGGGTCGTCAGGAGCTGTGATGCTACCCTGTCGTCATTTCGGGCGAGTAAACAAACTTCTGTTTACAAAAACATAAACGGCAAATACTTCGGTGCCAAGATTTGATTGTATATTTTGGAGCTGACAAAAGCCTCGAACAGCAGTAGTTTACAGGGGGACATCAGATTGATAGTGGGTTTCTGGTAAGCACATCGAGATCTTCATCTAGCGAAATAGTTCGTTATTTCTGCAGCAAGTACATGCACATGAGACATGAAGGGGTTGATAGGCGCTGCAGTGCTGTGCTGGATAGCAGTTTCAGCCGTCGGTACGCGTGGTGAGTACACCGTGGTACCTATAGGAGACACTATATACAGGGCGAGTCACACACAAAAAACGAAACCCAATGACGGGACCAACTTTTGGAATGAAGTTTTACCCGCAACACTTTCAAAATCTAGGATATGAAAGCCCGATCAATGAGCTTTCTTTTAGTACAGGAATCATTCAAATCACTCTTGTACTTTTCAGGTTACGGAATTTTGAACACTAACACCGTTTTAAAGTTCTGTCCACGGATCACAGAAAAGGAAAGCGTTCTTTCAGCAAAACGAAAACAATTCACATGCGTCTCTTTGTAAATTTCGTTTTGCTGAAAGAACACTTACTTTTTTGTGATTCGTGGACAGAACTTTAAAACGGTGTTCAGTTTCCGTAACTTGTAAAGTACATGAGTGATTTGAATGACTTTGTAATAAAGAAATCTTAATAACTGGGCTTTCATATAAGATTTTGAAGGTGCTACAGGCAAAACCTCATTCTAAAATTGGTCCTGCCATTTAAAAAAAAACCCAAACTTTTGCGCACCCTGTATTTAACATAAGGGAGACACTCACTACGGAGACATTTTAGTGTCTCCTTCACTGCACCATTTCTAGAACGAATTTTACTGTTGCGAAATTGCTTAAAATTGCTGTTGCGAAATTGATTCTTTATAGGTCGAGAAAAGTATATAATAAGTTTGGCAGGACGTGTTTTTAAAATGGGGTTGTGGAGGGGTTTTTTGCTTTTGGTTTGTACGGAAAGTCTATGGGAATGTCCTCTTAAGATATTATTTTCGGTGAAATGCTTAGTACTTTTATCAAACTATTTTATACCATGTATCCAACCCCAAAAAACGAGTCACAAGTTGCGGCTACTTCTGAGTAAAAGCCTTCTTTCTTTTTTTACAAATATAGCAAAATGGAAATCATCAAAAACAGTCCGAATTTTAATTACTTATAATTTCTGCATGTATACGAACTTGTCGACTGAGCGATATTTTTTCAAAAACAAAAGCAGAAATTTCTTTATGTCTGTAGTCCATATAATCGAAAAGCAGTATTGCTGTGTCTACTCTACAGTGCACTTCCTGGGATCCGGTCATATGTGAAACCGGTGGAAAAGGCGCCATTTTTTTCAGCCAGTGTGTTATGCATGTTTTGCAATGATCCAATTGTTTAATGTAGTCCTATACCGTTCTCGCGAAACATGTCAATGTAAAACATTCGACGCATCGTATATGAAAATAATGAAAGACATTTAACTGGAGAGACTCGTATGGTAAGGCCTTAATATATGCTCATTACAAACACCGGGATTATTGTGGAGCATTCTGTGTTTAAATGATTCAGAAATAGGGGTATTCAGTGTGTCATTTTTATGACGTCGTTTTATGATGGACCGGATTTTATAGCTTTGCTCGGGGCTATTTTTCATTAATAGAAATAGAAATACGTTTCGTGAAAGGCGCCCTTTGCAAAGCTGAAAGCAACTCATCAAGGTATAAGGTTACAAAGAAACATGAAGGGGACAGAAACGGAAGAAAGGAAAAGAAAAGAAGACATTTTATGATTGAAAAAAGGGGAAAATTGATTAGAGGGAGAAGGTAAGATCAATCGGAGTTTTAATGAAATCGAGAATTTCAAGAAATAAACAACCTTTTGTTATGTATTTGAAATAACGAACAAACAAAAGCAGAGCCATAGACTGCGTCGAGTATTATCTTGCTAGTTGCTTGTTCTCTTGTCTTGCGGCTCAATACAATTCAAGTTCAGATTAAAAAAAAACAGCCTGAACGCTACATGAAAAGGCTTCGCTGGTGAGACAAAAGTAACTGTCCTCTAAGCAGATTATAAATTTAGTTACAAAGTCCTGTGGGTACGGTTCATATAATCTCGCATACAACAACTGCATTTGACAAGAAAGAGCCGAATTGAATATTAATGGTCACAGAATCTGCGTTCTTGGCCTCAGTGGGATACGCATGAATGAGCCATTAGTGCATTCATTGTAACTGAAAGAAAATAACAAAAGACCCTTTAAGATGCCTGCTATACGCATAAGACGTATAAGTTAGAATTTACTGGGGGGAATAATTCCGCGCACGTGCTAAGATAGCATCAATGTAGATACAAAATCCACTTATTAAAGGTTTGTCACGTCCAAAACACCACGCACAGCATTTACATAGGCCTATTTAGGTAAATGCTGTTCGCGGTGTTTTATATGACAAGATAATGTAACTTCGGACTACCTACACTTGACCAAGTCATATGGGCATGCCCTTGTCCTACTTCACCGGAAAAATGAAATACAAGTAGGCCCAGCCTAATTAATTCATTAGTGGTTCTAACAAGACAGTGAACATTTTCATGCTAGATTTTCGCATGCAACGAAAGTCTGGGAATTTTAGTAAGTACAAGCAGAGACGCGATTTTTGTTAGCATGCAATACAGTTTTTTGTGTTGGAAGCGTTATCAAGATTAAAATTGACAGCTACAAAAGAAACCATGTCCATTTTGGGGTGGGTCGTTTGACCCACGTGCCCCATGCAGTAGCAACGGGACTGAACTCTCCCACCGGGCCTACCGATGTATGATCGTAACTGTTTCACGAGTATTTGTCGAATTTCACGATTCTCTTGTAATTTGGTTAGCTCTGTGTTTTTTTATTATTATTTTGTCTCGTTACATAGTCATTTTTGGGGTCCAAAAACAGGCTGTTTCTTCTGTTATCATAAAGAATAATTTATCGGCGGTTGCGGAATACTTTGTTAATATAAAGTAGTAAAAGTCTGTTTCGAGCCAAAAATTATGGCCCGTGCAGGCCGTGCCGGGGTTTGTCTCCGCTTTTCTTGACATGAAACATTAAGAGGAAATACTTCCCTCTGGTTAATCCCCAGTTAATTAATAACGTCGGTACCCACTGGGTGGAAAGAGCCAAGTGGAGTAAAGTGGCTTGCCCAAGGACACAATATACCGCCAACAGCTCCAGACAATGGATTCGAAATCCTCAACCTATCGAGTCACGAACCCTATTACTCCCTGCGGCGGCGGAACGCTTTTCAAACGGGGGGGGGGGGGGGTGGCACCACCAAAAAAGGGGCACACCCCAGGCAGTTAGCTCTCTGGGTCCGCCCTTGAATTTGACTCGTTAGGCCTATGAAAAGGGACCATTTTTTTTCGTGAGGCACTGTTGCTTTTGATGGCCAGTTCAGCAATGTAACATCATGCGAATCTCCAGGAAGCGGGCCCCTGGCAAAACTAACTACACCATGTTAGGATCCAACCTCGCAGAGAAAACCAATATCACACTAGAGCTTCGCGTTTGTTGAGTTACAAACGCAGAGTGGTCGGGCGGACAGCCTTTTTCATTATACACTGTCCAGTTTTATATTTTTATGTAGAACAAAGAATCACGAAATTAAATCCTTTCCAGTACAATCAATTATTTTGTTACAAAAATGTATCTTTAACGTTGTGATAATTTTCAGTAAACATTCTTTGTGCGCAAAAAAGTTATTTCTAGTTTGATGACGTCATTGGTCAAAAACGGTAAGTGAATACTGATAAAGTTCGGAGAGGATAAATTTTCATTGTGAAGTTAAAATAACTTATGAAAATATGGGAAATATAATTGTATGTATTAATAACACCTATAACTTCCGTTTTGATGACGTATTGATAACACCTAAGTTACGGTTTAATGACGTCACAGTATTAGAGATCCAAAGGTGAACATTGTAATGGATGTCATTATTTGAACTACGAAGATATGACAGGGATCAAAATAAATGATAGAATGAAATTAAAATATGATACTTTTCAAATTCTCCTTAAAATAACTTCCGGTCTGATGACGTCATGAATTTGAAACCTTAAGAAATGCATTAGCATGAGGAGGGAGAATACACTGAAAAATTGCCTGGGTTAATTTTACCCAAGAAAGGGTGAAAACTGGAACTAGGTGCCCAAACTTGGGTTGTTCTATAACTTTAACCAATTGTTTGGGTTAGAATTTCTGCTAAATTCAACCAAAACTTGTCATTCAAGACCAAATTTAATTTGGTCTTGTATGACTACACATTTGTAGTACAAGAATCATCCAAATTACTCATGTACCTTTTCAAGTTACGGCATTTTGAACACAAACGCCGTGTTTATGTTCGTCATAGTAGTGGGGCCGAGCCGCCGCCATTTTAGAGTGCTGAGTCGCGGTGTTCAGGACGCCCTCACGTGAATTTCCGCATAGCTTATCTTGGTTAAAAAAAAAAGTCAACAACTTGACAACAAGTTTTCATCATAATTTTGTGGGAAATCAGGTTGCATTCTTAAGATGATAATCGGTTAATTGAAGCATATTCGGTACGTATATTCACATATGCGGCGCTATAGGATCTTTGGACCTAGCCTATGCACAATCATTTTTTCGACGGAACTTGCACGAAATAAATGGCATACAGTGATAATTATGTGTGCAACGCCCTTTATCCCATCAGCCTCGGTCCATCATCGGCCACCGGAACGGTACCAGACGAGAAAGACATTCGTCATAGCTATATTTGGCAATGTATACACCAGTCCTCCAGAGTTGGAAAATATGTGATAGCATTGCATGCGGTGGCAGCTTTTAGGGTGTTATATCACCCTGGTATTTTTTCCAAATATCCATCAAAATGCTTGTTACCACTTTAGGGGCGGTATATTTTGCGCATGCGCACAATAACCATCTATGCCCTGATTTGATACTGACCAAAACACCGTACGTTTACCATGCCAATGACGAGACACCGCTGTCTTCAGGACGCGTAATTTTTATTCCTAGGAGGGTTAGGGGCAATGTCATGAATAATTCATGTTTATCCATGAGAACGGACAATGACATCAACATCATTGTTGTTAGTTACTCGACTAGTTACAATACATTAAAGCATTTTAAAGAACGGTTGTCGTCGAGCTACCGCACAGTAGCCTGTGGATAGCGAGATGAGCTATGGATACAAAGATCCCTGGTTCGAATCCACGTCGTCGCTGCTCATTTTCATCAGCTATTTTTCTTCTCCAAATTTATCACTGAGATAATTTTAAATTAAGGGGAAAATAGAACGAGAACCTAAGTCTTGCAATGATTCAAAGGAAAAACTGAATTATTCATGACATTGCCCCTAACTCTCCTAGGAAAAAAAAATCGCCTTCAGGACAACATTAGGTTTGTGCGCATGTCCGTGCTTTAGCTCGTACAGCACGCCCTCTTGTGGCCGAATTGTATACAGTCTCTTTGGAGATAAAAACAGCTCACCGGAGGACGTCTTTTCAATCACTTTTTTATGTTACAAAGTTTTTGATATTGGAGATATAACAATAAATCGACAGAAAAAGGACTATATTTTTTTATCAGATAGGACTGTGAAATTTTGGCAAGACACTTGATGAAACAACACCTCTGAAAAACTAATTTGATTGCGACGTTTTATCGGTGTCTCAATTGCAACGGAAATAACGTTCACGTTTACGTTTCTTTGGATTTTTCGTCGTCTGGCGTATTACTGTGTTTTATTGTGCAGTTGAATCGCGAAAACCACACTAGCTCCGTGTTCAATAAACCAACCAGGGAAACAAATAATTATATACCTGCGTGCGTATCGTGAAAGTATCGTATAGGGCGCTAAACAACTATGTTGTCGTTTGGGAGAAAAAAATCGCGGGCGGGGGGGACAAGCGAATGTGAGCCTCTGGAATAGCGGTGGAGAGTCTGCTCACCCCATTTTTCCATGTCCTGGTCCCCTTTTTCCCAAATTTCCAGGACAGTTGTTTTACATGTTTAATTAGGCGGAAGAAATTGTGTACAGGTTGTCTGTCCCACAAAAAAACTTAACTTCGAATCGGGCATGTTTTCATAAAATTAAAAGTGGGGGCAGTATTCAAACTTGATGTCTAATTGTTGCTGAGGACCACTCCAAATGCTTTTTAGTTGGTTTCATTATAAGATGTTTTGTTCAATAGATAGTACGGCAATCACAAAACGTGACTTGAAAAACCACTTAAGCCATTTTTTCTCGGAAATTATATCTCCTGTTCTTCCAAAAATCCTTTGTTCACATGATAAACTGATAAGCTGCACCATAATAGTTGACCCATCCTTGGTGTGTTTAACTGCGCTTCAAGGAAAGTGGCCCAAGACCAGGGGCGTAAATCCTGGGGGATTGGGGTGTATATCCCCCCCCCCCCTCACTTTTTGACAAGGGAAAAAGGCTATTGAATCGGGGGGCAAAAATCGGATTTCGAGGTATTTGTCGAACACCCACAACCAAAAATGTATACATGTGTACTGGGGAATGAAATTTTAACTCCAGCAAATGTAACATCATGCGAATCTCCAGGAAGCGGGCCCCTGGCAAAACTAATTACACCATGTTAGGATCCAACCTCGTAGAGAAAACCAATATCACATATTAATAACCTAAGTTGGAATCGCCAAACAGAACATGCCGCTTCCAAAGCAAGTCGTTTATTGGACTTCATCAAAAGAAATTTTCATTCTGCATCCAGATCAGTCAAAGAAAAGCTGTACTTAGCAGTAGTCAGACCACACCTAGAATATGGCAGCATTGCTTGGAACCCTCACATAGCTAAGAACATAACATCCCTGGAAAAAGTGGAACGGAGGGCTGCTCGCTTCGTAATGAGAGATTATTTCAGGCTGAGCAGTGTGACCGACATGTTGACAACTGGAAGAGAGAAGGAAAGTTAACCAACTTACCTACTTCTACAAAATAATACACAACATAGTTCACATTAACCCATCATCCATAGTCCCCAAACCAGCACGGGCTCGTAGACTGTTTTTACAGGCCACTTTTCCATCTTGAGAGGGACTCAGTTTTAATGTTGCGAGCGGGCACTAAGTGTGCTTTCGAGGGGCAGTTTTCCATTGCGATAAGTTATCGCGAGACGATTTCCCATGGTACTCATAATGTGCTTGCATGTACAAAGCCAGACGTTGCTAAGTGTTGTCAATTAATGGAATGCAAGTTTGACGAGTTCATAAAATAATTCGTAGCCTTGGCCGTGCGTTAGATCCAAGCCTAGGCTATATCTAGATAATTGGTGGGCGTGCCACGGCGAATTTCAATTAATGCTGATCCTGACTCCGTCGGTTGGACCGCGTTGATATAGCTCACTAATCGGCCGATTGATCAAGGAACGGGACGATGTTGTAATTATGGAAAGGAAGGTCATTCTTCGCTTGCCGCAATTTCAAACAGCTTAAAGGCCTATATCTATAAATCTCGGTAATAACTCCTCAGAAATTGAAAATAAGGGCAAAACTTATAACGGCATATAAATTCCCTTTTTTTTCAGTGTAAAAACGTATTTTTTTTCTGTGTATGTTTTGGGGATGGGTGATTTTTGTTTTGGTATTTTTTTTTGAATGCCAGTTTTACTGATATGACCTAAATTTTTAATTGACTTGGGTTGCATAATAGTTGCCCAGGCCTGCTACCACAAAGTAAAAGGAGGGGAGCAGTTGTACCTAAAAGTTTAGGAAAATATACCTATAAATTGGATTTTGTTTGGAGTAGGGAATTTGATTGAAAGTGACTGTACATACGTACATTACCTGTTTGGGGAATCAGTCATCGCGACACGTTATCAGTGAGTTTGTTAAATTATGGTTCTGACGCCGGAGATCGATCGAAGACAAACTGAAAACGAATCCGGAGTTTCGAAAACCAGTTGCTTGCTGGACTCTTGAGGGCGCTGTCTTTGTCACCAAATGTCACGCCATGCACGCGGGATTTTCGGAATCGTATATTAAAAAAATGAATGTTTTTACCCAGATTGAATGGTAAGAATACAGTCTTGTTCAGAGGTTTTTTGGTTATAACATAAACTACATTCTTACTCGGATGTACTGTAACAATTTTGTGGAAAGAATGTTGCAACTTCAAGTTGAAATTCATGATAATTTTTTTTAGCCTCATCTCAATTGAGCTCAATCATTGTCAATGTAACTTACTTAGCCCGACTTGTCACTGCTTGTGTGGCCTCGGTATTGCTGTGCTGTACGTTTGGCCACACGCCTGGTTTTCCAATCTACTGAGGAGTTTAGTCCAAAGCCTGGCGCGCCTTTTTTTGACATTTTTTTTAGCATCACTGTTAGTGTTACGGAATACGGTTGTAATTTTAAGTTATAACTATTGTATGAACTATGAGTATGATGTCCACCAGCATGACCAGTAGGCCTAGAATAGATTATGTAATATTTCTTCAAATTTTTAGAGTTATTTAGACATCTGTCATTGTCTTTTTGAAATTCTTGAGTCCTTAGGTGCAAGTTTCGGACCAAACAACTCCATCATGTCAGTGGATTGGGAAACCAGACGTGTAGCCTAACGTACAGCGCAGCAATACCGAGGCCACACAAGTGGGGCTAAATGTAACTGTAACTTAGTAAGGCCAGTCATTGCAGAAATGGTGATAAAACATGAATATGGGACTGAAAAACATTTCCAATTTTGTTTGCAAATTTTCTTGACTTTCCATAAACATTGAACAAAAGTTAAACGCTGAAGTGGCGTTAGGTTGTGACATTCTTTCCAATGTTGTAAGCAATCAAATTTGTCAATTTTGTTTTTTTCTGAATTTTGTTTGTCAGGACAAGCGCTTGGTGACTGCCCTGTCACATCACCAAGCAATGGAACATTTGGATTGTGTGTGGACCAGTGTCAGAGTGACGCCAACTGCACGGTGTCTGCACAAAGATGCTGCTTCAATGGGTGTGGTCATGTCTGCATTGATGTTGCCACGGCAACTAAAGGTTTGTGTAATGCATCTTTCATTTTTTTTCTGGCTCTTTTGGCCAAAAAAAATAATAGTTCTGCTGCCAGTTTCCCTACCTACCCTACTCTGAGAGCCCCTACCATAATTTTTGTCATGGGAAATATGAGCAAAAAAACACCCCAAACCATCAAATTTTACCTTTTACCCTTGACTAAATGCAGACTCTCCATATAATTGTACACAAAAAAATTGGGGAAAAAAATATATTTCCCTATCTACCTACCCTATTTTCGAATGCCTAATCGAAGGCAGAATTTTTGTTATTTTTGCATTGTTGATATTTTCCAAGGAAGTTACAGGTACTTACCTGGTTAATTAGGCTATAACCAGGAGAAAATTAAATTCTGTGTCTTGCAGATGTCTAGTTTTACTGTAATTATCAGTCTAAATTTGCAGAGAGTTTGTCCAATAAATTACATTTTTGTCAGTGGTCAAGGTCATGAGTCATCCACCTAAGATGACTTTTAATTTTACAGGTATGCTTCTACACATAGTTTAGTTTAAATAAACAGTGTAGATTTCACATAGCCAACTGTACAAATGATTTAGTAACGTCTCAGACAATGAAAAAGATAGGCCCTGCACTTTGAATGCCCTTTGTGGGGAATTTTCAAAGTGCAGTCTTAAGTTGGGGTTTACATCGTGAAGATATTAGGCCCACTGTCGACTGTACACACTTGTAACTTGCTGCGTTGATGCACCGATGTGGTAGTATTATCGTGCGGACCTTTTTGAACAATCTGAACAGCAACTTCTAAGTTTTCAATTTTGGGTTTGGTGTCTTTAATGGGTACCTGGGTACGTATGGGTTTTTTTCAATCGGGTACCAAATTCCCGTAAAACCCGTAAATGCACACCCTTACTCAAAATCTGGATGAAGTCCAGAACTTGGGTCACATTGATTGGGCTTATGTTAGTCACATAATTAAAATTTGTACAGGGTAAGTCAGAATGATCTGTATCCAAGTTTGCCCTGTTTTTGTGGCAAATAGAGCATATTACCTTTTCTTCCACAGCAATTTTGAATTTTTCAAATTAGTGGCTGTGGTGAGGAGTAATGTGGCTAATTTTTTAGTCTGCACACGGAATTGGCTTTGCCTTCTTTAAATGCGTCAATTACTTCAAGTGAGTCAGTCACCATGCATGGCATGACTAGGTTTTTATTTGTTACACTGCATCACATCAGCATTGACTTTTAGTAAATTTAAGTATGATTTGAGGCTTTGCATGGTGGAGATACTAAATAATGAAAGGTTTGCGGAAACACCATGTGGGAATAATTTCTCAACTAAGAGAATGGTTCTGAAAAAAACCAGAGGTATAAACGTGACGTTCCGGTCAGTATGCTCTGACCGTCTTTAGTAAATTTGTTGAATCATGGAACCGTGGTCAGAGTGTTTTTTAGCGAGTGTTCTTTGCTAGCGCTTTTCTTCAAAATGGAACAATGGATATATACAAATGTACATGAAACTTTCCCCAAATATGTCCAAAATACCAGCCTATTGATAAATGTTACATAATATTTTCAATATTGTCTTTAATTTGTGTCCAGATCATTCTGACTCACCCTGTAGGGCCTATACAATTAGGCCCTACACTTAATGAACCATTGAATGCGACATTGCATGTAACATGTAGGCCTACTGTATATCCTGACGTCAGTTAAGACAGAGATTGGATTCTGTTTCTTGTTTATAGCTCCCTGCCCTGAGGTTCTTTGCTTGATAGCCTGCCCCTACGGCTATCAACAAGATGAGGATGGGTGCGGTATCTGTACATGCAACAACCAAACGGGTAAAGTAAAAAATCAGTCACCACATTGTGCTATGAATACACTTACAAATGTTCGTAGGACGTACATGTATTGCAGTCACAATGCTCACTGGGCAAAAGAGACATTGTATATACACGTAGTGTTGCCACGCATTGTAACTTCTAATGGTTACACATTTAAAGGGAAAATACAACATTTGCAAACATCCAAAAACAAAATGATCAAATTACCACGAAATACATTACTGAATTGTTAGGGACTGACAGTCTAAAGCATCCTGTAAAATCGTGGCTCCTGGTGGGCTGACATTTTCAAGAAAAACTGTATTTTTCCAACGCTGGGCGGCCGACCAGCGTTGGAGAAAACTGGCTTTTTTTCAAAAACTGTTCTTAATTGTTCATATTTAGTTATTCTGACTTTTCTTTGCAATTGATCACACACCTGTGAAGGGGTACAAGCCTGCTAGACTGATTCTCTGACCTTACAATTCCCCAAAGTGTATTAATTGCTTCGTTTCATCTTAAGTGGGGTCAGGGAATCAGACCACAAGAACATGATAGGTTTTCTTGGTTTTTCCAGCATCTACAAGCCCAAAACATGAAACAAGTCAGTTTAACAATATTTTATAACATACTAATCCTCCAAATCCATTTATTTCTGAAAATTGCAGGAAAAGCAAATGTTGTATATTCCCTTTAAACGTTTTAAACAAAAAAGAATCTAAATCCATTCACAAATTTTCCGAAACGTTGAAAAGAAACAACACATTATGAAATAAATGACATAAGCTTATGTTTTCTTGATCTGCTCTCAAAGTACAAATGTATACATCTTGTTTTCAAAGAAATAAGGATCCTTTTAAACCCGTTTAATTTACAAAGCATTTTTACTTTTTTTCATAATTTACAAAGCATTAGAAGCACTGCAGTACTTAATCTTTCTCTGGGCTGTTAAGCTTACAATACGTTTGCAAGGACTGCCGGCTGTCTATTGTGTTAGTTATATTTTAACTGCTTAAAGCAATGGTATGCAGTGTTCATGTGTATTGTCTTTAATGCTTCCAATACATATGCCCAAGATCGACGCTCGTGGGCTCTTAGAAATAAACTTACGATTTTTAAAACACGCCCAAGTGCAAATATACTGGGGCAGGATCAGTATTTGTGAAGTTGCTTAATGGTTTTGCAAAATGTTTTCAAAAATTAAATGCAAATTCCCATCCTTGAAATGCATAATTCCATGAAACTAGTGCAGGCCTATGCCTAAAAGGGCCCATGAAATGTAAATTTTTTTAATGCAATCCTTGAAAATGCACCGTTGTGTCCCTTAATAACATAATTTCAATTTTCATTTTGCCATTTTCAAGGGTATTTTGGTGCCTTTTTGGTTTTTATGCTAATGCGAATTTCCATGTTCATGAGCAAAAGTGTGATGTCATATCAGGCAGAAACCTCAATGTTGCAATCAGTTTATGCTCAAAAAAGTTGCCAAAATTGTGGATATTTTGCTGTCGTAAACTTTCATTTCATTGGTGAGTCGATGTTGTGTCAGTTCATGGCAGTAAGCCAATGAGCAAACTTTTCTCACAAATGTTTTCAATGAGCATTTGTTTGGTTCACTATTTCAACAGAAAAACACCTAATATGAACAGTGTCTCCCTGAAATGACATCACGACAACAGCGCCCTCCGTTGTCCGGAAAAGCAAGGAAAATTTTTAAATGTTTAAAGAAGTGCACTTTTCAACAAAACTTTTCGGAACATAGGTGTGTTGAAACATAGGTGTGTAACCATAGCGAAGGTCATCTCTAGAGAATGATTGTGTTCATTCTATTAGTGTAGTATGATAATGTTAGTGTGTCTGTTTTTCTCCACAGTGATACACAGCGGTGATTGCCCATCTCCGGAACCGGACAGTGTGGGAATATGTGTGGCGAACTGCCAACATGATGGTGACTGTGCTCAGATGCAGAAATGTTGCTCCAACAGCTGCGGTCATCAGTGCATGGAGGCCACCCACCATGGTCAAGGTAAGGGCCTGTCTCATATCCAGGACGAGTTCCGGACACAATGTGGATAAAATCATTCACTTTGTTCAGAAGACGCTCTGCGTTTGACCCAAACATGTTGCAGGGGAAATTTTCATTAGCAACTGCTTGACTTATCAATACTGATAACTTCATCGCGGTAAGATTGCGTGGAAGTTGTTAAGAATCCTGCAACTTATACCGATACAGTGCCTGCAAACTTGTCCAGGACTTGTTCTGGATATGAATTGAGCCGGGCCCTAATATAGGGTCTGATTGCTGCGCACAGATCCTGATCCTAATCCTGATCCTAATCCAGGATACATTCATTGTTTTGATTGGATCCTGGTCTGGATCAAAGATCTCATGGTTCTTTCCCATCAGGTGGATCAGCGCGATATTCAAAATGGGGAATAACAAAACGATTTACAACGTTAACCGTCCCCATGTTTACCTTTGGCTAGTCATGAGACTTATGATCCGGATTGAGAGTTTGATCACGTGATCTGGATCACGCAGTTTTGTAAATAGCATGGTACTGGTTCCAAGGATCTATATTTGGATCTGCACCGAAACAAACGCACCCATGATCTCTGTGCAAGTACCCCCTCAATGGTTGACAAAGAGAGAGTTTGAGAGACCACTGTGAGAGACATTTGATCGCATTGCCGTATTTCAATAGAGGTAATAAATGTGGTTAGATCATTTTTGAATCTCAGAACTTCAGCCGGATTGACTTTCATTGTAGGTAATTCCAGTAAGCCTGGGCAGTGTCCTACAACCGATGGGGGGCTTGGATTGTGCTCCGAGGGTTGTACCGCTGATGCAGACTGCAGTGGTAATCACAAGTGCTGTTCGAATGGCTGCGGGCACCAGTGCCGGGAACCAGTGGGAGGTACGTAGAGGCCAACCTAAGCCACGTCTCAATTACGAGGCTGCGGCTGGCAGTGTCTGGCAGTGTCACACTTGTCTATGGGAAGTTGCAGACCGTGGCCAGGTCTACGGGTGCAGAAACTTGATGTTTTTGATATCTGAGCTTTGGTCAAGGCGTTCGACGTGTGTCACACGTCTGTACAAAGCCCGAACAGTAACCGCACGCGGCTAAGCTACAATATTCAAATCAGTTTGTGCTGGTTGAACGTCTTGGAACAACCGTGCGCCTTGGCTTATTTGTTTCTTTATTTTGGTGCTGGATCTCCAGCAATGACCTCGCATGCAAATAAACCCGAGATTATTATTCAGAACTCAGTTGTGGAGGCTCATGTTTTTCATGGACAGAGAGCTGGATAGTGTGGCTACATTCTCCAGCAAGTTTGGAGTCAACAGACCAAATATAACTTCATATAACTCCAGCAACAAAATGAAAAAAATTGCCTGAAAGAAGGCAATGGGGACGGTTGTTCCAAGGCATTAATTTAGTACCAACTGATTTGTATATTGTAAGCTAGCCGCATGAGGGTCGCTGTTTGTGCCTTGTACAGTACGTCTGAGTGCATAGCGTGCGGCTACTGTTTTTCGGACACTATCGTCGAACACCTTGACCAAAGCTAATTGATATCTATGCAAAGGAAAGTGAATTAGACATTATGAAACATTTGTGGCACATTTCGTCAAGCATCATGTCAAAAGACAATTCATGTACTCCACCATGTTCAACTACAAGAGTTAAAACGTTTTGTCTTTCAGAGAAACCAGGTACCTGCCCGGTTGGCATGTTACTGGAAGGATCAGTGGGAACATGCCAGGAGTTGTGCAGCCATGATCAAGAATGCCCAGCGTTCCACAAATGCTGCTCCAATGGCTGTGGCCATGCTTGCATTCTACCGCTGGATCTACCTGGTAAGGGCAGACTTCAGTATACCCCGCAGCAGATTTTGTAGGGCCTGCAGATCGAGGCCCACATGGGAGGTGGGGGACAGGGAGGCCATGCCGTAGGCTTCTCATCCCCTTTCTTTTCACCAAATCATGAAGTATTACTAGAAAAACAGAAAGAGAGGAAAAGAGGGCCCCTAGTGTTAAACAAGTGGTCACAAGAGATCTCCTAGTGTCAAATGAGGTCCCCTAGTGTTGAATGAGGTCCCCTGGTGTCAATTGAGGTCCCATAGTCTCAAGTGACGTCCCCTAGTGTCAAATGAGATCCTCTAGTTTCAAATGAGGCCCCTCAAGTGTCAAATGCGGTCCACCAGTTTCAAGTGAGGTCCTCTGGTGTCAAATGAGGTCCACCAGTTTCAAATAGGTCCCTCAGTATCAAATGAGGTCCCCCCAAATCAAATGAGGTCCACCAGTTTCGAATGAGGTCCCCCAGTTTCAAATGAGGTCCTCTAGTGTCAAATAGTAACTGGAAATTGTCATTTAAGACTTATTTCATGGGATCCAGTCACAGTTGTTGTTTTTTTATTCATATTTATGCAAATTAGTTATTCATGAGGGCGCCTGCCCAATTCCTGACGAGAGTGGATTTGGAACGTGCCAGGAGGCGTGCGATAATGACGGCAACTGCACGGCCAGTCAGAAGTGTTGCTCCAACGGCTGCGGCCATACTTGTGTCGATGCAGTCAAAGGTACATGTAGTGCCATTTTTAAATTATAAACTATAGTAAACTCTGGCTAAACTGGCACTCTCAGGACCTGAGAATTTGTGACGACTTACGCGAATGCCGATATCTGCTGTAAGTCGTCATTTGCCGACTTACATGAATGGTCTTTTGCACACATGACTCATTGCACTAATTGGCTTCGATTTACCCTGGATTATCTCCTTAATGCTTGAGTTGAATCCGGCAAATTAATCCTCGAATTGTATCATCACGTTTGGGGTATTGATAGTGGAGACCACGATACATATGTACGTGCACAGTAACGAATTGAATGCGTGCGTGATCCGGTATATACCACGCATGCCTTGACTGCAGCAGTAGTCATTCAATAAGAGGACCCCCAAAATGGACAGAGCGCATGCGTACAGCCTGGGGGGGGGGGGGGGGGTACTGGTATTGATATACTCACGATGCATATGCGATGTATGTAGTAGGACACCCTTTTTCGACACCGATGCATGCAGCGATCACGGGCCATGCGAAACCACTTTTCACTCGACACTTTGCCAACCACAGTACAGGAAGTCGATGCCAATGCGTGATTTGTTGAATGCGACTTACACAAAGGATTTTGTAATGCTTTTTATGGAAAGGGGACCGAGAGTAACAAGACGACTTGAGCGAAATGGCGACTTATAAAAGCCGACTTAGAAATAAAAAAATCAATGGAAATGCATTACGGACAATCGAGACTTAAGTCAGACGGCTGACTTGAGCGATTTGACGAGTTGTACGATGTTGGTTTAGCCGGAGTTTACTGTATATAAAACTTTTTTGAAGTACATATCATATTCATTAGCTTGTGGATTCTCTAAACATTTTGAAAATAAACATCAGCCACAAAACTGAGCAAAACAAAACCCTTCAAATGGACACAAAAACTCCAGATATATTTTGCAGATTAAGAGGAAATGATTTTTAATATAACAGCCTAAGCAAGTTCAAGCTAATTTGAGCCAGTCAGCAATTCCGTTTGCTATCTTTCTTTCTTTAGAGCCTGAGTGTCCGTCCGTGATGTGTATGATGTGGTGTCCACACGGGTACCAGCAGGACTCGCAGGGATGTGACATATGCCTATGCAATCAGCAAACTGGTAAACGTACTTGCTAATAACTATCTGTGTACGACAAGCCTGTATTATTTCCTTACCGAATGCTTTCACAATTGGACTCAAAATATAGTCATTCCATGGTTGCAAAAGCATTTTTTTTAAATTTCTGTTGGCAACTCATCAACAACAAACTTGTGTCTCGATCTTTCAGAAAGATTGCTTAAGGGCAATTCTACAGTTACTCACGTTACATTTTTGATGTACTTTTGAGATTCCTTGGGCTGTAATTACCTTACTGAAAAGGTTTAATAACTGTTATCCCCATGGTAGATAGAGTAGACCTAGACCTACCTAAGCACCAAAGATGACATCCAGAAAAATGTGTTATGTATGATAAACAAGACGCACAAAATCGGTTACTCACGTTACGGAAATGTAACGTGAGTAACCGTGGAATTGCCCAAAACGATTTTCCTTAATAGAAATGCAGAGAGAGTGAATGTTGATATTTGGGCAAATGGAACTTGCGTCTGTTCTGATTAGGCTACGGGAACTAGGTACCCGATTGAAGAAAAAAAATGGGTTTCTGGGTACCCGTTAAAGAAGCCAATCCCAAAATTTAAATCTTGGAAGTTGCTGTTCAGATTGTTCATAAAGGTCTGCACAATAATACTACCACATCGGTGCGTCAATGCAGCAAGATACAAGTGTGTACAGTGAGCTTTATAGCTGTACTGCATAAACTGCAACTTTTGCGAACCTCTTAATGATACTTATGTTTTATTTCCCCATCTAGCCTGGCTTTCAGTTTGAAAATTCCGCAGAATTGACATTACAACATTTCTTTTTCATTGTCTGGGAAGTTACTAAGTCATTTGTAAACTTGGTTACGGGTACCCGATCCCATAATCTGGAACCGGTTCCTGACATCAATGGTTGGGTACTCGGGTACCTGGTTCCGATGCACAGCTCTAGTTCTGATCATTGTGTGTGTTCTTTTGCAGTGATCCATGCAGGTGAGTGTCCCACCGTTACAGACAGTGCTGGGTTTGGGGTCTGTGTTGAGCTCTGCGATCATGACGGTAACTGCACCGATACGCAGAAATGCTGCTCCAACGGCTGCGGACATGCCTGCGTCGACGCTGCTCAACCAGGTACATCATAATAATCATAAGTTGGGAGGCTAATCATCCTTACTTGCAGCTGAGAAGCTGAATTGCGATGGACGCGGCTACAACGCACTTGGGATGTAAAGATAACAAGTTCTTGCATTAATTATGTGTGAACCAAACAGTCACCGAAGTCATCAGAACATTTCCTGAGTAACAGACCTTTTAACAGAACTATAAACAATGAAAGTCAGTATGCTGAGAAAGTGTGACATCACCTCCTTCCCAGGTCCGGCTCACTTCCTCGACAACGGTTCACGCGCATTCCTTAACGCTGCATAACACGCATCCTTAACACACGATCACAGACAGCAATTTTACACTCTACTTTTATTGAACATTTTCACATATTAGTAAGTGAAAATGGTTCACTGCCTTTCAGCAGATTGTCACCACACCAGTACAACCACAGTTGTGCTTATTTTCACTTCAAAGATGAGAATCAAGCCAATTATGAAACGGATTCACAACAGCTATAGCGAAACCACGGTGTTTACTGGGCCGTTGCAGTGTGCGTGAACAAGTTATCATGGATGTACCGAGTTGGCCTCTGAGTGATGTCACGACTACGCCAGCGAATAGACCATTATCATGTTGCGGCTATCTTGATTTTTTCCCATTCAAATCAACGAAGCGTAAGCGAGGCTGGAAGGGAAAATAGTCTGGTTCCTTTTTGTATGAAAAACATTATCATTCAGTACTGTTATTGGATACAGGGAACATGACTGAAATGGTGGCAGCATGATAAAGGTCTATGGGATTCAGCTTTTACACTATTGCAAGATGCGTTGCCCACAAATTCAGATTTCAAGAAATAGTCTGTCTTTATTTGAGGTCGTTTATAAGTGAAATATCGCAATACAGAGTTTATGTATTGCAGTGACATACCACGCTTATTCACAGCATTGATGCATTGTTACAACCCTTTTTGTAATAGTAGCGGAATTTGCTGGTCCTAATTTCAGACCCTACATATGCCGGATGTCCTGCCGTTACCCCCGACCAGCTGGGCGTGTGTATCACCGACTGCAGCGCGCATGCTGATTGTAACGACTCGCGATTGTGCTGCCCTAATGGGTGTGGTCATCAATGCATGGAAGCAGTTACGGGTAAACAATAAGCTAAAGATTGTATAGTAAAACGCCACTATGAGGAACACCACTATAACGAACATTTGGCTATAACAAACATCCCCTTAGGCCAAAAAAAAAGTCTCCGGTTTCTGGTATGGAGCTCGTCCAAAAAGTGGTGCGGCGACGCGGCTTCTTTTTTTTTACCTGACTTTTTTGCTTCAAATGTCAGCCGATGACTGCAAATGGTGCCCGACTAAACTTAGTGCAAATATATGGGAGTCCAGAGAGGCCACATAAAGCTTATTCTCGATCATAACCCCATCTAAAAACACGTTAAAATTGTGCAGCAGAAGGATTCCAGTCAAACCAGTGAGTTTGGCGGTTTTGAGACATCATCTTTCATTGAAATTTTTTTTTTTTCATTTTGCCGACGCGCATGGCTACGGCGACGCGCGCGCATACCAGAAACCGGAGACTATTTTTTTTTGGCCTTAGGCTCCCGAAATAGTAAATTCTATTATAAGGCCCAATCACTCTAACCAATGACCACTATATTACGGACCCCATCGTGTTCGTTACAGTGGCATTGTACTGTACATTATTGTAAATACCTATATTCATAAAGAAAAATATTTTGTACATTAAATTACACTTGAAAAAACCATTGAAAAGTTTTCACTCGGTGGTGTAAAGTCATTTCTTGTGCTTAAACTGAAATGATGTTTTTTGCTAAAACTTGTCAAGATAGGAAACGAATCCCCTTGAAGCAGGTACACCAAATTTTTCAAAGAGTATTTTAAAATGGATCTCAGCGCATTATAAATGTTTGTTGTTATTAATGACGTAGTTCATCCAGGGACGTGCCCAGTTGGTACCCTGTCAGCTGGTTTCAGTGGGATTTGCTCTGAGCTGTGCAGCAACGACGGAGACTGTCCCTCTGCTGATCTGAAGTGTTGCTCCAACGGATGTGGTCATGTGTGCGTTGCTGCGAACCCGACCCCAGGTAAGAAACCAACCACGTCACTCACAGTTCTCCTTTATGGGCTCCTTGCGCAAGTACCCCCTCAACGGCAAGAAAGGGAGAGTTGGGGGAGACCATAGGAGAGACATTTGAACGCATGGACCTTATTCACGAGGAATCCATTTTGGTCGTGTTCCCTGAATGTATTTTGTAAATTGTAAACTGTTGAATGGGATGGTGCCAGACTATTAAAACATTCTAGTCTTAGGCTGCATCCGAATCAACTGTCTAGAGCTAGGTCTAGGTCTGCGCCCATTGAAAATACGCGGGGACGCGCTGACAATAGACGTAGCCTCGCTCTGGAAGCCCGTTTCGGACACGGCCTTACTTTCATTTCTTTTTAAAATGTGGCTTAAAACATTAGGGTGTGTTTAATCACAAATTTTGAATTATTCATCAGAGCAGACTGGTATTAATTTGTAACATACTTAATGTCATTGCTTTCATTTCTCTTCGTAAGTTCCAAAAATGAAGATTTTTACCTCGTTTTTATAAAATATATGTCCGACTTGTGAATAAAGCCCATTTCCGACAACGGGTTTATGGCTTTGTGCGCCGCATTCAGAATAGAATAAGTCGTGTGTACTTTAACACGCAAGAACCATTGTCATCGAGTGATAGGGTACCAGTACTTGTGTGGAGTCCTTTGACCATACTGTCTAACAAGAATAAAGAAATTTAAATGTAACTTTATTCCATAAAATGTTTTAAATTCTGATACTCTTTTAAAGATGCGTTCCCATCCTAATTTCAAATTTCACCTCGTAAAATCGATTTGTGTTTTCAATTGCTATTCTCCTAGCAACATAAAAGCTAATTATTTTTGAATGAGACAGCGAACAAGAAAAATCAATTGACGTTTAGTTATCGAATGATTTCTTCACAATATTTGAATTATTGCCAGACAATAATCAGCTCTCGCATGGCGGGTTCATTTTTGCGCAAAATGAAAGCCCTCCTTTAGAGCGTTGCAGAAGTTGAAATAGGAATAAAGTAGGTTGGTTTTTTTTCGTAAAAACAAAACATACAAATTGAAAACTGGTCAGGAAATTTTTTACAGGGTATGCAACTTCAACATATTTTTGCTAAGCATGTTTTGTTTTGTCCATTATTGACAATCAAAGACACTTCGGGAACAGCTCTGTGATAATTCAGTTACAATCACTACCTCTATTTTTTTTTCTTTTCTTCAAGACTCTTGCTCTAATATAACCTGTCGGATGTTCTGCCTGTTTGGCTTCAAGAAAGACGCCAATGGATGTGAAATATGTGAATGCTTTGAGCCCCCAGGTAGGTGGTTACAGATAAACTTTAGAAACAAAACTTTTTTAAAAACTTAGAAAGGACTTTTAGTAGTTCAGTACACAAATCTTCCAGATTAACGTGAAAGTTCATCTGTGTTGGCGATTAGATCTTCAATCTTAAAGCTACAGTCCATCATTTGTAATTTGTGCATTTTGTTCGTTTGAAGCAACAAAAGAGTTCAAATCTAATGAAGGATACTGAGCAACTAACCTGATGAAGTTTCAGCTAAGCTTCAGCTGTACATTCCGAGAAAAACAGCATTCTAAGATCTCAATTTAAATCCAAAGTTACTGAATCATGTTTTGAATTGTTTTGAATTGCAGCTATACGCGACGTCGCGCACTGATCCGACGAATTATACATGTAACAACCGCGCGCACGTTTGCGTCGTTCCAATACTTGTGCGCGCTGCGCTGAATAACAAAACAAGCTACTAATTTAAATTTTCCTACGGTGCTTCTTAAGAATCACCGTTGGAAATGCCTTCTTTTGTTGATTACTTCAAAATGACAGCTTCCCAGAAAGAATAATTTCACAGGGAGTTTAGTCCCCTTACTATCTTTCAACCAAGTTTGTTTTTCAACAATAATTACGCCAGTTACTTTTCGGATGGCTGCAAATGATGGACTATACCTTTAAATCTTGTCTTAACTTTTGATTTCAACACACAATATGTTATTACCTGAAATTTGTGACCGGAAAGTCTGGTTTTGAACATCTTCAATGTCAGCAAGCTGACCCGATTGTTGAGTCTGTGACTATATGGACATGTGATCTCAAAACCAGATCATACACTCATAGACAAATTTGATCATGTTGAGATAAAAAGGTAAAACGAGATTTGATATCAAATTTTATATTTTCATAATAATTGAACCAGAAGAGGAGTGAAGACGATTTAAATAGATTCTACTCATCCCGTTCCCCTTTACAGATTCATGAAATATTTATAGAAATATGAAAAATAACCAACTCATGTTCAACCTTAGTTCTGTATTGCTATTTTTTAAATGTGTCTCTTTATTGCCAATTTTGTTTGTATTTCATCTGATATAGCTGTTCATCCCGGTACCTGTCCCGTTGGTGTCCTGCCTCAAGACATGATTGGTACATGCGTAGAGAGTTGCCAAGCTGACGGTGACTGCGCTAATCATGAGAAGTGCTGCTCCAATGGCTGCGGTCACAGCTGTCTGAATACAACGACCAGTAAGCAAACAGTTCACCATATTTGTCTGCTGTGATGTTTTGTACCGAGCACGGATCCTAGACACAAGGATTAACGACTCGGCCCAACTCCTGGTTAGACGTGTGATAACGGCCCGTACTGGCGGCAAATACCATGAATACTTTCCAACAAAGACCACTGCGCGGGGTGGCTTTCAGATTTGCATGGCTCTGCGCCCGATCTGGCCTCGAAGTCTGTCAAGCCAGCGAATTATATTTTTGAATATTCATGAGTCTACGTTTTTGGTCTTTATTATTGAATTCTGATAAGTGATAACTACATAACCATGGTAATGCCGAGCACAATATCTTTAGCTTTAAGATGAACAATGAAATGTCGCTTTTGTTTCATCGGTTCGGCATCCTATCTCTCTAAAACTTTTTAATAAAAGTGTGGCGGAAATTTGAAAAGTGTGATCGGTCCGTATGATTCGCGGTCCATCAAACTTGTCCAAGATGTTACCAGGACAAAATCGCTGCCACCAGGCGGAACATTTATAGGCCCTAAACCCCCGGAGTTCCGCCTCACCGGTTTAGTATTTCTTACTCTGCGTCTAAAGTTCGTAGTCAAAATATATGACCCAGAGGAGAAGTTAAGTGAAGTGATAAACAGTCTTACTAGTTCCTAAGGACTGACTCAAGAAAGATACACCTCAGGCAAATCTTCCGCACAACGCGAAAACTAGCAATTTAATTCAAAACTGAACAACAGTCAAAAGAACAATGCCAAGGATGAGCTTAGACTTAAATTAATTAAAAGCTCAGAAAATACAGTAAATGGCAGTGCACTTTGCACTGGTGAGGAACGAGTCTATGGGCCTAATCTCTGGAACTTATTTACCCGAAGGGGGGAGGGTACCTTCAAAGGATAGTGCTCTCTGCACTGGGAGGCAAAACAATCAGTCTCTAAGTTATTCCCTAACCTTTACTATAAACTTAACAACGGGCAAATCCTATGCCCTTATAAAAAAAATATGACTATAGGCAATTACGTCTGCCTGTTCAAAAACAAATATCACTACGTTAGGCAATTCCGTCTGCCAGTAGTTTCTCAAATATAAACACGACTAGGCAATTCCGTCTGCCAGTCCAAATGTCTCGCTAAGTCAAGGCCTCTGACGGGTCTGCCAGTAGTTTCTTGAATCTGCTTAGCTCCTGAGATAACTTAGATGACCTTAGATTAGTTTATCCAGCTCCTCCATTCCAATAATAAGTGACTTACAAAGTGTCCTCTAAATTCGGCTCCTCAATTGGCTCCTCTGCTCCTCAACTCCTTAACTGGCTCCTCTGCTCCTCAGCTGGCTCCTCAGCTGGCTCCTCAGCTCCTCAATTACTCCTCAGTTTCTTAATTCCAACCCCCCCCCCCCCAATTTAAATTAAGATTTAATTAAACTATTTTCCCCTAGCGAATATGCGAATGACAACCGGGCTCTATACGTGCCTATGAGCTCCTTAAATGGCTCCTCAGCTGGCTCCTCAGCTCCTCAATTGCTCCTCAACTTCTCAATTCCAAACCTCCCTAACTTAATTTATATTCATAAATACCTCAGACAGTTTAGCCATTCCTATTGGTCGAGAGCCCGTCACGTGGCCGGTCTTAAACGGATGATAAAGACATGGCTAGCTGGTCTTAAAGGGAATATACAACATTTGCAAACATCGAAAAATAAAACTACCAAGTTTTTGCGAAATACCTTAATAGGATGTTGGTAAATGACAGTCTAAAGCATTCTGTAAAATTATGGCACCTGGTATACTGTCATTTTCAAGAAAAGTGGTATTTTTGTATCAATTTCCAACGCTGATCGGCCGATCAGCGTTGGAAACAACTGGCTTTTTTTCAAATACTGGCCCCAATTGACCATTGCACTTGTTTGCAATCGATTACAAACCTATGAACGGGTACGAGCCAGCTAGACTGGTTCCCTGACCTTACAATTCCCCAATGTATGTAAACTGCTGTGTTTCTTCTTATATGGAGTCAGGGAACCAGACTACAGGAATATGATCATTTTTCTTGGTTTTTATAGCATTTTCGAACCCAAACCTCCAAAAAGTCAGTGTAACTATATTTGCTTTATATTTCCAACCCCCCAATTCCATCCATTTCTGAAAATTACAGCAAAAGCAAATGATGTATATTCCCTTTAAACACTTTTCTAGTGTCACATAAAATGTGGACTCCTAAAAATCCAGTGCCTCTTACTGTTGTATTGGTTGAACGTTCACAGTCCTCACGTAGGCATGCGCAACACTACCAGTGAGTCAGAATGTTAAAGTTCTAAATTCAAAACGCAACGCCCCAGGTGCGTTCTGCGCGACATCGCACAGAACGTGCCACGCGCGCGTCAATCTCCATAAAAGGGTTGTTTACATCTTAATCGCCAGCTGAACACTCCATTATTTAGCTAGAGGGATGTTTCAAAAAGCATGAAGTGAACTTGTTGAACAAAATCGGGATTTTTTTACCGAAATATTATATTTTTTTGACCGAAAAGGTATTTATGAATGGGAATAAATATATGCTCGGTCGGTATTAATCACTCTGTTTAAGACCACTTAGAGTCTGGGTGCTGATAATTACCCGAGCCAGAGGCGAGGGTAATTATCAGCTAAGCGGTCTTAAACAGAGTGATTAAAACCTCTCAAGCACACATTTATTCCCTTAATAACTATTTTTCCCCACTGATGTAAACATTAAACCAGCTCTGTACGTGCCTATTAGCTCCTTCACTAGCTCCTAAGCTCCTCAGCTCCTCAACGTCCCAGAGATCAGCAGTACTACAACTTGACAAACTCAGAACTAAATCACCCGAACCCCGAATTCACAAAAATCTGCCCTATTTATACTCTTTGGATCGCGCGCCTTACACACAGACTGCGCGTATGCGTAGTAAATAAGCCACGCCCACAAGTGGTAAACTAGCAAAAATTACTATACACAACAAAGTTTTCACTCATCTGAAAAATCAATAATTTATGCTGTACATTCATCACTCAAAGTATACAAATAATCCTTTAATCCTAAGCTTTCATTTACACTGAAATAGAACAACATATTTCCCCAGATTTCTCACAATAAGGCAAAAAACAAAGTTGGTGACTGAACGTAAACATGACCTAATTTCATTGATAAAAATCCAGTGATGTCATACTCATGAATATTCATGAAGCATTTCAGGCCTTGGCAGACGAAATCATTGCAAATTTCGGTAAATAATTCCCTACTGAAATATTTTCTGCCAAAAACTTATTCTAAGTGTTGAAATAGGTAAAGATAAAGGAAATACAACTTTCTGCTCTGATAAATCTCAGTTTTATAATCTAAAATCAGAAATATTCTTTAAAAACTTTAGGCCAATCCGAACAGATTTTAGAAACAAGGAGGCGGCCATGTTGGATTTACCCTCACTCTATTTTTAGCACACACAAACACATGGCAGTGGCAGTGCATGAAAACAGCTGATGGTTGGTGAATACTAGCGATAAAATAAGTCATCAAACAGTTATAAAAGTGGATGGAACCTAATAAAAAGTTACCCAGGCGTACAGGTGAGTCTAAGAAAATGACCAGAGTGGCATTTTCGTCACAAAAGCATAATTATAAACGAAATTTGGGTGAACAGTGTTCTCCTCGAAATTTAACGTTTATTTCCCAGGTAAATACTTCATCTATGGGATGACAACCAAAATTGCACAATACCATCTGTTATATCCTGAAGTATTTATTTTAAAACAATTTTGGAACAATTAAATCTTAAATAAGGAGTAGTTTTACTTATTGTTTTATGAATATTTCCGTCTTGCAAAAACCCAACACAATAGGACACCTGAAAAATTCGCGCATACGCGCCAACGGGTATTAATGCCCGTTATCACGCGTCTAGCCAATTAAGGCAAGTCCGCTCAGTGCATTTTGTACTAGAGCTCAGAACAGTCGTTTATCCTGGTGTCTAAGATCCATGTACCGAGGCAGCAAGGCAAATTTGAAGGTGCCATTTGCCCTTTTGTTTAACAAAGGGACAAAATAACTGTATAGGATGAGTAAAAAAAAAACGAAACCCAAATGTTGGGACCATTGTTTTAGGGAAGTTCTGCATGTAGCATTTTTAAAATCTAGGATATGAAATCCCAATTCATAAGTTTTCTTTTAGTACAAGAATCATTCAAATCACTCATTGTCAGAGTTCATTTGAATAACGTGTTACATGACACGAAAGTGAATTTACTGCTAAAGTTTTCCTGTTTTCTGCAAATCCATTTATAATCAGTTTGTCAAACTTGGTTCCATCTTACAGTCTTGTGCCCTGACTTCATGTGTGCCATTTACTGCGAGTATGGGCATCAAAAAGACCAGAACGGATGCGACACCTGTAACTGTCTAGAAGAGCCAGGTATGTGAGGAACATAGTGTTATTTCATAGATTTCTCTTTTTTTTCTGTGAAAAAAATGTGATCAAGACAAGTAGTTAAACTACAAAAATAAGGAAATAAATTCATGTGCTTGGCCGGTTTTAAACATGTACATTTAAGACTGGCTAGGAGCCTGGACGCTGATGATGGACAGAGCCGAATCCCATTCATAAATACCTTTCGTTCAGAAATTATAAATTTCCAACGATTTTGTTTAACAATTTTTTACTTCATATTTTGTGAAACACCCCTCTAGCTATGTTGATGGTATGTGCCTCGCGGGAGTAGTACTAAAAATCTCCTTAAATGGAGATTGGCGTGCGTGTGGTGCGTTCTGCGCGATGTGGGGCAGAACGCAATGGTGCCGGGAAAAAAGTGTTTAAAACCAGTCAGTGTTTTATCAATCATTTATGACATATGCTCTCGACCAATAGGATTGGGTAAACTGTCTCAGGTATAACCATAGTACTTCATTGAACTTTTTGTGTGCTAACTAATGGATTCTCATCCTTTTTACAGTTCTTATTACATGTTAAACCTGATACTTAATTCCAATTTTTGATTTATTGTTTTCCAGTAGATTGTGGTGACGTGTTCTGCACCATGCATTGCCCTTATGGATTCAAGAAACAACCAAACGGATGTGCTATCTGTGAATGCCAAAACAATCCTGCAGGTAGGTTTACAGTATACAAACATGTCAAATAATGAATGCTTAGGCCAAAAAAAAAAGTCTCCGGTTTCTGGTATGCGCGTAGCCATGCCGTAGCCATGCGCATCGGCAAAATGAAAAGAAAAAAAATTCAATGAAAGATGATGTCTTAAAACCGCCAAACTCACAAGTTTGACTGGAATCCTGCTGCTGCACAATTTTAACGTGTTTTTAGATTGGCTTATGGTCGAGAATAAGCTTTATGTGGCCTCTCTGGACTCCCATATATATTTGCACTAAGTTCAGTCAGGCACCATTTGCAGTCATCAGCCGACATTTGAAGCAAAAAAATCAGGTAAAAAAAAAAAAAGCCGCGTCGCCGCACCACTTTTTGGGCAAGCTCCATACCAGAAACCGGAGACTTTTTTTTTTTTGGCCTGATGAGTGCAATGGTAAGAATAATTTAAAGTATTACGCACGGCTGAATATGCACTCCCACAACTCTTTCTTCTATGCCATTGAGTGGGTATTTGTGCACGGAGCGGATAAAAGCAAAATATCCAGCAATGAGGAACATATATTTTTCAACAATTAATTGTCTGTTAACCCTTCTCTATGCAGGATGTTCCGAGGTGATGTGTATGATGTACTGTGAGACCGGATATCAGAGAGATGCCAACGGTTGTGAGGTCTGCATGTGCAATCAGCAACCTCCAAGTAAGGGTTGAACGTGATCAGAGGTCTAATGAAGTGAATTACAAGTCAATCACAAGTCAGTTATAAGTCAATCACAGGTCAATCACAAGTCGATCACAAGTCAGTCACATGGGGGTCACATGTCAGTCACATGTCAGTCACAAGTCAATCACAAGTCAGTCACAAGTCAGTCACAAGTCAGTCACAAATCAATCACAAGTCAGTCACAAGTCAGTCACAAGTCAGTCACAAGTCAGTCACAAATCAATCACAAATCAATCACAAGTCAGTCACAAGTCAGTCACAAGTCAGTCACAAGTCAGTCACAAGTCAGTCACAAGTCAATCACCAGTCAGTCACAAATCAATCACAAGTCAGTCACATGGCAGTCACAAATCAGTTATAAGTCAATCACAAATCAGTCACAAGTCAACCACAGCTCAGTTACAAGTCAGTCACAAGTCAATCACAAGTCAATCACAAGTCAATCACAAGTCAGTCACAAGTCAACCACAGGTCAGTTACAAGTCAGTCACAAGTCAGTCACAAGTCAATCACAAGTCAGTCACAAGTCAGTCACAAGTCAATCACAAGTCAGTCACAAGTCAGTCACAAATCAATAACAAGTCAATCACAAGTCAGTCACAAATCAATCACAAGTCAATCACAAATCAGTCACAAGTCGTCACAAATCAGTCACAAGTCAATCACAAATCAGTCACAAATCAGTCACATGGCAGTCACAAATCAGTTATAAGTCAATCACAAGTCAATCATAAGTCAGTCACAAGTCAATCACAAGTCAGTCACAAATCAGTCACATGGCAAGTCATTCATAAGCAATCACAAGCCAATGCCAGATCAATCACAAGTCAATCACAGATCAATGACATGTCAATCAGGCCATCACATGTCAATCACAAGTCTGTCACGAGTCAAATCACTGGTTCATCACATAATCAAAGGGCATTACCAATGCAAAAACATACATGAAATGAGCCTCATACTCTGAACATACATGTAATAAGCATCATTAATGTTCCATTTAAAACCTAAAAATTAATTTATAATAAGGATGATTCATCTCAAAAGCCTTCTTTTCCGTCGCTTTTTTGAAAGCTGTACTGTTCATTTGAGAAAATACCTTTGTCGCTTTTGTTTTACCACCGACAGTCATCAGCCCCGGATCGTGCCCTGTTGTTGTCCCTGATGACGTTGGTTTTGGAACCTGTGCAGACATGTGCGACAATGATGTGGAATGCCCGACCAATCAGAAGTGTTGTACCAACAGCTGCGGCGGCCACCAGTGTGTGGAGGCTGAGAATATCCCAAGTAAGAGAGCCTGTGATTGGTTGTTACAAGAGGTAGAACATTTTTGTTGTCAAAACCGAGAACCAGCAGCCGATTTCAAGAAACTTTACCAAATGACGTAGCTCACATGCGCCACAATTTATCATTCAACGAAAGCTTCATAGTGCATAAGTCCCCTGACTTGAGCAGTAAATAATGGCGTAACTTATGCAATCAATTTAGGTGATGTAAAATGTGGTGTAGCGACTGAAAATAAACTATTTTACTTGCAAATCGTGATCATCGTAAAGCCTGTCATTTTACAACTTATTAAAGTTGATACAAGACACTCATTGCTGAGTATGAGGCCAACTAGTTGCTATTTTACTCGTGACACAATCTTTAGAGTTGCCGCACAATTCCAAAGAAAGTCAGGCAAAACTATTTTTAAAATGGTGGGCGGAGGTGATTCAGCGACTGTTTCGTGACCGAACAAAATCATACACAAACAGTCATCGTAAATGTTGTTATCCTCGTCCAAGATGTTTAGTTTTCTAAAACGTCGCCCAGCTACGCCAAGTTTCATGAAATCTATTGTAAATTTATTGCACAGCTGCCCAACAAATTTGTTGCAGAAGTCCTATACACAGAGGAAGTTACACACTTTTTCGTGAAATCAGCTGCAGAGTTTTGAAATATTGCGAGCAATTAATATGAAACCTAAATATTTGGTGTTTCTGGATGAAAGCATACCTTTAATGTTCAGTGTTTTGTATTACAGTTGAATGTCCATCCATGCATTGTATGATGTGGTGTCCTCACGGCTTTCAGAAGGATCAGACTGGATGCGACTTGTGTCTATGCAATCAACAAACGGGTAAGAACACTGGAATGCAGGGCGCAGCTAAGCGCACGATATTCTGTTAAGGAGAACACACAAAAAATTTAAGAATTCACAAGGCGCGAAGAAGTTTGTCATTAACAGTCCAGTGAGTGGAGATGAAAAGACTTGAATATCTCGTGTCGAGTCGTGGCCATTAGGGTATTTACAAGGAAGTTTTTCGAGGCTCTTATACGTAATCAAGCATTGTGACGTATTTAGCATGTGTATCGCAACACCCGTACAACCAAGTCACTTTGTGTGTCGGCTCCTTCCTTCATCAGGGATAGTTCAGACGACGACTTCTTTCCGACTCAAAGTAGTTTTTACAGTGACGGCGGAGAATCTGACAGTGAAGATGCATTGGTAATTTTTAGAAGGAAAGTTTTAACGGTCCTATTCAGGCTCATTATGGAGAACAATTGTCCGACGTGTTCTAAGTGTTTTTGAATTCCGAATCCACACTTTACTAAAGATTCTTTGTTCTGCATCCACACTTTGTGACCAGTGTAACAGATTCGTTGTTCCGAATCCACACTTTTAACAATAGTGTGACGTCACAGCAATAAAGCTTAAAGAACCGTCAGTTTTACAGATAGAAAGAATTAAGCGTGTTACCTTACAATTTGCTTAAAATATTGACCCAAGAATCACTGTTTTTAGTATGCACTTTCCCGTTTTCATATTTCTGTATTTCCCTGTTTTTGTTTTTCTACATTTTCATTTTAATTTCCTCCTTTTAATATTGTTGCACATTTCCACATTTCCCTGTTAATATTGGCCTATGTCCCGAATATACCAAATATTCAAGTATTCGGCATCAACCGAATATTCAGATAGCTTTTTGGACGGTTTGAATATTGGAAAAGAAAAAAACTATGCACGTGAGCTCATGACAGAATCAATATCATTTTAATCGTAAAACTGCATTTTTTTTATTGTCAGATGCCATTTATTGATACCGTTCTTTTAGCTGGATAAAGTCCCTGGTCAATTATACAGTACTTACTGTAAAACACTACAGCGGCCCATAATATTCATCGCTGCTTGCAAAATTTATGCGGCGCGCTTTGTATGCAACTTTTGACCAGCGAGGAAGGCAGCTGCAGCTGGCGTGTGAGAAACTTGATAAGCGACTTTCGAATATTTGAATATTCGGTCAAGTGCAGTTTCGAATAATCAAATACTAAATTATTCGAAAATTGACAGCCCTACTATATTTACTTAATAATGTATGTGCATGAAAATGTAGTTACTTGCTTGTATACCTGTGTGGATATCTGTGTTCTCTTGTTTCAATATTAAGATGAGTATATGTAAATGTGTTCACACGGATCCGCGTTTACGGGTTGACTTGCTTAAATCTTTACATGTTTACTTGTTTACCTGTAGAGATTCACGTAGGTTCCTGCCCGCCTCCCCCTGCTGATGGTTTCGGTATTTGTTCGGAGTCTTGCGGACACGACGGAGCATGTGCACAGACTGAGAAATGCTGTCCCAATAGCTGTGGTGCCCACCAGTGTACGCCGGCCATTACTACAGGTCAGTGTGGAATTATTGTCGACTATGTTAAAGTCACACAGTTAGGCACTAACTTCAATTGTGTGCAGTTGTCACACGTGCAGTTATGCATTCGTTCAGTTTTTTTTCTAGGTTGAAACAAGACATCCACAAGAAATGTTATTTCACCATAAACATAATTTCGAGAATTGCCTGCCTATGGGCTCTGTGCACAAGTACCCCCTCAACGGTAAGAAAGGGAGAGTTGGGGGAGACCACTGGGAGAGCCAGTCGTACACACTGCTGATGATGTGGGGCGCTGTGGTCCAATGGTTACAGTGTTCGACTCGTGTGCCGTGGTACATTGGTTCGAATCCTGACCGTGGGAACATGGTGCTTGTGCTCTTGAGCAAGGCACTTTACCATTATTGCTTCGTCCTTCGGATGGGACGTAAAACCGTAGGTCCCGTGTGTGTGTTGTGAAATGCACGTTAAAGATCCCAGTATACACTTGTTGCTAAGAGAAGGGGTTTGCCCCGGTGTTTCTGGCAGTGGCAGCAATATGCGCCGCAGCACCTAGCAAAAAGGTGCTCTAATGGGTCTCATTTGTTCATGTACTTCATTTACCTGTCTTTGGTTGCATTCTCCCCCAGCGCTTTGTATCCTTTGGAAAAGGGGCTATATGAATATGGTTATTATTATTATTATTATGATGTCTGACACTCACTCAAAGATGCAATGGTTTTGAGCACATTCAGAATAAATAAGTCGTGCGAACTTCGCGCTATACGTGCGTGAACCAGGACGTTCACTTGGTGTGTCCCGCTCACTGGGCTCTTGAAAGTGGTAAAAAAAAAACGCCCTCTGTTGTTTGCGCATAGAACCCATTCAAAATAAAGTCGGCAAAAGCATTTTCCAAAAGGTTGTATGCCTGATGTGAAATCATACCAGCCGTCCAAGATGTGACTGAAGTGTTTTTATATCTTTGTTCACTATTCAGATGTGAAGCCTGGTACCTGCCCTGAGGTTACCGGTGATGGTGCGGGTATTTGCGTGGAAGCCTGCACAGCCGACTCAAACTGCACAGGATCCGAGAAATGCTGCCGTAACGGTTGTGGTCATCAGTGCTTAGAACCGGTCAACAGACCTGGTAAATCCTGAAACTGATCTGGGTTGATAATGTAATTATCTTCAAGCAAAACTTGTATCCTCGATCCTGATTGGTCGATCCATGGCAACAACAGTGTGATATGAGGCTGTATTGCACGGTCCATATCGCACCCTGCGTATTGCACTATTCCAAGATGCGAGCGACATTCCAGCATGCGCTAAACCGCTAAAAGGTTCGTGTATAAAAGCGATGGTCTAACTTTACTGCGCGTCAAGTTTGCTTGAAGATAAATTCGTTATCACGCTCGCGCTCGTGGAACACGGAAAATGTAGTGCGTCTGTGTCCCACATACCACAGACGCACTAAATTATTCCGTGTTCCACTCGCGCTCGCGGGATAACTTATAATACGTGTACTGCTCAAAATCCACCCTAATTTGTTCGGTTTACGCTCTGCAATGTATTTTGGATTAAAGGATGGTTGTAAAGGTTATTCGGTTACTCAAAATTCAAAATATTCCAACATCAAGCTAGAGAGTAAAGTTTATTGAGCACTGCTGCAGTGGTTGCAGGTTCGATTCCCGCTTTGGCCACTATTGTCATTGTCTTTTCACACAGTGGTACGAGCTGGTGAATGCCCCATTGGCACTCTGCCAGAAGGCGTCAACGGCATCTGCTCTGACATGTGCCAGGAAGACTCGGACTGTTTGGATAACCAGAAGTGCTGCTCCAACGGTTGTGGCCGTGTTTGTATGACCAGCGTGAATGCACCAAGTGAGTTGTCAAGACCTTATGACTCTGTACACAAGCAACAACATGAATGAGGAAATAAATATGTGCTGGACCGGTCTAAAACAAGTACATTTCAAACTAGCTAGGGGCCTGGTCTTCAATAAAAGCACTCGCCTTTGGTTCAGGTCATTATTCGCGTCCATCAGCCAAGCTGATGTGCTTGTTTATCAGCCAAGCACATATTTATTCCGATTCATAAATACCTTTTGGTCGGAAAGTCAAAACAAGTTCAAAATTCACAAATTTTCAATGATTTTTGAACAATTTTTACTTCACTCCACTGGTCATGTCTATGGTTTGTGCATCACACGTGTAGTGCTAAAAATCTCCTTATATGGAAATTGGCGCGCGTGCCATGTGTGCTGCGCCATGTGGGCTGCGCAATGTGGCGCAGAATGCAGCTGTGTTTTACCGGCAATTTAAAACCACCTGCGTAACAGGCTCTCAACCAATAATAATTGGTAAACTGTCTAGGTATTTATGAATACCATTTGTTATTACTTGGCACACTAATGTCAAAGAGCTAAACTTGAGAAACTACTTTCCATGGAACCATTAACCAGTTTGGCAATAGAATGAACACGCCACATGCAAGATAGATGCTTTTAATTCCAAGATGCGCTAGAACGTTAACCAATGAAAGAAGCGCTTTTGGCTCATGAATATGTACGAGGTATACAATAAAGTTATTGACCATTTATTATGTTATAGGCATCTGTGATGAACTGATGTGTACCATGTTCTGTGACTATGGGTTCAAGAGAGATGACAACAACTGTGAAATATGTGCTTGCAATGACCCCCCAGGTAGGGCAAATATCAAGTCTTGTCCCAGTGTGATACTTAACCAGTATTGACTGCTTTGAGTGGTATAGTATTAAAAAGCTAACATTTCAATGTGACCTGTTTTCAGCATTTAATTTTACGAAACAATCCACTTTTGGTGTTTTGGTTTTGTAGTGGTCCATGTTGGTGAGTGTCCCGCAATCAACAACGGAGGTAGTTTTGGCATTTGCACAGAATCCTGCATGTCTGACGGCGATTGTGAGCAACATCAGAAGTGCTGTTCAAACGGTTGTGGCCACGTCTGTGTGGATGCCATCAATATCCCAGGTAATACTGCGTTATCAGTTTCCTATTTAGCAATTGTTAACCGCTGTGATGTGGGACATGGAGCATGACCTTGTCCCTGGTGTTCGAGATAATTTCACATGGCCACCTCGTGTTTTTCCAATTACTATTAATTATCATTATTAGTCAGGGAAAAATATATGCTTGGCTGGTTTTATAACTGGCTAGGGACCTGTGCACGGATATTTACCAGAGCGAAAGGCGAGGGCTATTATCGGCAACCAGGCCCAAAGCAGATATTAATAAATGTACTTGTTTAATACCGGCCAAGCACATATTTATTCCCACTCATAAATACTTTTCGGTCAAAAGTAACAACAACTCAAAAATTATATATTTCCAACAATTTTGTTCAACAATTTTACTTCATGTTTTTTTAAACGCCCCTCCAGCTATGGTTATGGTATGTGCCTCTCGCGAGTAGTACTGCAAATCTTATATGTACAATGGCAAACACGTGGCCCTTACTGCGCGATGTGGCGCAGAATGCAGCGGTGCTGGTGTAGTATGAATTTAGGACTCTATGAAATACAGACTCATTGGTAGTATTGCGCACGCCAATTTTGTTGTTGTGAATGTTCGACCAATAAAAGGGTAAAAGGACCAAATTTTGTAAGAGTCCAAATGAAGTGACACCGAAAAAAATGTGTTTAAAACCAGTTGGTGTATTATCAGCCATTTAAAACCACCTACGTGATGGGCTCTTGACCAATAGGATCGGGTAAGTTGTCTTTTAAGTTATTTATGAATACTTTTTTTGTGCTAAAGTAGCCAAGGATTGCTCAAAGCACTATTAGAAGCTAGAAGAAACCTGTGGATAAAAGACAATGAAGAAACTTTCAGTTTAGAGTAGAGAGGAAAATCCTGGATACATATTCAAGGGTCTCAAACGACATGTTGCCCTGGGTGGTATCTGAACCGTACCGACAGAAGTTGGTGAGGACATCCCAAGAAGTCCAGGTACCAGGTTCCCTATCCCTGAACTTTATACGTTTTACAGTTGTTCATGCAGGCTCCTGTCCCGTCGGGGCCTTGCCTGGGGGGATGTCTGTGGGGGTGTGTGTGGATGTGTGTGACAGCGATGATGACTGCGACTCTGATATGAAGTGTTGCTCCAACGGCTGTGGACACCAGTGCCTCAAAGCGGTTGACATCCCAGGTAGGGCCAAATCCATTTGAGTAGATAAATAATTGATTGTTAAACGTGTTCATTCCTTTGAGCATCTGAATACACGTATTCTTGTCACCAGAAAACGACTTATAGTTGACTTTTAATGGACTTGCGATGATCTTTAATTGACGTGATTAACTTTGTTAACTACTTGGCTTAACTTGCGATGGAGATGTTATTGACTTGAGCTTTGATTATTTTTGATTGTTATTTGAATCATTATCTGTACAGTCATCTGCCCAGACGTCATGTGCATGATTTTCTGCACCCATGGATTCCAGAAAGATGAGAATGGCTGTAACGTGTGTACTTGTAAAACGGAGCCTGGTAAGACACTTCTTCCAATGTTGTCCAAACGCAAGAGTCAAAACAGCTTCTATATCTTCCACACGAATTGGAATACCCATGATGCAAGGTCTAACATCTTGTTGGAACACTCATAACCCAGGACCATTTTGTGTTCAGGGCCCACTCTGCTGTCAAATAAGCAGAACAGCCTTTGCTGTCGGTAAAAATATTTGTGGGGTTAGTACTGTTCAAGCTGCAAGTATTCTGTTTCTACAGGGTTGGTGCTGAATATGTACACATTTTGTACTGAGTTTTGTTGAGGTTAGCAGAACTGTAATATTGGGCCCAGTGCTCGGACCCAGACTTCCTGGTGCACTCAATTACAACATTCTCATGCCGTAATTTATAACATTGTTACATAAATATGTCAAAGCTTTTCAAAATAATAAACCATTGGGTTTTATACACAAGTTTGAGATTAGAGAGGTCTAGGCCTATACTCTATCTACCAAACAATAACTTTTGTGTATAAGGCAAAAAAAAATAATAAGTCAGTCTCTGGTCAGCGCGCGCGTCGATTTTAATCATGCGCGTCAATCTTTTTTTTCCAAAAAGTTCCGCAGTAGCTCCAACAGCGCCCTCTATTGCCGCACCTCCTCAATTTTTTTTTACCAAAGAGCACCAAGGAATGGAAATTGCACCAAGGCAAATGATCGAGAGCACCAAGGCAAATTATGCAGGACACCAATGTACATGAGGACACCAAAAAAAGCAGAATAGTACCCAACCTTGTCTGTACAATCCAAGCTTGAAGAAAAAGAAAAAAAGCAACAAAAAAAAAAAGCCGAGTCCCTGCGTCAATTCCGGAACTTTGGTCTGACAGAGACCGAATATTTATTTTTTTTTTGGCCTAAAAGAGAAGTGATATCGTGGTAAAGTGGCTTGCCCAAGGACATTATGTACCATGATTTCCAGGCAGAAATGGAACCCACACCTAACAAATCAGATACAGTACTTATCGGACAACAAGCTTCACAGAAAATTGACATAAAATTCACAGAAATCACTGGGGAATATTTTTTTAAAGCATATCAGTCACTTATTGTCCTCATTGATGTAATGTTGCACTGGCACAAAATATCACCTCCCATCAACGAGTTCTTGGTTGTATATTTTAGTGACTTGTCCGCCGATCTTGTGCCAACGGTTCTGTGAGGAAGGAGCTTTCATTGATGAGAATGGTTGTGACACGTGTCAGTGCAAAGGAGACCCAGGTATGCAACCCCTCTTGACTTCACCATAAATTGACTTAAAGGTAATATACAACATTTGCACACATCGAAAAACAAAACTACCAAATTACTATGAAATACCTTACTGACTCTAAGTAACAATAGTCTCAAGCATCCTGTGAAATCATGGCACCTGGTGTGCTGTTATTTTCAAGAAAAGTTGAATTTTTGTATCCATTTCCAGCGATGGTCGGCCGACCATTTTTGGAAACAAACTGACTTTTTCAACTGCTGCCCCCAATTTACCAAATTTAGTTAGTCCACATTTTGTTTGCAGTCTGTTGCACTCCGTGAACGGGTGCAAGCCAGCTAGGCTGGTTCACTGACCAGACTACTCCCCGATGTCTATAAATTGGCCATTTCCTCTGAAGTAGGGTCAGGGAACCAGACTACAAGAACAGCAATTGTTTTCTTGTTTTTTTGTTTTTTTTGCCAGCATCCACGAATACAAAACTTTAAACAGGTCACTGTTACGATATTTGCTATAAAATACTTACCCCAAAATCCATCTATTTCTCAAAATTACAGCCAAAGCAAATGTTGTATTACCTAAAGCAAAAAAAATCACTAAAAAAAATATCACTATATCTTTACATTCGGTCTTGTCTCCTATTGGCTTCAACTGTAAAAATCCAGGGGACTATGTTTCCAAAATGCTCACATAAACCAGGACTAGTACTTAAGAGTCATTTCGTGTAAATACTTCATAGAAGTGTCCACGCTCAAAAATCAAATTTTTTAAAACTTTGTGGGATGAAAGGGCTTGGGGAGCAAGTAACCAAAATAGACTTTTTAAACTTTTATTTTGCCCGTTGCCATGGTTACGGACGGCTATGTGTTTTTTCCATTTTATGTGTGCAATTTTGAGGCTGCAAAAATTCATTTTTTTGCGTTATTTTCAAAGGGTAAAAAATGCAATTTTGCTAGTTGTAAAAACATGCTGTATTATAGGGCCTAAAAATAATATAAAGGGGATTTTTCAGAAAAGTTTTTAATTTTTTTCTTGTAAGGGTAAGGATGATACTTTGTCATGATATAGTTACTTTTGTGACATTACTTCGCAGTTTGGCTTGATGACCTTTGAAATTAACGCCTCAAAATTGCCCCAAAATGGCCAAAACACATAATGGCCCGTAACCATAAACCATAAACGGGCAAAATATCGGTTTAAAAAGTCTATTTTGGTTACTTGCTCCCAAAGTCCTTTCATCCAACAAAGTATAAAAAAATTCGATTTTTTGAGCGTGGACACTTATATGAAGTATTTACATGAAATGACTCTTAATATATAATGAGTGTTAATAAGACCTAACTATGTGACTGTTGTGACCAGAAAGATGGGATTCTTTTTATTTATTTGACTTTAGATATTTGCTCACCGATTATGTGTAACATGTTCTGCAATTACGGCTTTGAGAAGGATCCAGTGACTGGATGCGACATCTGCTCCTGTAATCAGCCAGGTACTACCCCATCTAGCCAACTTGCCTGCTTCATCAGATTATAGCACCCAAAAGCCTGTTTGAACGTTTAAGGCCGACTCCTATATGAGATTGTGGGGTGTAGTCTAGTGGTTAGGGTTTGAGACTCATGATCTAAGGGTCAGAGGTTCACATCCTGCTGCTGGTTGTTTCATTGTGTCCTTGGGCAAGCCACTTTACCCTTACTTGCCTCTCTCCACCCAGGAGTATAAATGGGTACCAGCATTAGCTGGGGAGTAACCTGCGATGGCCTGGCATCCCATCCAGGGGGAATAGAAATATTCTCGGTTTCATGCTACTGAAACTGGAGATAAACGCCGGCCTTATGGGCCACATTGGCTTGTGACGTACCACATTCAATGATTGTTTTCTTCCAAATATTGCCATTTCAGGTGCAATGATTTCTCGGGGAACTTGGTACCGGTCCTATCTTCATGTTGGCTGGGTTTTTTTCATTAAATCGGTCGTTCTGTTTCTGGGTACTTTATTTACCAATCTTCATACGTGCCTTCCAGTTCATGTTCGTTTCTGAGATGTAATTCAACATTTTTGTTTTCGCTTCTCTCAAAAGTCTTCCACGCTGGCGAGTGCCCATCTACAGTCGATGTGATTGGTCTGTGTGGTGAATTCTGTGCGCATGATGGAGACTGCTTAACCAATCAGAGGTGTTGTTCCAATGGCTGCGGCCACACTTGCGTGGAGGCAATTCAGCAAACAGGTGAAAGAAACAATCAAGTCAAGATGATGTCCAACAAATAATTAACCGAGAATCATTGACAGGCTTTCAAGTATTCCTATTTTTCCTAGTGTTTTTACCTTGCCCCTACTTTCCTACTTCTTGTTTCTACTTTTTGTTGTCCCACATCCGGTAAATGAAATCGTGTTGAATATTTTTCATAATGGTGTTACACACTGTCGTATGTAATTCACACAATGAAGGGCTTGGGCGCAGGAGTACTGCAACTGTACTTCCAAGAGCTTAGTTGAGGATGGAGCACAAGTGTTGCGAGTACAGAACATGCCAAATGAAGATTATGATGCTGTGGACATGAGTTAGTATAAGCGAAACTACTCCTGAAAGCCCACAAAAGTCCTACTTTTAACCTGATTTTGTCCTCCAAAGTCCTAATTTTGTCCTGTTTGTTTTAAAAATCTGCTTCCTACTGTTCATGTTCTCCTACTTTTTCACCTGGGTCTGCTTGAAAGCCTGCCTAAAATAAATATTTATTTCCCATGTCGGAGTTGGGTTTTAAATACGGTGTTTTTGTTACACCTCTGCAGTGCTTAAGCCAGGAGGCTGCCCGGTTATCGAAGATGACAGAGTAGGAATTTGTGTGGATAACTGCACCACAGACGCTGACTGTGTCAAAGATCTCAAATGCTGCTCCAATGGGTGCGGCCACTCCTGCTTGGAACCTAAAAAAGGTACGTAGTTTTCTCCAAAGTGAATACATTTTCTGGGGTTGCAGAGGTAAAATTGTTGATCACCCTTTTCTTGACTAAGCGATTTTTCATTGAACACGATCTGTACTGAGTCCCTTGTTGAGGCTTTCACATTAGTTGACACCTTCTTGTGATGTCACACTATTGTTATCTCTCATTATTTTGCACGAATGGAGCCCGGTGTGCCATTCGGTATCCTACAAATGGCGTGCTGCGCGCATATTTTTTTTTTTTCCAGTAGGTGGGTGAAGCTGCTTATGAATAATTCAGTAATTTCATAGGATCACCTTAAGACACTTATGTTTTGTTCTCCTTTTTCCTCCTTCAATAAAAACTATTGATGAAGTTGGAGCAGAAAAATTGTCATTGGAAAAACGGGCATTGCAGGATTCGAACCAGCGACTTTTTAATCCATAGCTCATCTCATTAAATACTAGGCTACTGTGTCAGCTGGACGACTGCTGTTCTTAAAATGTAACTAATTGATTAAATAATAACAATGATAACAATCGTTGTTCTTTTCTGATGAACAAACATAATTTTCCATTTTAACAAATTCCAAAATGAAGATGTACAGAGGCCTTCATTCAAGCAATAATGGAGAATTTTTGGAGGGTATTAAGTATAGTTTATACACTCGCTAGCGGGCCGTTCATAAGTAATAAATGGCCCTCATTCTCACCCATGAACGGGGACTCCTCGTGTATTGTCCTTAACGTCACGTTTAGCCCATACTCTACCGCACTGCTCAGGTGTGCATTGGGGTACTAGGACAAATGACTATTGCCCCACCTGGGCAAGTTACTGTAGACCTTGATCATGCTGCCACCATTTCAGTCATGTTTCCAGTATCCATTAATAGTACTGAATGATACTTTTTGTGTGCAAAAAAGAACCAGACTATTTTGCCTTCCAACCTCGCTTTGGTCATGTTGATTTGAATGGGAAAAACTCAAGATGGCCGCAACATGATAATGGTCTTTTGTGCCCATCTCTGTTCCTTATGCTAGTAGCCGTTTGTTATCCAAGAAGCTTTAACCCTTGTTATGACTGACTTCCATTAAAAAAGGACTAAAAATTAAACAAGGTCGCGTAGAGGGCAGCAGTCATCGTGAGCACTGAAGGCGTGACTTTTTCGAGGGCAAACTATCAGGAACACAGGAAGGTCAAATTAGAACATGGAATTTTGAGCCAAAGCCGAAATTCATGACAATGCCGTGGTTTGAAAAACATCTTTACACTTGTATTGTTTTTGTCATTGGGATAGATACGAAACCAGGGATGTGCCCAATAGTGACTGGGGATTCTCATGATGATTCCAGCTGTCTTGATGAATGCAAATATGACACAGACTGTGAGAATGTCTTGAAATGCTGTCACAGGAGCTGTGGACACGTCTGCATTGAACCACGACAAGGTAAGACATCATTTCAGCTTTCGTAGGTAATACGTCGTAGAAGTGTGACGTCACACTGGGTCGTCTCCAATAGTGATCGGTGTAAACATTGGGTCGTATGTATAAATACTAGTAAATGCTAGAAAGTTTAAGCAAAAAGTAAAAGCATTTACTTTGGAGTACAAGCATTAAGGAAAAGCAAATGCTTGATTTCGTATGAATACAAGTTTTCCTTTACTGTTCAGCATTTCCTAGACAACAGGTAGCAAATGCTTCTTACTGTTGGATTGTTTTCATGGATGAATGATTGCCAACAATAGGGTCTCTTTTGTGTGTACGAACTGCCACACACACACGGAGGGTTTACATGTGGTGTAATAGTCAAAATCAAGGTGATGCATACAGTACATGTAGTAGTACATACATTTTGATCCTCAAATCCAGCAAAAATCATGACACTTTTCGGCAGTTGCAGAATACAGAAAGCATACTTTCATCATTCATGAAAATTGTTAAGGTGCATAGTGTCCTGTAGACGTCACAATTGCATAAAAATCACAGACGTGTTAAAGCGGGTAAAATCATACCAACATTCAATACACAAAGAGTTTTGTTTATTGAAATATTAAAAAAATAATAGTTTGCAAAGATTGGTGACCTAATAAACTAAACAAATTAATTCATTTTGTTCAGTCCCCAGGGTGCCGTTGGATAAAATTTATCCTTAATTATTCTGTGCTGCACTGAATTTTACGCTAACACTTCTCATATCGTGAACAAAATGCGAAATTATTGTTTCTAATTCTAGTAATAAAATACATAATAAAAAAGTATTTAAATTGCGCATAAATGTTAGTCAAAATACAGTGTATGGTATTATATGTAGTTTATTAACATTTTGTGTCAATTTCGGGGCGATTTATATTAATAAATGCAGCAGTTTTTGCGCAGAAGTATTTGCTTTATTTTTTCAAGGTTGCCCCAACCCAGCCTTGAAAAATGACCAGTAAATGCTTGAAATCTGAAGCATTTACTCCTTTTTATTCATACGAAATGAAGTAAACACTTCTAGTCTAGCGAAAGCTAGCAAGTAAAAAGTAAATGCTTTTAGCTTTCAGCAAATGCTTTCCAGTAAAAGCATTTGCTTCATTTTTATTCATACAAATGCAAGTAAATGCTTAAAAATGGGTAGTAAAAGCAAATGCTGTTTTTATACATACGACCCAATGTCTCTTTTTGCCATTGAATTGTATTGGTAATTTAAATAAACAGTTTCTGCTTGAAATTTCTCAAACATTAAGAATAGATAAGACTGGAAAATGGGACGGAGCTTCGTATATTAAACTGACCTTATAGTCATCAATCAGAACGTGAAGTGCCGTTATTGTTTTTTCAACGCACCAAAAACTGTCGAAAAAGTGGGCACCGCACCGTGCCTATTGCTATGTTAGGGATATGTGTGTTTGAACATCACCTCGGGAAATGCGTGACCTAGTTGGTGTATGACGTAACCACTTTTACGGCCTATATAATGCTGGGGAAGAATTGAATAAAATAGATTCGAAACTCAATAAATTGGAATCATCTACCATACTCTTCAAGGAATCAATACTCCATAGTATGTAATTCTAGTTACCCAAGCATTAAATCCAGTATACATGTAGGTTCTAAAGATCAGGCAATTCTGGCTAGAAATGGATTCTAGGAACTCCATTCATAATTCTCAACGATTACTAAGAGAGAGTTGGGGGCGACAACGTTGAGGGACTAGCACTGATACACAACTTGCAAACCCTGTTTTGTTACGACCAACTGTAGTCTAGGCCTGCAAATCATATGAAAACTAAAACATACCTTTGTAGAAATCAACAAGAACAACCTCCTTGTCATAAGACCACACTGTTCTACCTACAACTGTCATTTCGTGATGAGGACAACTTTAGTGGCGACGAAAAAATGGCTACCGCTAAAATACTTTTCGGCAGTGTGAAACATGACGTCATCCGGTCTGTGCAATCTGATTGGTAGTTGCCTCCGAAAGTTGCCTCAAAGTAGAAACCCATTCTACTTGAAATTTACCTGCCTCCGAGTTGCCAGCGTATTGCTTTCGGATCGCATGACATGACACACAAGGCCATCTGTGAGCAACCAGATTGCCAGCAACTTTTATTGCTTCAAAATTGCCCAAAAAATTGCCCCGTGTGACATCGGTTTAAGAGTGTTCTCGACTTTAAATAAAGTAACAGCTTTTGGATTTCACCATATGCTGTGGTCACTGCAGCCAAAAAAATGACATAGTGCTCATATAGGGTTCGTGACTCATGATCTGAGAGTCAGGGGTTCGAATCCAGCTGCTAGCCATATGCTGTGTCCTTGGGCAAGCCACTTCACCCCAATTTACCTGCCTCTGTCTGCCAAGAGTAAAGGTGTGCCAGTTTTAGCTTGGGATTCAACATTGTACATATATGCTAGATCTAGACTAGCCTCCCATCCAGGTGGAAGAGAAATATTTTCAGTGGTCGAATGCCAGAGAAACAGAAGACAAACACCGGCCTGATGGGTCATGTTTGCGTGTGAGATTGATTTAAGTTCAAAGCAGTCAGTTCATTATAGTGGCAGTTTAGTCATTACCACTTTTTGGTATCTTTCTGGCCAACAGTTGAGGACCTGTTTGGCGACCCTGGAGCGGGGCAGACAGCGTTGATGTCATCCGTGATTGCAATCTGCACTGCAGTCTTTGTAACCATGACGCTGATGTAATTCAGTGATCGCAACAGTGATGTGCTCAGACTCGTTTTGCCGTCCATCACTATACGATTTTGTATTATACTTGAGAGAAATACACCATTCGTATTGTCATCCAGCTAACATTTTTCACAAAAGTCTTCATAAAATTTCAGTCTTTTCCCATTCTCTAACATTTCTTGTCCAAGGTGCAGTGCCATACCTTTGTCACTTCCAACATGTTATAACCTCTGTCTTCACTTGCTTTCTGTCGGTCATTTTACTTCATTGACCTTTCATTTTCTTGTTAGACAAAGTTGTTTTCATCCTTGTCCACTTGTGTTTACGCTATCTCCTCCTATTTGGCTTCTTCATGGTAACTCTTCTATCATTTACACATCTCATTCCCTTATACCAAACAGGGTGTGTCAGACAGAGCCCACCTCATGCAGCTCTTTAGCAGTAACCTTTCTCATCATCTTGTTTTGCTCATGCTTCACTCCAAAACATTCCCTGCCGCATTTGTTTGTTTGTGGTCGTCTTCCAAGCAGTAAACCAGTGGTCAGGACTGCTTTTTCTTATAGTTGACACAGTTCTGGTTAGACAAGCCCTGCATACATTTCCACTCTGTTCTAGTACTATACTACGTGTTTCCCTTAGTCTGTGCTCAAATTCTTTGTAAGGCTAAACAAACTAAAATGGTGTGTTTACGGTAACCCGACCGACCTGGAATTTTTGTCGGCCAAATTGCCGACCTCAAACTTTTTATTGCCATTTTGAAGGTTGATATTGATCATTTTTAAATGAACACATTTCAAAAATGTCAAGTACTTTTAATAATTTGCCACGAACATAGACCATTTTCCGCACTTGAAACTGACCATGATTTGACACAAACATACCTGTGTTAAACGTGCGAAAATCGCGACGATCTCAAAACTTGAATTCTCAAACTACATGAAGTACGATTATTTTTGCACAAACGCACCGGGGTGAACTGGTGCGCCTGGCCGACGGACGGCAGGGTTCTCCCCACGTACAAAGTGCGTACTGCGAATCGGCCCGACAAAAATGCCGATCACATTTTTCAGCCCCCGATACGCACAATATAATTATTATTCACGCCATTAAAATGCACAATATAATCGTTACATACGCCATTATTTCATCTTGACATGCAAAATCTTGACAAAGATGATGCATGTGTGATAAAAATGCACACAATGACGGGTTCTGTCGACCGCCAACTGACAGGCATGCAGCATGGTCACTGGTTCCCTTCGCGTGCTAACGGAATCCATACTTTAATGAAGGACCGGAACCAGTGACTACTGCCTATACAAACGCCGTACCACGATGATGTTGTGCCGTCGGCCGAAGTTGGATCGTAAAAATACCAAACAAACATCGATGGAGAAAGAGAATTTCTGCGAATTAATTCACTGAACGTGATCTTTATTTTCTGTGTATGTGTTTTCCATTAAAATGACGAGATTGCAAAGCTCGAACTTGTGGCGTAACATCGTAGCGTGTTTCTGCAGTAGTGCAAGATTTTCGGCCACGTGGGATGGGCCGTACACAGTGCAGTAATGCACACTGATACTGGGCCGTGAGCACGGCGCGATGTTCGGCCAGCCAGGCGGAATGTCGGCGGTGCCAGCGGCCGTGATGTATGTTAAGCATATAGTGGCATCACCCACCTCAAAATATTTTTTATTAGGTGAGGCAAGTTTTAATCACTTTTGATGGCCAGTCTTGATAGTTTTCTTGGCGCAAATGAAAATAATCCAGGCACAAAATAAACATGATTCCTTGCTCTATGATGCTCCATTAATCAGCACCCCATAAAAAGTGGCGAAATAATTTTTCCGACCTATTGACGCTATTTTGAAAGGCATGTAATCGGAAGCAAAAGGATTTTTTTCTTCACTTTAATTTCTTAATTTGAAATTTATTTGCAAATGTAATTTTGATTTTTTTTCTTTAATTACAAAAATAGGGGCCTAGAAGATCTTCTCTCAAAAATTTTCGGGGCCCTTAAAAAGCGGGCTCCGAACCCCACGCCATGGCTTCGCAGGTTGTTGAATCACAGCAAAACTTCCCTCACAGGTTTGAAAAAATCCCGGGGAGAACCCTGGGACGGCACGATTTAATTTGGAATGAAATGTATCTATTGAGTATCTTGAATGCTTGAATAATGTTTTTATACAAATCTTTTGCGAAAGAACACGCATGAGCCTGCAGAACTGAAATTAAAAAAAAATTCAAAATAAAATTATTTCCCTACCTACCTACCTGGATTTCTTCAGACCGTTACCGTAAACACACCATTGTTTTTGTTTGGCCTAACCCCAAAGTCCTCTGCATAAATGTATGTTCCTTGTTGTCTCTCTTTCAGACAGATTGTTCATTTATCACACTAGACTCTGGACATTCAGTCTCTGAAGTCTTTCTTGTCCATAACTTTCTGCCTATACTCTTGTCAACCAAAGCATTGTTCTCTTATTAATATAGTCCTGTCCATTGGCTTTCTAATGGGTTGTTTATGAGGCTAATGGTTACCTAGCTGGCTACTACATCTTCATGTTACGCAAAGTCCATGAAATCTTTTCATCCACTTCTAGTCTCGAAGCTTATTACCATAGGGCTGTGCCCATCCAGTAACTCCTAAGTTTACTTTCCTGTGCTGATATGCATGTTACGATACAATGTATTTACCTCATTATGTTGCATTTTTATAATTGGCTATAAAACCCGTTTTCAATCTGGCGTTGCATAGTTGCATCGAACCAAAAAGCAAAGGAAGAGGCTCTATCGAGTATCAATCCAACAAAATTAGCTGGCCTAAAGTTTCGGTCTTCAAGCTACAGTTCATCATTTGCAGCCATCCAAAAAGTAACTGACGTAATTATTGTTTGAAAAACGTACTTGGCTGAAACATATAAGGGGGCTAAACTCCCTGTGAAATTGTTCTTTCTGACATGCTGTCATTTTGAAGAAATCAACGAAATTAGGCCTTTCCAACGATGCATCTCAAGACGCATCGTTTGAAATTTTCGTTGGCGAAGTGCGTTGACACGACGCACACGCGCGGCCGGTTGCTATAATTTGTCAGATCAGTGCGCGACATCGCGTAGGTAGGTGCAACCGGCTCAGCGAGAACTTGTCTCGGACGCTGAATTTAGGCCCAATTCAAAACATTTGCAACTTTTGATTTGAAATCGAGATCCTAGAATGTTGTTTTTCTCAGAATACACAGCTGAAGCTGAGCTGAAACTTCATCAGGTTAGTTGTTCAGCACCCTTCTTAAGATTTTGAGCACGTTTGTTGCTTCAAATGAACAAAAATGCACAAATTACAAATGATTGACTGTAAAGGCAAGACCTTTCTCAAAGGGTTTGAGAAAGAAATCAGACAAATGGACTTTATGTATTAATTTTTCATTTACTCGACTGTGGAGTCATTCCGAAATACTACAGTAGTCGATCTTCCAAAGCATGTGCCTGTACATGTATGTAGTTGCTCTAAACTGTTTTTAAACATCACTTACAATCGAATTTTAGGAATAATTTTGGTTCGAGTCGACTCTTGATCTCTAGTCTTCAATGCACTTAAAGTTTCATATGTTAATTTTAGTCAAAGCTACGCCTTTTATGCAATATCTGCTTTGTATACCACTTTTTGTGCATATATAGAACAGAGCAGTATTTTTTTAAGGAGGCTTATCGTAATTAAATTAGCAAGTTAGGAGCTTCGTATCTTTCCATCATGTCATAAAGTAGAAATAAAATGCAAAATGGTTATTACTGATATATCTGGTTTATATGAACGCAAGTTCGAATTTATTCCGTTGCTGTGAACAAACTGCTGTGGAATGGTGCGTGTGAACTAACTACATTTGTCTCACTGACTCGTTAAAATACATTCGACGTGATTGTACCAAACTAGAATCAAGATCGCAAACAGAACAAGACTTAATTGCGTAAACGTAAGCAATATAGCGTTACAAATGAGTAAACTAGTATGGTATAATTCTATATTCTTTTCTTTAACATGAAAATGTATACATCCTTTTCAAGTTCTCTATTTATCCGTTGAAAAACAAACGATTTTTGTTTTAATATGCATCATATTTTGTTTCTACATCTGTGTAAATACGTCAAAGCAAAACAAACACAACATCATGATTGTCATTCGCCATTAAACTTATAGATGTCAGATAATCACTCGTGCCGAACAGAATGGATATAATATCCTAGTTATTCAGTTTGAAAAACACCTTTGAAAAGGCTGCTTTTGCTGTATCTTTTGGCTTGCTTTTTAACAGCAGCATCGCGTTTTACTTTCATGAATGCGTTCACTGCATTTGTCTGCGCCCGCAGCGTGGCAATGCGCATGGTCGTAGTTCGCTTGAAACGCTCGGAGAGCGGCTTGTCATTATTGGACAGAATCTGCTCGGTCGACAGTTTCGGGTCAATCCGAGTCTCGCTCTCATGCTTGGCCCTTTCCAGGAGCTTGTTCCGCCGGCGCAGTTTCCGCTGCGCGATTTCCTCCTCCTCTCTCTGCATGGCCGTCCCCATTTTCGAATGGTACGCTCCTTGGTATCTCCCGAAGGGCTTCATCTCGGCAGTGGGCGGGACCTGATTATTCTCGCGCGGGGGTGGCGCGTTTCTCAAAAGCGCCCTCTTGTACAAGTCATGGTCTTTCAGCGTCTCCTTCAGTCGCTGGTTGACGTTGTCATAGTGATTCTCCCGAAGCTGGATTTTGAAGTCGATTTGTTTGGTGGCTCGTTCAAGGCGGAGTTTCTCCATAGCGTTCAGTGTGCTGGCTCGCCGTACAATTTTATCGCTGACGCTTTGCAAAGCCAACCAGCGGTCGAAACCGCTAGGGAAGTCACTGGTAGAACCCTTCTTCAGTTTCTCTGATATCGCCATACCGGTCTCGTATCACACGGAACCTGCAAACAAAATCAACAACAAACAAAAACAGTCTTTATGTATTAACTCATTCATTCACGTTCAAATAAACCTTTCTGGTATTCACATTGCCTCGTAAGTTCGTGTATAATTATAATTGCCCGAGTTGTGATCCATACCAAAAATGCTGCGAACGTCAAAATGGGTATTATCAGTTTAAGAGCTAATCCAAACGAAGGCGCCGCCTCTTCAAACAATTACATGTATAGTGGTTTATTCACACATGCGATTTCACGACTCGAGTGTTTGATTAACAGCGTGCCCAAATTTGCACCGACGGATCAGTTTAAAGGGAAAATACAACATTTGCAAACATCAAAAAATAAAACTACCAAATCATTTTGAAATACCTTGCTGGACTGTTAGTGAATGACAGTGTAAAGCATCCTGTAAAATCATGGCACCTGGTATACTGTCATTTTCAAGAAAAGTGCTATTTTTGTTAAAAAAAACTGGTTTTTTTTTCAAATACTGGCCCCAATTGACCATCACACTTATTTGCAATCGATTACACACCTATGAACGGGTACAAGCCAGCTAGACTGGTTCCCTGACCTTACAATTCCCCAATGTATGTAAACTGCTCTGTTTCTTCTTATATTGAGTCAGGGAACCAGACTACAGGAAAATGATTGTTTTTCTTGGTTTTTATAGCATTTTCGAACCCAAAACCTCAAAAAAAGTCAGTGTAACTATATTTGCTATATATTTCCAACCCCCCAATGCCATCCATTTCTGAAAATTACAGCAAAAGCAAATGATGTAACAAACATCGATCGATGAGAAGCGTAGCGTGTGTTTTCGGTCGGTTCAGCACTTCAGCTGTTTGGAGAAACAATAATGATGGAAATGTCGTATGTATTTGCTCCGGAATTGGATGAATAAAACACAAGTTGCAAAAGGGGATATCTTACGCATGAATGAAACTTTAATTAGGCTTGGGATGTGTATCCAATTTATTGAAATTGATGGTTAAACAGCATCTATTTTATGGCGAAGACGGCTGGCACATTTTGATGCTACCGTAATCCTAGACGTCGTTATAACGTGGTGTAATTACATCCCTGCGTAACAGTAGTTTTTATCAATGGTATTCGTGGCGTTTTAGGCAAATGTTGGTTTTGAGTGAAAGTAAAAGCCCCAAACAAAGTTGGCGCCAAACTATTTGGTCTGAGAGGGAGGCAAACCAGAGCTGGCTACCAAACCCAATTGTCAATGTCTTGCTAGAAGTGTCTTTTTAATTAGCAATGCTGCAAACAACGGAAATGCAAACTGGATGTAGTATCCAGACGCCACTTCAGCGGTTGTGTTAAAAGTCTATGGAGATTTAAGAATATTTTCAAAGTACCTGTATTTTCTAACAAAATCAATGTTTCTCGGTCCCAGATTCATGTCTTTTCACCATTTTCGCAATGACTGACCTTCACTGAGATGATATATGATGAAAAAAAAAATTGCGTCAGGATACAGCATTCTTTCCGGATGTAGATTTGTAACGTTGTGTGAATTCTAGAAATGTCTTGAAAATCATAATATGTTATTAGAAGCTGAACACCAAGTAACTTACCAAAAACTATAGTTCGTGTCCAGACTTTATCCGAAAATCCATCCCAGTGCTCCGGTCGCACTGTGCAGTTTTGGCAAAACCACGAAGTTATCAAGGACGTAAAAGCATCGAATATAATCCCATATCTATCGCGAAAAAAATCAGCTACATTGTTTTCTTTTTTTTCTGCATGTCGTTTAACACGCTTGCCTATTTTAGGAACGTAGGCAAGGTGTGGTAGTGTTCCTGTGTGGTGAAGAACGATGTATAGTAACAAGAAGGTATCAAACCGTTAACAGTTACATGTACTGGTATTGTCCTACACGACACTTAGATATTGACCGTGCCTATAGCAGTTGCTATGGTGTGATTAAGCCCATACCTATAGGGTTATTGCTGCGACATGGATGTATTGACGGGTATCGATCGACGGTTCGGTATATTGACGGGGATTATTGAATGGGGTACAGAAGTACATGTAGACTCGCTCAAGTCGCTTCACCTCTGTACGATTGGGTTCGGGCGGGATGCAATCGCGCATAGTCAGGAATGAACTTTTTCCCCTGGTTTCTTTGTTGTTGTTTTTTTAGTTCTTATGCTGAATAGAACAGTGATAGATAGGGAAGGTATTCACAAACGACGTCGTGTCAGTGTTTTGGGAACCGCATAGGCCTACTCACAAATACATGCGTGCAAATTAGCAGATGAACATTTCACAAATTATGCCCGTGTGAAGCAATTATTAAGATGTTTATCTCAACTTGAAGGTACAGCATGCTAGCTCTGCGTTATAATATACCTCGTACACAACTGACGACTGGGATTTGATGTATCATTGTCACGTTAGGTTTACAATTTCCTTAAAACAAATTGATAAAACAAAATTGATAAGAAACATTAAAATAAAAAAATTACACGGAAAGTTCATTTCAGCTGCTGTCGTAGTTTCTCTTGTATTTTGCACTGAGTCACACACTCAATGCATTTATCGACAACTTCTTATAATGTGATTTATTGAGGTACTGATATGCCAATGAACATTAAAAGTGTGAAATACACTAATACTGTACAAAAAAATATAAAAAAGTTGTACACGCATGGGTCTAGTATACCCAATCTATAGGTAAAGCATGATACATCAGGCAATCAGTTCAGACCCCGTGTTACAACCGATAATGTAGTAACCAACTGATAACATATCACCAACCGATGTCACACAAATTGACCAATACTGTATCACCAACCGATTATGTCACACAAATTGACCGATATTGTGTCACTAACCGATAATGTAACAAAAAATGACGGCTACTGTCGTAAATGTTACCATACCATCAGTCAATTGCTGTTACGTTATCAGTTAGGACCGATAATGCAACAACAATTGACTGATAGTGTAGTACATTTTACTACGCTATCGGTCAATTTTGTGTTACATTATCGATTGGTGATACAGTATTGGTCAAGTTATGTGACATTATCGGTTGGTGATACATTATCCGTTGATTACTACATTATCAGTTGTAACACCCCGCATGATTAAACTTGTGACAAACTTCAAGCACTGCCGCTGGAACAAACTTTTGCCAGGGGGTGCTGGAATATAGGATGGACAAAGCATGGAGGTAGATGGACAAAGTTAATGCGAAAGCGGAGCGCAAAGCCCTTACGTCGTGGCTTAATTTGGAATATAGATACAATACAATACAATACAAGCACTGCCGCTGGAACAAACTTTTGCCAGGGGGTGCTGGAATATAGGATGGACAAAGCATGGAGGTAGATGGACAAAGTTAATGCGAAAGCGGAGCGCAAAGCCCTTACGTCGTGGCTTAATTTGGAATATAGATACAATACAATACAATACAATATTTTATTTCATCACAATTAAAAGACTTTAAAAGTGAAATGCTTCTTCCCAATGTGCACATAAAAACAATATACATATATTTAGACACTTAAAAATTTACATAAGTCGAAAACTTCAGTTTATGAAAAGTTAATAAGTATAAAACCACCAGCAAAAATCCCTACTTTAAAAAAAGAGAAGCTTGAAAACAAAAAGCTATATTGTTATAAAAAGTATTCAAAGCTGCATGCTGACATGCTAGGTTATTTATTTAAAAAGGTCTAATCTGAATTGTAAAAACATTGCAAACAGACAGTATTTATCTGATAAAATTAGAATTATAGAGGTGAATGGCACTAGGTAAAAAAGAAAATCTGAACCGGTTTGTGTGTGGGGAGCGCCCGTAATCTTCCTGATGGGAGTGACTGTATAGATGAATGCAGAGGATGAGTTGGGTTCTGAGTTCTAGTCTGCAGTTTCGTGAGATAATTTGTTTCAACAATTTCGTTCACATGTTTCACTTCCAGACCAATTTTTTTTCTTGCAGTTTTTGTGATCCGCTCAATTTTTCCCGGTTATTTACAGTTAAGTTATTGTACCATACAATGCAACTGAAAGAAATGATTGACTGGACAACACTCTGGTAAAATAAATGCAAAATCGAATCACGAACATTAAAAGAACTTAACTTCCTGAGAAAATAAAGCCTCTGGTTTGCCTTAGTATACATTCTCTGAGTGTTTTTGTTCCAGTTTAACCCGTTATCAATGACTGTTCCAAGATACTTGTACTCAGTGACATTTTCCACTTGTTCATTTCTAATGCTAACTTGACCGGCATTATGTTGTTTTTTACGACAGTCAAAAATAACTTCTTTTGTTTTGTATTTTTATAGTTGCTCTGTGGTGCAATCTGGGGGCGATTCCTGGCCACTTTCATTTGGCTTTTTTAGCAAAAGTTTTTTGAGATTAAAAAGACAATTTATTTCGTTATTTTGTTTAGAATATACTGTTGCTCTTAAAAAGTTTAACTGTAGTGGAGAACCCTGTATTTTTATCTCCATTTTTGGTTCCATTTCATTCTGGAAAAGAATTGTATCATTATGCATGACATCGCATGTAAATATTATTGTTGCAAGGCTGCTTTCTTACATTTAGTAAATTCCTTCGTGTATGTTTTGTTTTCTTTACGGCGTGGGGCCACAGGGCCAGGGGCCGCTTTAGTTCTATCTCACCAAACGATGTAGCTCTCGATATATTTGCAGTGTTATTTGTTTGTTACAGGGAATGGCAAATATAAAATATTGCAGAGCGGGTAAAAAATAAATATAGCTTTATTATTAAAACGAAACTACACTGGAATTGGCGCAAAGCATGGCTGGTTTCAATAAATGCCCGTCCCAATCCTATTATGTTGGAAGTGTGTCACGGTGAACCTTGCTATTTAATCTTGAGTACAGAATGCTAGCAACGTCAATGCAACTTTTTAATGTAAAGAAAAACCTTTAGGGGAAAGGTATGAACTTTTGCCCCTATTGAAAGATCGAATGAAAAAAATCCTGGCAAGCATAAACAACTTTGCCACCATTGTCATGGCTGAGGTTATTGCATTCGGGTCAAAGCTTCCATCATGGCAGAAATTTAGACATGTCATGATTTTGGATACCTTGAGAGAAATATCGATTCTGCACTGCCTGAAGATTTAGAAAATACCTCCTCTTGATATTTTACAGTGTTTGTGCTAGACTTTCGAAGCGCCGCGCTTAGCCGTGGCAAAACTAGAAACGAACAAAATGAAGGAGATATTTGTAGAGCAAGCATAATGTATAGCGTAGCGGCGCAATTTCATCGTCGTAGAACACTGCTGGCTGGAACACATTTTTTCCCGGGAGTAGGGGGTGCTGACGCATATTCCAGCACCCCAATCCAAAAGTTGGGGGTGCTGCAGTATCCACAGCACCCCCGTTCCCAGGCGCTTGAAACTTGATTGTTATTATTCAGAAATTAGTCCATGCTTCGAGAAGAAGCATTAGGCTATGCCCATACGGGTGATTATGGAAAACAACATGGTCAGTAAAAACCGATTGGGCAGAGTTTTTTTATGGAAGTCGGCCTAGTGGCACAAGTGCCATTTTGTTACATATTTTCAGAAGCATGTCAAAGTAACAGAAAATAAGTGGGAGAAAAACACCTTCCTTCATATTATTAACTGTTCCACAAAATTGACCTTAAATACATAAACTATTTGTTATTCAAAAACAGTTTCATCGTGTGGTAACTATTGACGTTCTAAAAAATTAGAGCACTCTTTGGTTCACCCTCTCAATAAGGTGCGGATTTCTGTGGACAACGTAGAGGTAAATTCACCGTCCCAGTTAAGGTGGCGGATATCTGATGACAATTTAACTTAGGAGTATACTTTGATTCGCCTTCCAAAAATTGGGGCGGATTTGTAAAGTTAGGGGGCCTATATTGATTTGCCCTCCCAATAAGAATGCAAATTTCTGTTGACAATATAAAGCTCATTCTGACTCCCCCCCCCCCCCCCCCCCAATTTAAAGGTTAAACAAATTCCGAAACAAAGTCCTTTAAAGGCCCGTCTTAAAAACAAGAAAAAAAGATTTTATGAATCGTATTGTTTGCCTAACCAGGGTTGTAAATAAAGACATTGTATACTACAGTTGTTGGAACAAGTATTCTGAGTCAATTTCTTTGTTGTTCCAAACAGTCAGAATACACAATAAATTGTCTTTTTGTGTGTGTGACGAAATAGGTTTGAGGGCCATTGCGTTAAAATGTTGATATTCTCTGAACGGACTGAGCAATTTCAGTATTTTTTCATCTAACAATAGCTTATGAAATTGGCTTTCCAGTCATTATTATTTTGGTACTACATATTGTTTTAAATATGAAATTTAATTTTTGGGGTTTGCGCCTCCGCTTTTTTTTAATCGCCCATTAATAGCATTCGGTTGGCCAGTTAAAGTGCTCAGACAAGCACGCGAAAAATAATCCCAAAGTTCATATAATTTCACGTCAAAGTCGTCTCGATTTTGATTATATTTTCCTTACCAATGCTAACCATGATCGCTATCCTTGCTCGAAGCATCCAAGAATGCATTGTACATACACAATGTACATGCTATCCTTCATTTAGTGCAAAGTGATTTCATAATAGCATCATAATTATGGATGGTCACACAATGGCATCCGGTAACACCTATACTGACCACGACCTGCAAGTCACTGCTCTCAGCTAGTAGATCAGTTACAGCTGACCACAAGTAGGCTCTCATCAGTGTAAACATGCTAAATTTGTCTTAATTTCGCCCGCCACCGATTTCCAGCTGTAGGTTTGTAGTGCGTGTCGTCTGTTGGTCTTGCTGATCTGCTGCCGTAGATCCTCATTGCCTGCCAGTTTCACGAATGCTGCCAGGATTGCGGCTGAGTTTCCCGGAGGTACCTTCAAGCCGTTGACCCCGTCTTGAACGTTCTCATCC